AAACATGCAAGGAGAAACCGACATCATCAATCCAGATGTTCGGCTGCGGCCGTTGCAGCAGCTGGCTCCATCTTCACATCCCTCAACATGTCTATCTTCACATTCCACAACCGCCTCTTGCGTTGCGTCTCCAGGTTTTTCCGTCTAGCCACCACATCTAGCGCAACTCCTAGCCATCGAGCCACCATGAAACAAGGCTACAAAAAGCTCCAGAAACCTGAGCCTCTGAGAAGACGTAATGACAAGAAAAGGACGATCTTTCTTGATCTTGATGAAACATTGGTGCACTCTACAATGGAACCACCAATCCGGGTTAATGTAGATTTCATGGTGAGGATAAAGATCGAAGGAGCAGTTATACCAATGTTTGTGGTGAAACGACCAGGAGTTACTGAGTTTCTTGAAAGGATTAGTAAGAACTATCGAGTGGCAATCTTCACAGCCGGGTTACCGGAATATGCTTCACAGGTTTTGGATAAACTTGACAAGAACCGTGTGATCTCACAGCGGCTATATCGAGATTCATGCACAGAAATGAATGGAAGATATGCCAAAGACTTATCTTTGGTGGCAAAAAATGACCTCGGGAGTGTTTTGCTAGTTGACGATAACCCTTTCTCCTACTCGTTTCAGCCAGACAATGGAGTTCCCATTAAGCCATTTGTGGATGACATGGAAGATCAAGAACTGATGAAACTTGCAGAATTCTTCGATGGATGTTATCAGTACGAAGATCTAAGGGACGCAGCAGCAGAACTTCTATCCAGCAAGCTGATTTGATGCACACACACACACACATATATATATATATATATATATGAAATTTGTTTGCAGAACCTGTTTTCAATTTTTTTGGGATTCTTTCTTTCTTTTTCTTGATTTTCTTTGGGGAGAGATGATACAGCCTAATGGTATTTTTTTGTTGAAAAAGGATGCTTCCTTATCCTTCTTCAGCGTTTTTACCTACAAAAAAAGCCCCTACATAAAAATGTAAGCTGTTTTTCTTCAGAGCATAAAAAAGTGTATAATGTAAACAAGAAAATTCAGAAAGAAGGAAAAAGAAGAAGTTTTGGACTAGCAAATAATCAATAATATGAAATGATATTAACATCTTAGTCTAAAGAGATTGATCTAATTTTAGTAAAATATCAAGAAATAAGTCCCCACAGACTCTACCTTCAACATCAGATATTGAGTACAAGAAAAAAAAAAGACTATAGGAACTACTAAGACTCTACCTTCAACATCAGATATCTTAGTAGTTCCTTAACTGGTTTCGAAACATACATTAAATGCTAAGTATATATTATATTACTAGATACTGTTGGATAAAATCCAAAGAAAACAAGAGCAATGAACCAAGAATTGACTAATAGAAAAGGACTCGGGCCAACTTTACCGCTGAGGCTATAAGCTTTTCTATGCTTGAGACATTTTCACAGAGCAATCACTCTTGAAGCTATGTGTTGTTCATGCTTGACCCATTAAACTCATTTAAGATATATTTTGTTCATACGAATAATGTAAATCTTGTCTTTTGCCCTTTTGGACTTGACACTAAAATGATTTCAATAAATGAAACCTAAACCATTATACTTTATAAAATCTCAATAAGTGATTCATATTGGGTAGACCTTCTAAATTCATTTCTTTTTGTAACTGTATAAAAAAAGTTAAATCTGAAACAACTTTAAGTTAGAAACAAATTCCAACAGGTTTTATAGTATAACTAGTTCACCAGAAACACCAAAGCCATAAATGTGAAGTAGCAACAACAGCAGCAGCAATATACTTCTCAACTGTAATCCCATTATAATCTCCAAACCTCTAGTCTTAACTAAACTAAATAATGTATCTCTTGTTAGTTCATGTTGTATGTACATTATTATCCATGAGTACATGAAACAGTAGAACTATGATCTAATTGTCCAAACTGAATTTTTCTAAAAGTAGGCATCTGCTCTACTTCACCACTAAATTTCCATAAACAAACAAAACTAAACCAAATGTATATTATTGTATTAAAGTTAGCAGAAGATGAATTCATAAATATCTTATTACTACCAAACCTTTCGTCTGAAGAGCTGCAAGCTTGTTTTGTTCACCAAAAACTTGTTTTTCTTCACTGGGGAATCAAAAGCCAGGATACATCAATGGCATCTGAAAGAATCATCGAAAAAATTCCAGAAAATTCCAAATTCCACAAACACCAACAGAAAACTTACCCATTAATGTCCATCTTGAAGTTTCATTGCCGCCTTCTGCGTTGTGTTTCCAGGTGCTTTACAGCCACCACCATCAGCTATCCAGCCACAAAACATGATTTTACAAAACTTGACAAACTCAAGGACCCTCTGACAGAATATACCACCACAAAAAGAACAATCATCCTCGATCTTGATGAAACATTGGTTCACTCAACAACCCAACCTCCGGGGGTTAAATATGATTTCATGGTGATGGTGAAAATGGAAAGGGAGATAATGCCAATCTTTGTGGTGAAACGTCCTGGTGTGACTGAATTCTTGGAAAGACTTGGTGAAAACTACAATGTGGTAGTTTTCACAGCTGGTCTGGAAGAATATGCTTCACAGGTTTTGGACAAGCTAGACAAGAACGGTGTAGTCTCACAGCGGCTATATCGAGATTCATGCACGGAAGTGAGTGGGAAATATGTAAAGGACTTATCTTTGGTAGTAGGGAAAGACCTCAGAAGTGCTTTGATTGTCGATGACAATCCATCTTCTTACTCATTACAGCCAGAGAATGGAGTGCCTATAAAGGCTTTTGTCGATGACCTGAAGGATCAAGAACTGCTGAATCTTGTGGAGTTCCTCGAAAGTTGTTACGCATATGAGGATATGAGGGATGCAGTCAAGGATTTGCTGGCAAACTAGCTGGTTTAATGTGAATATATCTTTATTCCCAGAACTATTTTCCTTTTCTTAGACGTTTTTTTGGGGGATGATGGAAAGATGATTAGAAGCAATCCGTTTTTTGCGTTGAAAAAGGATGCTTCCTTCTTCAATGTTGCATATACCTAGATCAGAAGCTTTTCCTGAAAACAAGAAAAAATAACTTTGTAAAGCAGATATATGTGGAATAAAAAATAGTTTAGTTGTATAGTAAGAAACATCCCTACTGCCTTAAGATATTTGCACAAAATGTCATGCGAAACAACCTAAAAAGAAGAAGCTGCTATTGCAAATACCACGATTGCTGTTTCTGAGTTCAAGCATTTCTTCAGCCTTTACAAGAACTATTAAAGCAATACTTACATTAATTGACACCTTCAACTAGATCTTTGCTCACTGTGGCCTTAGCAGCTCCTAACTTCCACAACTGGCAGTGACGCGTAGAAGAATTCCAATACGCATTATAAATGCCACTAAAACAAACAAGCCATAACCTTTCTAACACGAACGCATACCAAGGTACCAATTAGTGAACCACTTGATACTAGAAATCTGCATATTATACACAAATCCTATTTGTGGTTTCTTTGCGGTTCTGTTGCCGTTTAGAATTCAAAACACTGTGTTCACATCTTAATGAAAACACCAACATTACTCTAGGCTTCTACTCATGCAAAAATGAGAGAAGTAAAGTACTAGATATATGCAGCTCCTTCCACAATTGAAAATTCTAGATAACAACAACACTTATTTCCATTTCTCTAGCAATTTTACAAGTCAAGAATCATACAGTGTGATCGCAAAAGTGATGAGCTCAAAAATTAAAACATAACAAGAAAGAAACACAAAATGAAGCACCTTCCAATAGATAAGAGCAACAAGATCCAGTACAATTCAAAACTTGTGACACTCAAAAACAATTACAACAACACCAAACAGAGATTACAAAACGGATCAATACAAGTCAAAATTCTGGAAAGAAAACAGCTTTTTCTCTATCTCCACCAAAACTCCACAAGAACTACAACAACCTATTTAAGATCAAACCTGTTAATTCATAATTCACAGAGGAAAACTTGACTTGGAAGTCGCAAGGCTTCAGCTTTACTAAAGCACAAGTCATCGAGAGCTTCACTACGACACCACCTGCATCTAGGGAAAGCCGAGCACTGAGATCTGGTCCGCATCTCGCAGCACTTGAGTTTCCTATTAGTCTTGACCGGCTTCGGATTTTTCTGGATCTCTAACAGCTCACGATCCAAAACATGAACTTCAGATTCGGGAGAAGAAAGCGATGGAGAGAGTAAAAGGAGGAAGAAGATGGTGAGTAGGAGAAAGAGAGACGAGAAACTTGAGCTAGATTCCGGCATTGACACAGGAAAGAAAAAGTCTTGTTTTTTTTCTTCTGTATTTTTGGAAAGTTGTCTCTTTTTTGTTCTCTGTACTCAGAGAGAAAAGGGGGAGAGTGTCAAGATCTTCCTCGAGTCGGCCTAGAATCTACACACGTGTGAGAATATATTCACGCGTGTATGGCGCAAGTTAGCGGTTACAATTAACAAAAGGCAGTCACTTTGTGTCATGAAGCAGTGTTTTTAAATTTAAGCCTCTCAACTTTATTTATTAGAGAATAACTCTGTTGACTGCATTGGCCATTGGGTTTTTCGTTTGGTTTCCTTAAGAATTTCGCCCAAATTGATCCATGTTCAGATATTGGTTTCAAAGTTCTTATAGATTCGTGTTATATACATAGTTTAATCTCACTTTGTAGTAAAATGTGTCTTATCAAGGTAAGTGATTTAGATTAGAAGAGGAAAACACTTGAACTATGTCAATGTGTGAAGATAACATTAAGCTGATGAATATGCTTTAATATGTTTGATGCTGATTATATATATTCTCCATCGAGTAAACAAAATTGATACCACTAATTTTATATACATAATGATCCCATCTTGTTGACATAACTAGTCTGAAAAAGGAAGAAAAAGACAAGACATGTGAACACATTACAGATCTGTTTACATATGTTTGTGCCTATTAAACCAAGAAATATAACTGTTTTATTTACTGTTCCAACAACTTTTCACCGGGATTATTACTCCTCCATGCAAAAATTTAGGAAAAACTAATAATGACATTGGATTCGATATTTCCATTTTCCACTGTAATAATAATAATTTATAAACTCAGATCTCTGTTTGTACTTTGTATCAAGATTTTGACTTGTGAGTCTCCTAGATGAAAAAAGCTTATCTTACACTTACTACTCTTAAGTGTCACTACCTCCAAGATTCTAAAACCGTAACCCACAAATCTCACCTTTAAGACACCATTAAAGCTCAAGAATCTCTGTGTGAGAAACTTCAAGATTTCTAGAACTTGGATCCGAGAAAAAATGGCGGGATTCACCATGAGCTTGAACTTGCTTCTACTAGTAGCAATGGTAGCTACAAACATCCTCTCACTCTACCATCTCTCCTCCACCACAAATTTCTTCCAATCCACCGTCAAATCCACACAATCCTCTGTTCCCACAGTTCCCGATCACCTCCTCCGTCAGCTCCACACAATCCGCGCCGCCATTAACCACCTCACAACTCACCAACCAGACAAATCAACTTCAATCTTAACCTCACGCGCCGCCGTATCCTCCTCCTCGTCCTCCACCCCACCGAAAGAGCTTCTCATCTACTCGAAGCTCTCACCTATAGCTTCAGCTTGTCATAACTACCCTGACCTTCTTCATGAGTATATGAACTACACTCCTTTCTCTCTTTGTCCTTCCGATACCGATCTCGTCGAGAAACTTATCCTCCGTGGCTGCCACCCACTTCCTCGCCGTCGTTGCTTCTCACGAACGCCGCGAAATCCTTCAGATTGGAAACCTGAATCTAATGTTATCTGGTCTTACTACTCTTGCAAAAGCTTTGATTGTTTGATTACTAAATTCCCCGATCTAGGGTTTGATCTCTCCTTAGAGAAATCTAAATCTCAGTTCTCTGCTTACAAATCCGAGCTTGATTTACCGATCTCGCAGCTTCTCCAGATCGCTAAATCAGCTAATTCTGTTCTCCGTCTTGGGATCGATGTCGGTGGCGGAACTGGATCTTTCGCTGCTGCGATGAAGGCTCGTAATATTACGGTTTTGACCACGACGATGAATTTCAATGCGCCGTATAGTGAAGCGGTGGCGATGAGAGGGCTTGTGCCGCTTCATGTGCCGCTTCAGCAGAGGCTTCCGGTGTTTGATGGTGTGGTGGATTTGGTTCGGTGTGGAAGAGCGGTGAATCGGTGGATTCCGGTGACAGTTATGGAGTTTTTCTTCTTTGATTTGGATCGGATTCTTCGTGGCGGTGGTTATCTTTGGTTGGATCGGTTCTTTAGTAAAAAAGTTGATCTTGAAAATGTTTATGCGCCGATGATCGGGAAATTGGGTTATAAGAAGGTGAAATGGGCGGTGGCTAACAAAGTGGATTCGAAACATGGTGAAGTTTTCTTGACTGCTCTGCTTCAAAAACCTGTTGCAAGATGATGAATCTTTTTTGAGGTACAATTTTTGAATTTGGATTTTGGTACAATTCTCAAGTTTGCTCTCTTTGATCAAAATGTTCCAACTTTGGAGAATTACTTTAATCACAGATTCACAATCCATATATGTAGCATGAGATTACTTTAGATGTGTGCTTTTTGTTGCTTTGAACAGTGCAACTCATGTTGGACTTTGTGGAACTTTGTTTCTTCTAAACAAGATGCGAAATTGTAGGTTGGTTCTAGTCAAGCAAATAAATTGTAGCTAGTTCAAAACATTACACTCTTATAGGTTCTGAAGCTTGTTTCTGCAATGTCTCAATGATGATAATAGGAAGTTCTCATTCTCAGTGACCGGATTTGTATTAGCACTTAGACATTTACTCTGTTCTGAGAAACTCTTGTTCTTCTTCTAGTTCAGTCGTAGGAGACTCGGATGTTGTGTCTTTCGTATTGTCTGTAAGCTCCTGGCTCGTGCTTGTTTCTGATTTCACTCCTGATCCAAAGTTGTGGGTTGTTTTGCAGGGCTATTTCCAGGGGTTTGTAGCAAACAGCTTACTGTTGTTGAAGATTTGGAAGACAAGATTCTTCGACGATTTCAGACATAGCTTTTTCCAGCTGTAAGCACACAAGCAATGATGTCATTTATGCGAAAGAAGATTTAGGGGAATTGTAAGCCAAGATTTGATCTATTGTTGTTAGAGAGAGTCTGATTAAAATGGTGGTACACATAAATTATAGACTCTTCGACTTGTTTCTGTCATAGCTAATATGCATTTATATTATTCATAAGATGGTATTTTTTGTGGAAGGCAGATTGTAGAATGGTTAAGAAGTTTCAGAATTTAAGTTGAAGCTTCTGAAAGTTATTTGTCTTATGACGTTTTATAATGCTAAGAACGTAGATACTTCTTCATCATAATCCATTTGTTTCCCACTGCCAAGCCCACAAGACCTGGACTGAATCTAAGCGCAAATCCAAACATGAACCTGAATCTGAGCCAGACTTTGCATATATCTTTGTTTTGCTGTGCCTGCATGTAAGCTCTTTGAGTTAGTAAATTCTCAATCAAGATGAGCTCGCACTCTCCTAATTTACTGAATACAAAAATCCAGACAACCAAAAGGAAGTAAGAAGCGATCTTGCCAGGCTTTCTTTGTTGGTTAAGAAGTGATGCCTTATCTTGTTGAGCTTATTAACCACTTAATACGAACCTACCACATACTAGGCCCTGAACCAAATTCAATAAAACGACTAAAATCCGTAGGTAGAATTAGCTAATGAATTAGGCATTTTTTAGTTAGTCTTGCTCCTTGGTCTTTTACCGACATTTTTAAACACTGCTTCCTAAAATATGGGGTAAATGTATCATTTCTGAAAGTGTGGTGTCAAATGTATAAGAGAGAACAAAATATGAGGACTAAACTGTAAACTAAGGAAAGATAAATTATGATGATTATGTGGTCGCGTCTCAGAAAGGTTAGCGACGGTGTTAACTTGTAAAGTTGTAATCGTTTTCCTGACGACATAGTCGTGTGTTTCTGTGTTTCTGAAATTTTGTAAGAATCGAAGATTGGCTTCGCTATCGAGAGAAGGAAGAACTCTAGAAAATGGTGAGTTTTACGCTTACCGATTTTGATTCCACTCACAATTTTCCTCCTTTAATTTCAATTTCTACGCGATCATACAAGCTTCAAGGGTTATCACTTTTATTCAAAATTGTTTCGTTTTCTGGAGAATTTTTGTTACTTGCATCATTTAGTAACAGATTTTTATGGAAAACAAGCAATTAGTTCCGAAGTTATTTGTATTACCATGATCGTTAGCTAAATAGACATCTAGTTTTGCTATTATCATTGTCTTGATAACAAGTTAAAGGTCGAAAATTTTAGCTTGACGTAGTTTTTTTTAACTTTTTCTCCATGAATGGTGATCATAGGATGAAAGAGATCCAGAAATTCGTCGTTCTCATGGTGATTCTGATGCTGGTAATGTCGTTGGTCAAAGCATAAAGGATACTAGAGAAGAAAATTCTGGCTTATGTGAAGACTTTGTTGAAGAGAGCAAAAGACTGGAACCGGAACAACAAAAGCGTGGTAAATATTTTTTCTATGACACGCCCCTTTCTGAGGAAACCGGGGTTTGGATTCCTGTTTCAGTCCCACCCATGTTAGAACCTGATCATGAGGAGTGGTCAAGAGGTCTTAGTTTCAATGGTGGCTACTTCCCTGAGGGAGATATGGGATGGAACCAGATATTTGATGAAGACAAGGAATTAACTATGTGGGATGTGATAGTGGATATGTTACTTGCAGCGCATGGTAAAGCGAGTGCTCTTAGTTCTGGCAACCTTGAGAGATGTGGCATTAATTTTTTGTCGGGACATCTTCTTGAACAAGCTTGGCAAGAGATGGCTCATACTCTCACTGAGGCTAACTTTGGTAATGCAAGAGAAATTCTGGAGACTGAGCCACCCAAGTGGCTGCCGGATAGTGCTGCTTCTGCTTGTATGCTATGTAGTGTGAGGTTTCATCCAATTATGTGTTCCCGTCATCATTGTCGATATTGTGGAGGAATATTCTGTAGGGACTGTTCTAAAGGAAGAAGCTTGGTTCCTGCAAAGTTTCGTGTTTCAGATCCCCAAAGAGTTTGTGATGTGTGTTTTGTGAGGTTGGAGTCTGTGCAGCCTTATTTGATGGACCAAGTGAGTCCTGCTGCTCAGTTGCCGACCCATGACTTGACAGATCTTAGTACATTGAGGTCTTGGGTGAATTTTCCTTGGGGACAATCCATGGAGTATGAGATTTATAAGGCAACAAACACTATTCGGGGTTATATAACCAAGGTGAGATTTTTGTGGGGCCCTGAGCCTAATCTCAACTTTTTAAATTTCTGAGCATTCTTAAATGTCTACTATATCACTATGTTAATGGCCGACTACCCTCTGTCCGTGAAATCCGGAATTCTAATAGCTTGTCTTTGATTTGAAAACTTCTCATCAGGTTGGTTCTTCAAGAACTGAGAGGTCCATCCCAGATGCTATTTTAAGACAAGCAAAAGGGCTTGCAGTAATCACTGTTGCCAGAGTTGGAGTTATGGTTACATATAAAATTGGGACTGGACTTGTTGTTGCTCGTAGAGATGATGGCTCCTGGTCTCCACCCTCCGCCATCTCTTCATTTGGTTTGGGATGGGGTGCTCAGGTAACAAACCTCTTTTAGTAATCCGTAGATATTGCAAACAGGGCTTGGTCTATATCCTCATCATTCACCTGTAGGCAGGAGGAGAGTTCATAGACTTTATTATCGTTCTGAGAACTCGTGAAGCCATCCAAACTTTTGGCAGTAACACCCATCTTGTTGTTGGAGCTGGTTTAAGCGCTGCCGTTGGTGTGACTGGACGAGCAGTTGAAGCGGATATCCGAGCAGGTAGCGGTGGATATGCTGCCTGCTATACCTACAGCTGCAGCAAAGGTAACCATCTGATTCATGTGTCTCTAGCCAAAATAGTTTTTAGTAGGTTAATTTTTGGTTAATGGTTCTTAGACTTCTTCTCTTCCATGTCTTAAATGAGATTCATGGGCCACTCTAAATCTGGAACCATTCTATATTAAAAAAATAGTTTTTGAAACTAAGTCTCATAATCAGTCTGTATATTTTCCCTTTTTCTTGTTGCAAAAACCTTACTTAACCGCCATTAAATGAACAGGTGCATTTGTCGGATGCTCGCTTGAAGGAAGCATCTTCACGACACGTATAAGTGAGAACTCACGGTTCTATGGGAGCCAGTCCCTAGCTGCGTCTGACATCCTCCTTGGCTCTTTGCCTAGACCACCTGCTGCTGCTGCCCTCTACCGTGCGCTTGGTGATCTGTATCAGAAGATGGGGAGGTGATTCTAACACAGTTGGAGGGAATTTGTTATTCTGACTTTAATGATGGAAAAGTTCTTGACCTGGAAATTTTCTTCTTGGTGTGCAGTGAAACTGTGGGGTCTCCGGCAATTTCTCCATTGTCTGAAGACTAAACTTGTTGAATTCGCTTCATCTCTTTGGAAGAATGATTGACAACTATCTTGTATAGATTCATGCAATTCTTGAATGTACATAGTTTGTTTATGGAGGTTTGGTAGTTTGTGGTTGTAAATAAACATACATGGTATATCTGAAGTTATAAATTGTTCTAATATAAAAGATACTCGTTTCAAACTTAAACCCCTGCTTTCTTTTCGGGTTTTTGAGATTATAAGGCCAGAAGCAGTTTTACAAGAACTATATACGCAAAAGAAACATTAATCTCTCTCTCATTTTGTTCTCACCTTACATAGTTCTAAACCTTGTGTGACATGCTTCAAAGAGTTTTAAGACCAACACATCCCAGTTATGAGATGCCTATTCATATCGAACTCTGAGCCAGTCTATTTTCTTTAGCTTGCAGAATTCATCTTAATTCCATTTCACTTGGCAACTTTCTTCTTCCTCAGAAGATCTTCCACTTGGAGCTCGTTGATCTTGGCAGCAAGAATGAAGTCGTTTTCTGTCAAACCACCTGTTGCAAGAGAATCCAATATCACCTAGTCGGCACTTGCAACTTGTAAAGTTCACAAAAGAAATAGTTGTTGATGAGGGGCCTCTTAAAGTTCAGGCATTTGATACAATTCATATCTCTTATCATCAACACAGACCATGATTCTCACCTATCGCATGTGTCCATATCTCGATTTTCACATTATTCCAGCCGAACAGATGCAAATCTGGGTGATGACCTGCATCATACCGATCCATGCGTGAGACAAAATAGTAACAGATCTTCTTTGAGCTATCTTTTTCTAATCTTATTCAGAAGGGCACAGAACACGTGTGCTGTATTGCTGATGATTATTTACCTTCTGATTCAGCAATATCAGCTACACGTTTGAAGAAATCTAGCCCCTTTGTAAAACTTTTCACCCTCCATGACCGATGCAGCTTTAATGTATCATTGTCATTGGCCAAATCCCATCCAGTAACCTGTGTAAAAGGAATAATTGAGGGATACATACTATAGACCTCACCTGCCATAATAAGAATTACAAGCATATTACCTTTTGAAGTAGGTCTTGTGCACTTTGTTCGGTCATGGGGCGCAGATCCTTGGAATTGCATGGCACACACTTTTTGGCTAATAAATCTAAGACAAAGATATAAAAGCAGAGCGAAAAGAATACCATATTAATAACTAGGTTTGGTTACAAATGCTGTAGAATATAACCATGAATCCATCTTTTAACCAATTAGGTAAAGAAGTGGTTTATAAGGGCAGCAACAAGGATATCATAGCAATATATTCTAAAACTTCAAAACTTTAGAAAGGATATGACAAAAAAGTTGGAATTTACTGCAAGACAGCAGAAAACTGCTTTAGCTAGTAAAGATATGAGAATGATGAATACTGATACTTGAATTAATCTGGTGTAATTTTTGTCTTTCCATAGAGTTATACAATGGAAGAATGACACTTGTTTGAAACTTATTCTTCCTGACTCGTCATCATCTTTTGCCTCTAATTCACCACTGACTTATCTAAAATAGAGATGGGAAGAGGCTAAGGGGTCTCCAATAGAAGTTGTTCTGATATCACAGAGGTGAGTGACATCATTTGCTGGTCTTATATTATAGAAAAAAGCTTAAGCTTCCTAGTATAGTTTCTCTATAAGAGGACCTATGTTCGCCACATACGATACAGAACTCAATCAATTGGATGTTCATCATATACATCAAACCTCAACAAACACAAGTACCAACAAATGAATCATGTCATGATTCAGTCAAAACAAGGAAATCTTGATTCAGATATCAACTGTTATTATGTTAGAGCAGCGGAATGATGAATTTTACCTTCTAGGGAGCAAAATGTTCTAGCTCCAGAAGCAGAACCACCAGCTGTGGATGAAATTACACTATCTTGTGACATCTTACTCGTCCAATGAACAAAACTGCAAGAAAAATGCAAAAATATATCATCTTTACATGCCAGAACTTGTGTAAATCCCATAGAAACTTGTCCTCTATGTAACTCAAACAAATGAAGAATAACATCCAATACACCAAGAACAACAATCAACAAATCAGTGAATTTGATTTCTCTTCTTGAGATTCAAACCACAACAAAAACAACAATCTGAAAGATGAACACATACATATCAAACCCAGATTATAATCACAACCCAAGTATCAAAATCCGTCCTTTGCTACTATTCTTCACCAAAACCAAATCCAAAAATCTAATTCAAATCATTACCGTTTGTGACGTCCGTACAGATTGTTGAGCAATGATGCAGCTGGAACCTGAAAGTGTCACAAAAAAAAAATGAGAGGTAACACACGCAAATCCCAGGTATACATACATGCACATAAACATACACGAAGAGGGAGATTTAACCTGTGTTCTGGAGATCGAGAAAAGTTTAGGTAGCAAGAGCCGACTCATTGGTGCCGAAGCGGTTTCGGAACATAGAGATTTCCGGTGAGAGTACCTATCGTGAAAGTGAGGGGTTAAACGTCAAAAGTCAAAAGTTTACGGTTAAATTTGTAAGAATCTAAAACATATGGAGCAAATATGTGAAAAGTGAAAACGATGGATGACGCGCGTCTCTTAAAGCTGCTGCTACTTGCTTTTAAGAAGAAGAAAAGAAAGATATAAAGTATCAAAATTGCGAACTCTGGTGTTGGATTAGGCATCCGGAATATGGTGAGATTTTGGTTTTCTCGAAATTATTATGTTTCTTTTTTGGAGATTTTTGACTAATTTGGAGATCACATTTAACTTGAATTCTCTAAATAACCACTGAGAAACTTGTATGATCTTATCTCAAGGAAGTTGTTCTTTCAATCATCTTCATCGTTGAATTATTGATACTTTCTGATGAACTTGCTATTTCTAATTATAAATTCTGGGTTTTTACTATGAAGGTTACTTTGATTGAAACCGCATACTCTTGACCCTAAAGTTTTGGAATTGATGCTAATTCCGTACATTACTTCTGTTACTTGCATGTAATTTTCTAGTATTTGTTGTTTCAAATTTGCAGCTTTTGTGTTCTTGTTAGTTTGCTGCTCTGATTTCACAGATTTGTGTTAGGTGACTGATTTAAAGTGCTTATGTTTAAAATTCTCAGCAGAGTTGTTCTAAATCAACATCTTTCTGTTGGATCTTGCAGAGTTTAAATTATCTGTCTTGAGAAGCTGGTAGATTTTCTATTGATTAACCATGGGTGAAAACGGGGAGAATCATTCAGTCTCTCAAGAGAGTAAATCCAAGAAGCTTGAGAGTAAAAATCATTCAGGTGTTCCCAAGAGTGATCTTTGGACTGATGGGATTATTTGTGCCTTTGAGTTTATTCGAGGTCCGAAAAAACATGTTGATTCAAAACAACTGGATAAAGGTTACTTGAAGCAAGAAGATGGACCAATCAGACATACTTTCCCTGGTCATAACCCGTTTGTTGATTCGTCTGCGGTCGATGATTTAAGGTCAAGGTCTGTATCTTCTTTGGATTTTAAAGAAGCTCATATGCTTCCATCAGGACATGTTGAAAGATATGAGGGAAGTCATTGGGTACCGATTGGTTGGACTAGAATAACTGAACTAGTTCAAATGGTGCAAGTAAACGCGGAATGGCCTAATCTAGAGTTATTGGATGATGAAGACGATGTCCCTGTTACAGATTTAGCGGCTCCGTATTGGGAACGACCAGGTGGCCCCACATGGTGGTGTCACTTGACTGCTGGAAACTCTTTTGTTGAGGGATGGCTCAGAAGTGCTACATGGTTGCATCCCGCAATTAGTCTTGCATTGAGGGATGAGAGTAAGCTAATAAGTGAACGGATGAGACATCTTCTATATGAGGTATGTGCCTTGTTCCGGATCCAATTATTCAAGTTGAGTGTCAAAATTCAGCCACATAATTTTCACATATAGACATGCTCATTCAAAATATGCCATTAAAATATTTATACTTGGATCATAGTGGTTTTGGATAGGATTAAAGATGTTTGTTAGTCTCTGAGCATAGTAAATTTTCATTTAGTGTTATTTGAGATGTCTCATACAGTTTACTTTAAACACGTCTGGTGTATTTTCTTAGATGTTGTTGTCTTATTACTTACATTCTATGTATTTCTCCATGTATTTCCTTAGGTTCCAGTAAGGGTGGCTGGGGGTTTATTGTTTGAACTTTTAGGACAATCGGTCGGTGATCCAGTAATCAGTGAGGATGATGTACCCGTAGTTTTTCGCTCTTGGCAAGCGAAGAACTTCTTGGTATCTGTGATGCACATAAAAGGAAATGTAACGAGTACCAATGTCCTCGGTATCACTGAAGTAGAGGTTAGTTCAAAAAGTGTCTAAATATTTTACTTAATAAGATTCTTGAAGCTTAAATAACACAAGGCTGTAATATGGATTCTGACCTATGTTAATTCTCCTTCTGATTTTCCTGATAGGAGCTGCTTTATGCAGGAGGTTATAATGTACCAAGAACGGTTCATGAAGTTATAGCACACTTGGCTTGCCGTCTTTCTCGATGGGATGATAGGTGACAACAGTTTTCTGATTTACCTTTACTCTAATGAACGCTTGTCTAGGTTTGCTGACCAGAAAAGTGACTTGAGTTTTATACCATGTTCTTGTCTGGAAAGTATCTAATTGGTTCTTTTTGTTGTCCTTGATTGGCTATAGGTTATTCCGTAAATCCATATTTGGTGCAGCCGATGAAATCGAATTGAAGTTTATGAACAGGTTCTTAAAAATATGTATCCGTTTGTTTTGGATAATACACAATGCATGTTTAATTAACAGATAGTCAGATACTATCCTTTCTTGTTATTAGGAGAAACTATGAGGATTTGAATCTTTTCAGTATCATTCTCAACCAAGAGATCAGAAAATTATCAAGACAGGTCACCTTCTCTTCATTCTCAAACCTGTGTTGATATGTTTTAAATGATATTTGATGTTTGTGCGTGGGATGGATATAGTCATGGGCATGACGTCTTCCTTCTTTTCATGGCAGGTCATCCGAGTGAAGTGGTCACTACATGCGAGAGAGGAGATTATCTTCGAGCTTCTCCAGCATTTGAGGGGAAACACAGCTCGGCATCTGTTAGAAGGTTTGCGAAAGAACACAAGGGAAATGTTGGAGGAACAAGAAGCAGTTCGCGGGCGTCTCTTCACAATTCAAGATGTCATGCAAAGCAGTGTCCGTGCTTGGTTACAGGTTCTTTCTCCACGAACAACATTAACATCGTATCTCATAAATCTTCCATAATGGATCCATTTGGCTAAAACCCGAGTTTGCATTTTCAGGACAAAAGCTTGAGAGTAAGCCACAACTTGGCCGTGTTTGGAGGATGTGGTCTTGTGCTTACCATAATCGTAGGATTGTTTGGGATCAATGTGGATGGTATCCCGGGGGCGCAGAACACGCCTTATGCGTTTGGTCTATTCACTGTACTTATGGTTCTCCTTGGAGCTATTCTGATTGTGGTTGGTTTGGTATACTTGGGGCTCAAAAAACCCATTACAGAAGAACAAGTAGAAGTTAGGAAGCTGGAGCTACAAGACGTGGTTAAGATATTTCAACACGAAGCAGAGACTCATGCCCAACTCCGTAGAAACAACCTTTCTCCTACTGCTGGAGATGTCTTTGATGCTGATTATATTCTCATCCAGTAAACAAACTTGGAATCTATTTTCTTGTTTTGATACTACTAAATTCAGAGAGATGTCAATACAATGTTTGCATAAAAGACAGAAAAGTAGTCAGAATCACTGAGAGAACAAAGCTCTTAAGTCGAGGTCTCTGTTAAATCTATCTCGCCAAAATTTTGACCAAAAATTCAGGTCTTCCATATTGTACATTTCATTTCTGAAATAGTATAAGAGTAACGAAGAATTTTATTTTGGTTACAATTATTCTTAAACCAAAATGCGGACTGAGTGTGGAAACTGTATTATGTATCATGAACATTTCTCAAAGAGATGGAAAAAAAAAAAACTAGTTATTCTTCACAATGACTGTCTTAATGAACTCCATAACTGTAGCAACTAATTGACTTTGATGTTTGGTATAACAATGATCAGCTCCTTCCACAATCTCCAGTTTATGGTTCGGTATGATCTTTGCAAACTCCTTAGCATCTTCCAGGGGTATTACCTCGTCAGCTGATCCATGAACCGTCAAGACCCTGCCATTACAATCAATCATGGTTTGTTTATATCCCAAACATGCGATGTGAGTTAGAGAGAACTTGGCGAATCTCACCTGCATTCTTTGTCAATTTTGAGGCAAGCTTCATGCATATCAGTGTTTAACCTTTCCATTAAGCTCTCCTCGGTAACACGAAACCCAGAGTTTCCTGTAAAAGACCAGCACGTTAAGAAAGACACCAGAGTACTGATCTGAGACGGTACAAAAAGACCAAAAAGCGATAACAGTACCTTCTTTAATATCGATGAATCCTTGTTTCTTAATTCTTTCCAAAAAATCTTCCCCAAGACGCTCTCCTATGCCTTTCTTGAGATCATAACGTCCCGAGAGATTGATTACATTGCGGATATCGTGATATTTGGAGGCATAGACGAGGACCACATCACCTCCTATGCAATGTCAAAATAAGTTGAGTTTCTTGCAATGTCAGTTTCACCCCTTCTGTGAATCCGTTGTTCAAGGCAGAAAATCAAACAGTCCTAGTTACCTTTACTGTGGCCGATAATTATAGGAACCACACGGTTCATGTTAGTAAAGTATCGGATAACAGAATGTAGATCATCAGCTTCATAGTTGTAGTTACCAAAATAGAAATTGCCTTCACTCTCTCTGCAACAATGGAAGATCAAAACAAAATCCAAATTCTCTGATTCACCTATGCAAAACAATGATAAAGGAAGCAAGAGAAACATACCCATTCCCAGAGAAATCAAAACGGAAAGCACTGATCCCTTCTTTCTCTATAGCAGCAGCAACATTTTTCATGACCAGGTCATTCTGCATAATTTCATAAGCCAATGAAAAGTTTAATTCATACTACCAACATATGCTTCCACCTTTAGCGTACAAATCGCTAATTAGCTAAATGGTCAATGCACTTACTCTACGAATTGCATAACCAATAATCAAAGAATGGAACAGAAAATTGTGGTAACCTTTCAAATCACTTATTCTATGTAACGATCGAAAAGCCTAAGACAATAAACCCCTTGAAGTAGTCTAACTACATAATTGGAATAAGAAAACAGCTTGAAGAGTCTTTGGCTTCAACATATTTGTAGTTTGCCCTCGACATTCATATTGATTTCACCCATGATCTAACACCATATGTGTAAAGACAAAGAAAGTTCCATAACAACGAAGACGTCTCTAGCTATCAAAAGGTCAAACCTTTAATCAACTAAAATTACAAATTGAACTAAAAGTATGCAACTTTACAAGTAAGTCTCAGATCTCAGTTACCACTAGAGCTGAGAAAACAATAAAAAGGTTGTCATTTTACGTAAGTGGTTGAATCACAGATTACATTTCCAGAATCAAATTTGGATTTAAAATGACACTAACCTTGGTTGATCGAAAGCCATGGCACAAGACAACAATTTCTGTAGAACCAGTTTCATGAAGCAGACCCACAAGCTTCTCATTGTTGCTGTTAGGAATCACTATCTTTTGTTGTGTACCAGCTGAAATTCCCTGAGATGAATCCATTCTCAGCTTGTTAGCTTTGTTGCAGGAGATTTTGTTCTTCTTAATGGGAAAAAAGCTAACGTTGAAGAAAGAGAATGTTGGAAAAGGGGAGATTTTGTAATCTAGAGAAATGTGAGGAACAGATTGCAATTTATGGAAAAGAGTTTCCATTGTTGTGGACCCTGTTCTAAAAATCCCCGCCTAGCCCCGATTACTCCCCGCTTAATCGCTAGGCCCACCCTATCCGCCTCGATTAATGACTAATCCCCTAAAAAATCAGTAACCCGATTATTCTCCGCCTAATCCGATTACTTTCCGCCTAATCTTATATACCCCGATTATTTTTTAGATTGCAAGTATAAAAAAACTTTTTATTTTTGTTATTCAATCATTTGAATGGAGAGTTTGTGATGTTTTACAATAACTTGTGTTCAAATTTTAATAAAAATCATAAATTTGTAATAAAAATCATAAATTTTTACAATATTGGATTAATATATTTTAAAAATATTAAAATAACCCTAAAACTAATCCCCGATTAATCCCCGATTTTAATCCGATTTTCCGATTAATCGCTAGGCCCATGCCGAGCGCCCGACTAGCGCCTAGCGATTTTTAAAACAAGGGTTGTGGACTGAATCTGATGAATCCTGTTTTTGGGTGGAGATATTATTGGGGTAGATGTAACGAATCACAAATTTACGGGAATATTAGTAAAAGAACAAAATATATGGGGCGAATATGTAAAAAAGAGACAGACTGTATAAGAAGCGCGTCAAAGAAAAGCTACGTTTGGGTTTTGAAGCATTTCTCCTTTTAGAGCTCTGTGTTCTGTTTTTGAGGTAAGCGAAGAGCCCCAATTTCGATTTGGAGGAAAGAGACGAAGAAGAAGAACGCTCCAATGGTGAGTTTTTTTTGTCTCCTAATCATTACGCTTCTTTCAATTTTTCCCTTGTCTATTTTTGAGGAAACTCAAATTTTTCTTAGGGTTTTTGGGCATTTTCTCTACGAGATTATGCCCAAGTTAGTAGAGGTCACGTTGAGTTGATTTCGTTCCTTGGTAACAATGATTTGAACTGTTCTTGGTTAGAAACTGGGTTCGCTTGAATTAGAGATTTAAGTTTTGATATAGCTTAGAGTTTTGAAATTCATGATTGTTACTTTAGGGTTTGAATCAGTGATTCCGTCTGAGTGGATCTGTTTTGAATTCTAGGAGGTGTGTATTGTTTGAATAGGTGTGTGTTTCCATGTTAAAGTTCTTAAATCCATATTTGTAAATTGTTTCCTTTGGATTCTGTTGCTTATGCTTTTAATGATCTCCTTGTTGATTTGGTTTTCGTCAAAGGATTCTTTTCTTTCTTCGTAGTTCTTGAGTTGTAGTACCGTTATTGAAACTAACTCTTTCCTTTCGCATTGATATAATTGATGATGAAAAGTATACTCATCTCTATATCAGGCTACTTTCGTTGCACTTTGGCATAGTGTGAATTCTATGTGCTTCTATCTACTAGGGCAATGGTTGTTGGGTGTTAGATGAGAAAATGGATCTAGGAAATGACGGAGTCATCTGTTTTCTTAGATTCAGTTTATAGATTAATCTTCGGTATAATGTTAGCCGAAGAGAAACCATCTTCATGTGTTAAAACACTGCATTTTAATGGTTATATTTACTCCTTTTACTTCCTGATTTGTAGGCTGATCCTGAACTAGAAGCTATTAGACAGAGGAGAATGCAAGAGCTGATGGCTCGACAAGGCATGGTAATTTTTAATACCTTAACTGATATCTGTTTTCTTTCTCTAAAATATGTGTTCTTTGTGGCTCGTTTCCCTTTTAAGATCTTCACTAAAATGCATCATTAGCAGGGTAAGCAGGGCAATCAGCAGAATCCAGAGCAAGAGAAACAGCAGGAAGATGCTAGAAGGTGTGTGTCATTTTCTATTAGTTGACATGTATTATGTATATGAATTTGGAATTGTTTTAAAACTTATGTATTCTCTGATTGGAACATTCGTGTAGGGAAGCTGATGAACGTAGGCAAATGATGCTTAGTCAAGTATTGTCTTCTCAAGCCCGAGAGAGAAGTAAGTCTCATCTAAAAATGTGTTGGAGTTCATCTAATTACTCTCCCTTTTTTCTTCATTTTGTCATTAATATACCTTTTATGCTTCTATTTCTTTCTTTTTTTCGATAGTTGCTCGAATTGCCCTGGTGAAACCTGAGAAAGCTAGAGGTGTGGAGGATGTTATTTTGAGGGCTGCTCAGATGGGACAGATAGTTGAGAAGGTAAAAATTTAGTCACTTTTCCATGTCATAGTTCACAATTCTTACATACCATCTGGTTTCTACTCAAGTGCCGCTGGTACTATTATGCATCTAAGAGTTATTGAAATATACTCTGTTTGCTTTACAGGTTTCTGAGGAACGGCTTATAACACTGTTGGAACAAATAAACAGCCAAACTTCCAAACAAACGAAAGTCACGGTAAGGTCACACAATCCTCAAAAACACAAGTTATCAAAGCAAAATTCTTGCTCTTACCTTAACCATCGATATCATTGAGTGTAAATTTATCTCTGATGGGTATCTTCACTCGTGTAGTACCAACGGCGCCGTGGGGTGGACGACGATTAGGAAGGAAGAAGAATATTATGCTGTGCTTTATACAACTATGGAGATCTCACTGTTGAGTTAGTGAGTTCACTTAAGATCCACTTAAATGTTTCTGTTAAATATGTTTATTGTGAGTGAATCTTAATTATCTTTCCAAATGCTTCGGATGAGATTAAAGTAATCTGAAACTGAAATTCTGCATTTTTATTTTTGGCATTTCCTCTTGAGAACTATCTCCATCTTCCTCACTCTTCGCATTGCCTGTTATGTTTTGAATATTATTAGAAGGAAATATGATCCTGTTCTAATTCTACTTCTCATAATTTTGATGTTATTGCTACTAATTCATGGTATTCTCAAGTCATTTGCTTATTTTCTGACTAATTAAAAAAAATCGCTCAAAGTCTAAAGTAACAACAACAACAAAAAGTTAATTTTGATCCTCAAAAAGAGTAAGAAATGATGATGTACCTTACTATTTGCCAAAAATACAAAAAGCTCTTAGTTAGCTTTGACACTCAAAGTAGTTAGATGTTACTTCAAATAATCAAATAGAAACAAATAACAAATGATCAAATAGAAACAAATAACAAATAATCAAATAGAAACAAATAACAAATAATCAAATAGAAAGGGGACATTGTAACCAAACATAGATGAATGCAAACAAAAATGCTAGTCATTGTCCCTCAAAAGTCAAAACAAATGACGAAATAAATAATTATGTAATTATATCTATCTACCTTACTATTTAATATTTACCAAAAACATAATGCTCTTAGTTCACTTTGACACTCTAAGTTGTTAGTTGTTACTTCAAAGAATCGAAGAGAAAAGAGATAAATCATGTCTTTAAAGAAATTTAAAATTGAAATAAGTTTCTTCGAGATCATGCATTATTAAAAGAAAATGTTAAAGTATCCTTTTATTTCATTTAAGTTTTATATCGAATTTAGCTTTGTTGCTTGTGGAAATAAAGAAAAACTCAAACTCACATGTTTGAACATACGAAAATCTCAAACGTGGAAATCGTTTTGTGATTTTTAAGGATGATCGATCACATACGTAATGTATACTTCATTAGTTCATATAATTTATGATTAGTACGTCGTTCGAATATCGATAAGTCATGATCATTCGATAAACCATCTTTCACGTAGACTATGACGTAGTTCTACAATAACAAAGTGGCTATTTTGAAAAAGTAATTAAAAAAAAAAAAAAGACAATTAAACAACATTTTATGCATGTTCTACGATCCGTACAATAATTTGTTTATTAAAATTATAAACGCTGAGACTTGTTCTTCTTAAATAGTGATTAGAAAATGACATTAGTGGAGTGGATGTTGAACTTGAATTCTCGAATACGATTGAGCCTAAACGTTGACTTTTGACTTTTCCAGTCATTGATTTCCTTTTCGATTTCCTAATTCTTTTTATTTTGTCGGCTTGTCTTTGGTCTTTGTTGTATTTCATATTTATCTCATATAGTAGAAATGAAAGAAAAATACTCATTTGTTGATGATGCATCTAATTTTTTTTTATTTGATTATCTATTAGATCATAGAACATTTCGGTTTGAAAAGTATAATTCATTAATAAAAACAATGATTTATGATATTGAAGTGTGTGACCTCAGTCGACAATTTTTTTTTAATGTTTGAGAATAGTTAGACCGTCGATGGTTACAAGAATGGAGAAACATGAGATATGTGGACATGAACGGTAAGGACATTACTAAAAGTGAGTTTTCATTGTTTTGAGGAAATTAAGGATAAGTAAACATACTTAACGACTATATTGGGACATGTTAAACTAGTATTAAATATTTTTAAAATAAATCATGTAGATTGGCTCATTGCCATTTACCAATTAACATACCTACAGCATTACCTAACATAATACCTGCTCGGAACGTCCAAAAACATTCATAACTTTAGTGTCACACTCAACTATAGAAATTAGAATTGATATGAGTATGTAGTTCAAAGTCATACTTTCATGTTTTTGTTGTATAATTTAAACTAGAACTGTATACTTTTTAGTTTTGACGATAGAGCTTTACATCTACTTGTGATTTGTGAAACTATAGCAAAAATATCGACAAAATTAAAACTAGCAAAAAAAATTGTAGGTGAAAATGTCAAAGAGAAAGCGACAACCGTACCGTGCAACCTTTTTACTTGTACAAGTGTCTCCACACTTTACCTATCAATTAGTCTCGTAGTATTTTTGAATTTTACTAATATAACTTTTATCTATTAGATCCTCAATTTTCTAGGAAGTATTCCTATTTATTTAATAAATAACTTAAAGCTAAAACGGCTATTTGACTTATCAAACACCACCTTAGGTTTTATTAAAAACTTTTCGGTTTTATCATAATAAGGTAATCGACAAAATCCATTAGAAATGCCAAACAAAACATCGGTTAGTGCTTATATATCATTTTTGATCTTCCTCCATGAGACCATGACAAAACAAAAAGCGAATGAATGAAGCTTTTTTGGCTCCATAGAAATAGTGTTGTTGACCTGTTCTTACTTGAACACTTATGGTAAAAGAATATTATTATGGTTTTAAGCCTTTAAGGTTAGTTACTTAGTTGCTGTACTGGAAAAAAAAACACGAGTATGGTTCCCGACCTCTCACATAGTGATTAAATCCGTAACAAATAGTATCAAGCTAGCGGTGATTATAGACTTAAAGAAACCATGGACCAAAGTCACCAAACACTCAAAATTCTAAAATTAGAAGAAAAAAAATACATAAAATGACATAGGGCTTGGGTCATCAAAGACAAGAAAAAAGGAGAAGGAATAGCACGTGACATGCACGACTTTGCTAACCCTAACGGTCAAAGACGTCTCTTATTTACCTTTTATGTTTCTAACATTAAAAATGCAATCATATGGTTAAGACTTAAGTATAGCCGTATAGGTGCAGACAAAATGCTCCAAATACCCAAACTCGATTCACTCATAATATTTATGTTTTCCCAAGTTCAAATAATGCTTAGGTAAAAATGTTTAGATCCAATCATTTTGTATTTTTTTTGTATATTTATATCTCAAGATTCTTTTTCGACGTCTCATGATAAGGTTATTTGTTAATGTTTAGGCTTATCTTAAATATAAAGCTAAAGAAAGTGAAGTCATTGCTTTGAAGGAAGGACGTTGACTGTTCACAAAAAAGACTAGTCTTCGTTGACTTTGAATCAACAACAATAATGTAGCTCCAAAGAAAGGAGTATATCACTACAAGAAATATCTACATTATTAGCAAGAGAGAAGAGCTATTATATGTCATTAATAACGTTTTCATAAACGCTGTCTTATGCCCCTGTTATTGTAGACCCCCCACATACGATAACGTTTTTGTTGTATGCTATGATAGAGTATTCTACCACAGCATTAGTAAAAAGCTTTGATATATCGACTTATAATAGCAATATATATAGGTTATGATATATTGTTTTTACAATGCTATAATATTCAGTGTTATGACTCTTATTTTATGCAGTTGTTTTAAGCTATTTAATATATATATATATATATAAACATCCAAAAGATATAACATCATTTCATAAACCAAACATCAATTCATACAACGTAAGTCTCAATCCAATAGTTAAACTAATATCCACACTTCTATATACTACTTTAGCACTACTCTTCACAACAAGAATACTAATCATAAGGGTTTGAACATACCATCCAAGTTATATCAAACCAAGTCTTAGACTAACTATACAACTAGGAATCATGTTCTTCACTCCTAACAAGTTCTTCAAGCTTCTTGAATAGCCTGAATGACATTCTTCTTCACTCCCAACATGCTCTTCAATCTCGAATAGCCCGAATGACACTATAAGCTCCTGCAACGTTAGTACAAGAAGAAGAACCTTACCATTCAATTCAAAAAAATATGCTATCTACAGTTTTGTGAAACTGAGACAAAACTCCACTTTAGAATACTAAGGCATGTCCTGCAGCTTTTGTTGAAACATATCCTCCTAAAGCTAGAGCAAGCTCAACACAAACATGGGCATAAGCAACATTCTCAAAGTAAATGAAATCATAGAGATTATTCCCATCATGTATAATAAATTGGACATTAAAGAAGCAAAAAACAGTCGTACCTTGTGCTCAAAACAAAGTCAAAATTTTCACTATGAGTGAGTAATTTTATATTGCTATCAGCAACCAACTCCACCAGCTGGGAGTTTTCTTCAAGTTTAAGTCTGCTAGCAACTGTATCTAGACAGAACAACAATAATAAAGATTATTTACACATTCACCATTACCAAAAACAAATAGCAGTAGCAGCATTATAGCCTCACCTTGATGATTTGAGAAATCACACCAAGCACAAGATGACGCTCCAATTAAAGAAAGAGAGAAATGTTAGTCATAACCATCACCAACATTTCAAGATACTGATGATAGAGTCAGTTGATTCACATACCTTTCCTTCAATGATATCACATACTCTTCTTGCCCATTAGAATCGTCATCATTCTCAATGAACATTACGATTCAGAAGACTCGAGCATGGTAAATTAGAAAATCTCACCTGGTCATGATAAAACTCTTTTTGCCCGTTAGACTCGTCATCGTTCTCAACCCCATCAATTATAAGAAGATATATCTTAGATGAATCAATCACCTACGGGAAATGTTATCAAAACAAAAGCGTCGAAGCAATAAAATTATCAATTACATTTATATTCCATTCTAAACTAAAAACTTACTTGAGTTTGCTTGATGCGAACAAGCAGCTTCTTGCTTTGGCGACAATCTTTGATACATCTACCATCACTCGCTTCTTCACTCGTCATCACCGTTTTAGCACCTTCAAGTCTCTTCACCATCACAAATTCACAGTAAGCTGTAACTCATATGAGTATAAGAAACTTTCACATCAGTAACGATTATAACTAGAGATAGAAACGAACTCGGACTTGACTTTTTATTATCATGAAACAACATTTTAATGATGAAGAAGTTACCTAAACCCAGAAGTTGAAAACTGATAATGATAGAGAGATTTGAAAGAGACTCACGAATACGAAGAAGAACAAGAAGCTAGACATGAAGAAGTAACAAGAAAAAATGTGGAACGCAAATGCCCACGGAGATGACGAAGAAGAAGGATTTGGAAACGAATTTTTTTTAGAGGATTCATCAAACCAAGACTCTTTCTTTCTCCCTCTCTATCCAAAAAAAGACAAACAAAAAATTAATTTCTAATTGAAATTGAATCATGAATTTGAAATTGCAGAAAAGTAACCTTATTCCTCTGATCTGTTTGAGACTTCGCCATAGCTCGAACCACAACAAACCAGCCAAGTCTATAGATGGAGAAACCAACGGACCCAATTCAGGATGAAGGATACTTGAGCTCGAACCAGACCAAATCGGAGAAATTTTGACCCCCGGCGGATCTAGTACCATCGGTCGTTCTCAGATATGGAAGATTGATGACGCGGCGACAATTTGGAGATGGAGAAAGACGATGAGGAGAAGAGGATCTTCAAAGTATGGATAAGTGGAAGATCTGTGTTTTTTTTAGATCTGTTGTTTATTTGGAGATGGAGAAAGGGGATTTAGGGTTGAAGGTGAGACAAAAAAAAAATGAGAGAGCGTTACTTTATAAAAAATTAAAGGTCTCGAAGAGAACGAAGAGGTATGAGGAGAAGATAATGAGGCAAATATGAGAAAAATTAGGTTTTGTTTGGCAACAAATGGATTTTTTTTTAATTTGGTGGAGCGCTAAACGTAAAAATTTTGCTAAGTGCGCCGGTTCAAAGTGATTTTAGTTTTTCATTCTGCTATTGTTAGTCTTAGCATTTTTGAAATGCTATGATATAGTTACCGAACTTTGAGTACCATCTTTAATAGCAGTGACGAAAAATGCGCTATCGTCATGTGCTATCAATGCTAATATTTCTTGTAGTGTATATATGTAATTAAAACCCTTATTTAAACAAGAAAGAAAGAATTAGTTAGCTTTTTTTATGGAAGTTATTTGTATCAACCAAAAAGTTATTCTAGAGAGATGCAAAATGGAGACTTTTGTTAACTTTTCTTTCGTTTTGTGTATATGCATATTAATATATGATTCGCCAAGAAAGTTTTCTTTTGACGAGTGCAAAGATGTTGGAAGTAGATGTATAATGTCTACATAGCTTTATACATTTGACCTCTATTTTATCTTTTTTTAATTTTCCTCGGTAGGACTTCTACGTAGATTAACTTTTAAAAACTAATCATTATTGCATTCCCATATACCTTGATTTCTGATATTGTCTATATATATCGTTATTTTTTGCTAAGAATGTAAATATTCATAAAAATGAAAATGTTTAGGTTTACATGGATTTCTGATATTGTCTATATATATCGTTATTAAAGGGCATGATGGCTGTTCAAATTTGTTATGTAAAATACATGATATTCATGGTGATGATCATATCTACTATGACATATTACATATCTAAGCGGATGTACGTATGTTTTCCAACCGTTTTTTGTATTTTGTTTTTACGTTTTGTCAAGACTCGAGACCGTATTCATAGCGCTAATCTCCATGTGATTCTTATAGTGTAATACTTTTAAGAAAGCTATTCATCATCTCAACCAAATGTATGTTTACAAGAAAAAACAAATGAAAGAAAAGAAAAGAAAAGAAACAAAAAAAAAAGAATTGTGAATTCTAATAGTGTCATACTTTATTAATAAAGCATGGTGTGGTAGATAGGATTAGAGAGAAATATATAGTTAAATGTTCCTTTGTAGAAACCACTTTTTGTTCAATAGCTCTATAGCTATAATTAATTTGTAGTTGAAATTGTCAAACCTTTCTTTTTCACATACATAAAAATATTTTAACAATTTATACCCATTAAAGTCTTCTAATAAGATTATGACCCTTCCAATATCTCCCTCTTGAATTCTTTCAAACTACATAGTTTGTATTTCACATTTAGAGAGATTAATTTCAAATTACATATCATAATTTATATTTCGGTTAGAGAAAGTATTTTAATTATTTTAATAACGATTGTTGCTCGTATAGTGAATTGGTATTAGACCACAATAAACCCAAATGAGTATTTAGCTATAATCCAAACGCGAGGTTAGATTGGTTCAAATTGAGTGAACTTAAAAAAGAATATTCATCTTGAACTTATATGTTAGAAATTCCATGTTATAAAGTAAAAGACGACGTATAGTTTTATTTGTACATAAAAAATATTAGTTACTCTATTTATAATCAATCGGGTATATGGGATTAAAAGTTCATTGATTTTACAGACCAAACATTACATACTAATGGACAGATTTATTTTTCGCAAATGATATCGCTCCACAATGATTTAATTAAGACCTTAATTGAATATTCTGAACGAAAGACCATCGAAGTATTAAAGTAAAGCTGAATGGACTTGTATTTATAAGACTTGATCACCCAAAGTCCACATATAACCTAACACCTAAGTTTGAAGAAACAACTCTATATATTCCTCTTCTTCTCTTTCTCCTCTTCTACAATGGATGATCATCATGTTGAGCAGAAGAACACATATTTTGAAGAAGTATCATTCACAAGCTTAAGTGATTGCTTACAAAGCTCATTAGTAATGGATTATAATGAATTCCCACCTTATAGTTCCCCTTTTCAACCGGTTTCACCGTCCGATATGGGCCATATAGTAAACAATCCTTACTTAAATCTCAATTCGAATTCTCCAGTGGTCTCATCTTCCTCCAATGAAGCCGAGCTTAAAGAGAACCCTGACGATAAGAGTGACCGAATGGAGGATAACGAAGACAACCAACATGGTGTTGGTAAAAGCTCCAAGCAATCGTGAGTTCCTTTTTTTTTTTTTTTTTAACAATTGTGAGTTCTTTTTCCACGTTTTACATTTTTTTTCAGAGTTCCTCGCATATTTTTGTTCTTTTTGGGTAACTAGATTTCCTGAACCAAAATTCAGACGGTATAATGTCAAGCTTACAAAAATCAACAATCACTTGACAAAATAACTAAAAGTTTTAGAACGTTGAAACCCTAGAGATTAATATGCTTTTGGTGGATGCGTATGGTCAGGACAAAACAAGGTAAAAAGAAAGGAGAGAAGAAAGAGAGAGAAGCTAGGGTCGCATTTATGACCAAAAGCGAGATTGATCATCTTGAAGATGGTTATAGATGGAGAAAATATGGACAAAAAGCCGTCAAGAACAGTCCTTATCCAAGGTTCACTTCCTCGATCACTTCACTCTATTAAAATCCACACATTTATATTTACTTGTCCATGTATCTATAAGTTACAAGTATATATGTATCATAAATATCATAATATATATAAGAGTTTACTATATGCGTTTTCAGGAGTTACTATAGGTGCACAACACAGAAGTGTAACGTGAAGAAACGTGTAGAGAGATCGTTTCAAGATCCGTCGATCGTAATTACAACCTACGAAGGAAAACACAACCATCCGATCCCGTCGACGTTGAGAGGAACCGTGGCCGCTGAACATCTACTAGGCCACCATGGTGGTGGAGGCGGTTTCCTCCATAGCTTCCCTCGTCACCATCAAGAGTTTCTCATGATGAAACATCCTCTGGCCAATTATCAATCGGTGGGATCTATGTCGCACGAACATGGTCATGGGACCTCTAGTTACAATTTTAATAATAATCAACCAGTTGTTGACTATGGCCTTCTTCAGGACATTCTTCCTTCAATGTTCTCCAAGCACGAATCTTGAGAGAGGGTACGTTACGTATGTACTATGGATCGTATCTTTATGGTTGCATTATATAAGCATAAATCATTTGGTACTATATGTATGTAAGTAGATTCTTAGGAATGTATTTATTAATAATATCTATACATGCATGTTAATTTATATATTTCTTCACTGACAAACTACTACTAATTATTTGTAATCTTGATCCTTAATTAAAAGAGTTTTTTTTTTTGGTAAAATTAATTAATTAAAAGAGTTAAATTAGAGTATTTAACATTTTGGCCTCTTCGAAATTTGAGTATTTTGTATAATTGGGTACATATGATGACATGATGTGGCTATTACATATGCTAACTATCAAACCTTATTAACCGGAAGTGGTGGGGTAGTGGTTCTAGTCTGGTGGAAGAGTGGTCCTGTTGGTTTAGGCCAGGGATCTCTCCAGACGCAGAATTTCTCAGCTTTATCTCTTTGGTCACCAGGCTCGGCCCTTTACCAATTTTTATGAAACATTTGTGTTGGGCCTCATATTTTTGAGGCCCATTTTGTTGAGAAATTTTTTTTTTTTTTTTTAAGGCCTCAAAATTAGTAAATAATCCCCAAAATTAGTAAAAGGCCCATAATTAACAAAAAAAATACTCCATAATTAGTAGAAAACTCTAATAATTAACAAAAAAAATGTCTAAAAATTAAGAAAAATTATGAATGTCTCATTTTTAGCAAAAAAAAATCAAAATAACAGTTTTTAAATTTTTAAAAAGCCCAAAAAAAAATTTCGTATTTGGCCCCAGATTTTACCGAACCGGCACTATTGGTCACATGGATATGGGCTCATTATTTACGGTTTATTTAAAAATCTGGGAGGAATCCTACCCGTGGGACACCTTCTCCCCAGAGATTAGTTTTAAACCCCTCCATAGAGTCTGGAGATTTACCTGAGTTATCAAAAAAACATAAACTATCAAACATTCAAACCTTATAAAAAAAAAAAAAAACTGATGTCTAAAGTTTGCCTGTAGATAAAAGTCTCAGTTTTTTTTTTTCGTAGCGGAAATTGTTGACTATATATTATATTAACGAAAACGACTTGCTCCAAAATCAGTTCCCTCGATCCAATTTTTTTCTTCTATCTGACGATAAAACATTCTCGTCATTCTCTCCGATAAAAAATTATCATAACTAACATATACAGTATTAGAGGCCACAAGAAACACAAGCCCAAGCCTAATGAAGCCCATGTATTTAGGGTTTGAAGCAAGTAGAATAGTAGTATAAATAATCTTCTTATTATGAGATCTTTGATTGCTCACAAATGGGCTTCATTAGGTTTAGGCTTCTTGTAACCTCTAATAGAAACATTGATTAACCGATAACCAATTCTGTTTTACAAATCTGGTATCGAGCTTCTTTTGTTACACTTCAAAGAAAAAGACACTAAAGTTGTGACACCAGATTACACTAAGCCATTGTTAAAGCTAGAAAAGTTTTAAGAAACAAAGAGATGTAGGTAAAGATTCCTATATATCGACAAGGATGGTTAATTGTTTAAAGATAAATCTCATTAACATGAAAGACCCTCATCATTTAGGCCATGGTGATTGAAAGAGCTAGCACAAGAGTGAGAAGAGTGGTGCGGGAAGCTTGCCCAGACGTCTTGCCATGTCATCTTCTCTTTCAAGCTGACTCGGACTTGATCTTTGCTGTCTCTTTCTCTGATTGTGACTGGTGTTTCTGAGTCCACTGTTATTGCAAATGGCACTCCAAGCTCATCAGATTTCACGTATCTCTTACCTATCGATATACCTGTTCACATACACAAAAATCTTTACTCGGTTGCTCCGTTTCAAAATTTTAACAACTTCCAAATTTCAATTTGTTTGACGTACCTTTCATGTCAATATCGTGATCGATGCGACAGGAAGTGAGTTCCTCGGAAATGAGTCTGGTTGTCTCCTCGAATTGTTGGTTTTTCACAAGCGGGAAAACCATGCACATCTTGGGAGCAACAAGAGGAGGGAAACGGAACACGTTCAACTGTTCATCCCCTGCTTTGCTTGGCATTGTGCTGAAACAATGCTCGCACAGACAATACACGATCCGACCAATCCCAAACGATGGTTCAATCACTGACGAAGTGAAAGACCCCTGGTACACTTTCTTCTTCTCCTTTGAGATTGACACCATATTCTTCTGGATGGTCACATTTTTCTCGAGGGTACACACGTAAGCTTAGAAAGGAATGCCTATGGGTGTCAAAGGAAATGATGAGAAATAGAGATAAAAGGTAAGAAACTTACGGAGTGAGCACGCAAGTCGTATGCTGCCCTATCTGCTATCCCAACACATTCAATCCACCCATATGAAGTCTCAATTTCAGCATCCCAGCAATCTACTGCATAGTGGGCCATTTCATTTGCTAGATGCTGGCGGAAACGCAACCGATCCTTGTCTATGCCAAGACGGGTAAGGAAAAGATACACTCTCCCAATGAAGTAGCCTAGAGTTTCGTTGTTCACAGTTCCCTATTTGAACATATGTATATTCTCACATGTAAGCATCAATACAATTTTTAGTTAAAAATTCGAGTGCACAGTAGAAATAAGTAGGCGAATACGATTATAAATACTGACCTTGGCAACAGCTTCACCAAGGCAAAGTTTTGTTGCAGATTGGCCAGACACTTGCTCCTCTCTTGGAAACATAAGGAATTCCAGTTTTGCTACACGTGAGAATTTAGGATGTGACTTATTCCCAGGGTGGATGAAGTGCTCAATTTCTGCCAGAGTGAATTCACGAACTCTAAGAGGCCCTTGACGTGGAGATATCTACATGAGAGTAACAATGTGCTAGTTATTGCAACCATAGAGATAAAACATACCCAATAAATCAAGCAAAGCAGTATAGAAAACTCAAGTATATATATATATATATATATATATAATCAATCAATCACCTCGTTCCTGAAGGCTTGACCAACTTGAACCGCGGCAAAGGGAAGTTTCTTCCCATTATATCTATACAACTCATTAAAGTTGCAAAAAATGCCTTGTGCCGTTTCAGGACGCATGTAACTGAAACACACAAAGAAAGAAACTTGATAAAAGAATCTAAGGAACAGGAACGATTCTAACGTGAAAAAAATACTCACCCAGTATGCTGACCAGACGGGCCAATGGATGTTTTAAACATCAAGTTGAACGGGTAAGGATCAGAGAGTGGATTCTTAGTGTCTGGAGCAGTGATCCCATACTCTTTGATCTTCTTTCCAAGATCTTCAATAGAAAGATTTTCCAAAACAACGAGAAGATCCTTTAATTCAGCAGCTTTCTCAGCAGAGATGGTAACATCTTTCTCCAGCTTCTCGTTGCAATAATCTTTGACCAAGTGGTCAGCACGGTAATATGATCCAGTAGTCACATCCTTGACCATGACATCAGTGAACTTATCAACATGACCAGATGCCTTGAGAACAACCTCTGGTGTCACACATGTGCATTCAATTTCCAGCATCTTCTCCTCACGAACGAAATGCTATAAACATAAGAAAAAAATCAGTCATGTAAATAAAACAGCAAACAAAATCTTAGTCTAACGAACGAATATTGCAGATATATGTGAATGATCCTTACTTCACGCCACTATTTCAGAATATTTGATTTAACATTGAATCCAGGAGGACCGTAATCGAAAAGTCCGGAGACGCCATCCAGAGCCGGTTATTGGCATGTGCAAGTGGTGCATTTGCACCGGATCCAACAAATTTAAGGTCAAAATTCATAGTTTTTCTATTATTTAACTATTTAATTATGCTGAAATTTTATAAAATATCTATATGTAAAGGTCTTAAAATTCTATTTTAAAAGGTAATATTGAAGCCCAAAATTAATAAACAAAAATAACATGTCCAAATAGCTATAAAATACAAAATAGTTTATGAAATATAACTTTTTGTAAAAAAAAATAAAATAAAAAATATATAACTTTTTTGTTCTTTATCCAAATTTTTTATTAAAGATATGATTTTTTTTTGTATGACACCGGGTCTTGCCGATGAGTGAGCCGGGCCGCCATCATGTATCTTGAAAGAAGGGATGTAGAAGGAACGCCCGTAGAGAACCTTGTTCAAGGCTTGTCGGAAAGCTTCAGGGTTATGTGAAACGTTTCCGGAGCTGAGGGCGGACTCGACAGCCGAGGAATTCTCAACCTTGAGGGTTTCGACGGTGTTCCCCTGCACGTCGACGACCGAGGATTTCTCCGGGAACGACTGATGAAGAGGTTGCTCGGTAGCGACCATCGGAATCTGGCTAGGGTTTAGGTCTTACTGAAGAATATAATGGGAGTTGTTGTTTCCGATGTTCTGATTTCATAGTAAATCACCCGAGTTTAAATTAAGGAAACTTTAGGGCATCCCCATGGTCATTAAAAGTTAAAAATCTCATTACCAAATAATTTTTTTACTAGGATATTACCCGCGGTACACCACGGGTTAAATTATTTAATTAATTTTATAATTTTATTTTAAGGTGATGAATTGTTGTATTTATTTTATATGTTTTTTTTGGGTTTTGTTTAATATGTAAATTTTCTAAAATCTAGGATTTAACCGGGACAATATTTTATATACAATAATATTTTAAAGTTATATGATTATACTTTTTGGTTTTTAATATTTAACCCGTAAAACAGATGTAATTTAGTAACTCAATTACACATTTAGAGATTGACCCGTGAGACATTAGTGAAATCAGAATTTAGACCCGTAGGACATTACATTTATAGAATATCAGAATTTAGATATGAAATTAGTGAAAATTAAGGCAATGAATGTTTGGGAGATTTTAGATTTTTTTTTTAGTTTTTAGTTTTTAGATTTTGTTTTTGGTTTTTGGATTATGTAAAAATAGAAATAAAAACAAATGTAAAATTTAAAAAAAAAAAAAAGATCTAACTAAACAATATAACCAAACAATAAACGATTTAAAGCCCAAGAAACAAAACCGAAGCCTAATAATTTAAAAAGACAAATACCCAAATTGAGTACTTATTCTGTGTTAGTAATATTCATGTTTATATTACCCTGCGGGTCAAATTATTTTTTAGGGATGTAGTATTATCTAAACGATTAGTGAGGATTTCAGCTTTTAGTAGACCACTGTCAATTTAAAAGATTTCATAAAATCTAAAATGTGACCCGTGGTAGGATAAAATCTAATATTATTGGGGTACAGAACTTTTTCAACCGTCCATATAATTCTTATAACATTTGATTCGATCTTAGATTAATAAATTTTGGTTTGGTTCACTTCAATTCGGTTTGGTTTATCTTCCCACTCAACCGTTGAACGAACTTAGTCTGAGTAAATAAAAAATCCGTGCACATTACATTTAGCCCCAAAATGCCTCTCTATCTGGTGGAGCGACACCAAAACTAAGCTTTATCATTTTCCAGAGAATCGTCTCTTTGGGTAATCGGAGAATCACAAAAAAAAAATGGGAACCATAGGATGAGCTATTTACACTGGGTAATTGGATTCATGGGACTGGTCAAGCTTTTGATCGTGTTGGTTCTCTTCTTCAAGGAAGCCGCGACATCGTAAGCTCTCAGATCCTTCCACTTCCTACGCTCTATTGAACCCTAGATCCAATTCTTATTAATTGAACGCTAGATCCAATTCTCTATATCTAATTTGTGTTTTCACCAGAAAAAATACATTTGATTCGAGAATTTTTTGTGGTTAGATTGAAAACTTTAATTTGGGAAATTTGTTGTTGTTTTCAGTGTCGAGGCATCGGGCGTTGATGAATGTGTTTGATTCACCAAACACGTATTGGCGCCGCATCCAATTACAATGGAAATCGAAAGATAAGATTTTATCGTTAAAAAAAAAATCAATTAGATCTTTATTTAAAGAAATTGTCTTCTTTAAATTGCATTCGAGAATTTTCTATATCATATATCCAAATCCAACTAAGTGAAACAAAATTTGCCAGAAGAAACGCAAAATTATATATATATGAAAGGGAATGTATACAATAGTGTAACATAATATCAAAACGCAATTAAAGGATTTACGGAGAATGATTGAAACCAAACCTTTTCAATTTAACCTTTTTTATTGCCACTCTTTTTATCCAACGTATCAGAGCAAGACTCTATCATTGTCAAGCACAAACCCTTTCTTGTCATCCACAAATCTGCAGAAAACAATAAAAACAAAAAGAATGAATTTGGAAACTGATTGTAATGTTTGAGTTCAGAATCTCACCAGTTTTGGTTGTGTATTGCTGTCATGATGCAGAATCTTAATTTGGACTTGTCATGCGATTTTGTAAAGCCGCTTATAAGATAGTCAAAAGAAACAACCATGGAGATATTGAAAAGCTTTCTTCATGGATGTAAAAGGTAAAATGTTTCTTGATGCCCTGGTTTTTTTCTTGGATGTGTTGACATGTTATATATAGAGGTTGTAGATGTTTAGGGTTAGGTGTGATTGTAAAGCGAGAAAATCTTGGTGATCAAGTTCAAAATCTTGTTAACACAATTACGTATCATTAATCAAAAATTTAATCGTATAATTAATCAAAAAAAATAGAATAATGCACAAATGTTTAAGGGAAGATTGCAAAATCATTATGAAACAAAAGCAATATTCTTGTTAACAAAATTACGTTAGAATGTTCTATATGTTTTGGTTTAGGGAAATTTGCCAAATCTACCACTTTCTCAAGTTTTTCCTACAAAAATGCCATATTTTAAAAAACTTTTCCTCCATACCACTTTGTAAAATTGGAAATGACCATTTACTCCTTATTTTCTCCACAAACACTCACACAAATATCTTCTCTTCTTTTTTTTTTTTTTTTATCGTTTCATGCTCTCTCCCTCTTCCTCTCTCTCTTCATCCTCTTCCTTTCTCTCTTTCTCTTTTTCCTTTCCTCTGTTTAGATCTAAGATTTGTTTGAAGTTAATTAGAACTATTTCCATCTCCACCATCGTCTTCTTCTCTTCTATATCACCACTGTGGATAAAAAAATTCAGATCTATAAATTTTGATATCCTCAATAATAGATCTTTTAGTTTTCCTATCTAAATCAAATTCATTCTCCCATATAAATTTGACGATTCACTGGTTTTAATTTTGTTTTTAATTGCTTATTCAATTTCGATATTATGCATATTAAATGTTTGTTGTCTACGAGAGAAAAAAGAAGACGAAGATGTCTAGTAGAAAACTGAAGACGAAGGAAAAGATGTCTACGAGGAAACCGAAGATGTATATTGTCTATTATTCTTATATCAATCAACATATATTGTCTACTATTATTATATCAATCAACATATAGTTCTAATACTTCGTCATTTTGGCCAGACAGAGAAGAAGATGTTTACGAGGAAACCAAAGATGTTGTGGACAATATCATTGATTTGAATCTGAAATGTTATCCACTTAAGTAATAGACTAATAGGAATCTGATTACATTTTTTGTCCATGCTTTTATTACTTTAAAAATATTGTCCATTTACCAGATTAAAAATTTCAAGCAAACGTTATCGACGATTATTGGTCCAAGATGTATATATATGGTTTTTTTTGTCCATGCGAAGCAGATACTACAGACTTATTTATATTTATTTCATGATATATGTATATACTTATAATTTTTAGTTTGGTGGACAAATTTAGACATGTATATTTGGTTGTTGTCCATATATGTGTGTGATATTATCTTTGACGAATCTATTTCGATGAATTGATAATGCTGGACAAAAAATATTAAAATAAAGCAAAAGAAGAGAATAAAAATATGTCTTGCTTCCCATTAATACAAGGGTATTTTGGTCTCTTCATGTCATCTCTACCACAAGAAAATGGTAGTTTTGAGGAGTTTACACAAATGTGGTATTTTTGTTAAGGGTCCCACCTTTTTGTGGTAGAATTCATAGTTTTTCCTTTGGTTTAGGCAATATTCTGATATTTGAATATCTTGAGAATATGCTTGTTGTTAGTTTACAAATCAAAACAAAATCAAAACGCAATTGTTAATGTGGTTTCCTTTTTTGTAGGGAAATCTTCTCAAAAGATACATTAACAACGATTGACGAAAATTTAGGAATATCCGAAGTTATGATTTGCGGGTTATCTCATAACTTTTTTAGGAAAGTCTCAAATTATTTGGATCCAAATAATTAATTCCGGGTCAAAATTTCGGGTCAAAATTTTGACCCGATTAGGGACCCAAAAACTGTTGCAAAAATGTATAGTAGATGGGTTTGTTTGGAAACTAGTACGTTTACAAATATAATTATAAAAGTAGTACGGTTACTATTCACATTTGTAGAAGTAGTACGGTGAGACCTGTTTGTGAGATATAGAATAGTGAGATAGAAATATTAGTGGGTTTTAGAAAAGACCAAAAATGGCTTTTGTTTGTCTCTGAGAAAAAGAAACGTGGGTGTGAGAAAGAGAGAGAGAGATGTGGGTCAGACGTGGGTCAGGCTTATTAAATTACATTCCTTCAAAGTTTAATAATTAAAATGATCGTTCGTAAATTTTATTTTTGTAAAATAGATCATATACATAAAAATCTATGTTTTTTTCTCTATCATTTGATATGCATTTTGTTTGATGTTTTTTAAATTTATATTACAGACCACTGTACAGATGTAGACCACTGTACAAATGTAGACCACTGTACAGATGTAGACCACTGTACAGATGTAGACCACTGTACAGAAGAATATCTGTATAGAAAGATGCATGTGAACAGAATAATGTATGTACAAAAGGATGCATCTGTATAGAAGGATACATCTGTACAGATGTAGACCACTGTACAAATGTAGACCACTGTACAGAAGGATGCATCTGTACAGAATAATGTCTGTACAGAATAATGTATGTACAGAATAATGTCTGTACAGAATAATGCATCTGTATAGAAGGATACATCTGTACAAATGTAGACCACTGTACAGATGTAGACCATTGTATAGATGTAGACCACTGTACAGATATACACCACTGTACAGAAGAATATCTGTACAGATGGATGCATCTGTACAGAAGAATGTATGTACAGAAGGATGTATTTATATAGAAGGATACATTTGTACAGAATAATACATCTTACATTTCATTCTCTCCAAGTCTAATAATTAAAATGCTCGTTAATGGTTTTTTTCTCTCTAAAATTTATCATATACTTAAAAATCTATGTTTTTCTTTCTATCATTTGATATACATTTTGTTTGATGATTTTTATAATTTATATTTTAGAGACCACTTTACAAAAATAATGTCTGTACAATTATAAACCACTGTACAGATATTAATATCTGTACAGAAGGATACATCTGTACACTGTATACATCAGTCCAAAATGATACATCTGTACAGAAGGATTTGACGATGTTTGATAGTTTTTTTATTGGTTTTTAGTTTCTAGTTTTTGGATTTTGGTTTTTGGTTTTTAATTTTTGTAATTTTTGATTTTTGGTGTAGATTTTAGTTTTTGCAAAATCTTGAATGGTAATTTGTTTAGTTTATAGTTTTTTTTTACATAATATCACTTTTAAAATGTTTTTAAGTTATTTATTTAAATTTTTGGTTTATATTTTGTGATTAAAATGAATAGGTAAATGGTGAAATAACATATTTAAAATAATTAAAAAAAAATTAAAAAAACATTGTAGTAGGAAAAAAAAGAAAAGAACTTACATCACTTGCTTAAGATTGAAGGGAACCCATGACTCATGTCAGTGTTAACCCAAAGTAGATTTCCTTTCCATTCCATCAAGAGAAAACAACTCTAGCGTTTTTAAATATTTGTTGGCCGTTTCTACGTTGTGAGCTTTTTGAATTGCATGTCATATACTCTTGGGTAATAATGAAACAGATAATGATTATTGAGCTTACTTTTTGAACATCCAAACAAAGGCTGCATTGTATCACAAACTAAAAACACCAAAGAGGCCACAAACCAATAGAACCAGGTGGAGAACATAACTATCATTACGAAGAGCAACTCTCGTTGATGAAGTGATTTTCGTTATGTATATACTTTTGTCAATATCAACAACATACTTCCCCTCTGGATAAACCTAGAAAATGGGAGTTTAAGCCTTATAACTATGTTCGTATAAATACAAAGCCAGGTTAATCCTAAAGAATATAATAAAAAAGATTCATACCTTAACCAAGACCTTTTTCTTTCCCATCACTTTTACCACTTCGCCCACATAGAACCCAGGTTCTTGAAGCAGCTGCAACTCTTCTCTGAGCATTCTTACTATACAATTTAGAAAGAATTATAGTGGCAGAGAGACTACAAACTATAAAGACTATAAAGACTTGTAAGAAAACGATCAAGCATAAATATAAACAAGGTAATTTAATGTTGCTAAAAATCAAGGCTGAAAAAAAAACACAACTTCATCACCCAATCACTTGCAGATTTGAAACCCTCAATCCCAACATCAATTTTGAAATAATTTTGAAATTTGAAAGCACTCAGTTCCAAGGAGAACGAAATTTAAAAGCCCTAGCACATAATCTGAGATTACTAAACACAGGAAGATAATCAAAAGATCCAATTTTGCAAAGAAATTTCGCTAGAATCATCACCGTCACTTTTATTTTCTTTCTCTTCTTCCACATTATCCATCACCGTGTTGAAGTCTTGAACCACAAAACGTGATGCCCAGGACCACTGGCTATAAGGAGCGTAGATTCAGAATCGTTGTCGGAATAAGATGGGAGTAATTGCGATGGAGTAAGACCCAAATCTCTATCTCTCTCCAACGGCGATTTCAACAAACTGAATTCTCTTGTTGAAAATTGCGATTAAATAGGAGTCTTCTTTGTCATTGGCTTCTTGCCCAAACAAAATTGTCGATTTGATTGTATAATTAAGGAAGTGATTGGTGGTAGAGAATTGGAGGTGGCGAATCTGAGGGAGTGAAAAAAGGGTTTAGTTGGGTTGATTTTTTAACAAAAAAAGAAAAAAGAAGAAGAAGAAGAAGATGAATGATGGAGGCGGATGCTGAGAGAGAGAAGAGAAAATAAGATTTTTTTTATTTTTTTTTGGATTAGGGAATGGCAACAATGGTAAATATGAGTTATTGATAAGGGTTTGCTTGCCATTACACCTTATCTCTTCTATTAGTGTAACAGTGTAAATGTGGATAATTTGCTAGTTGTAAATAGTATCAGTACTACTTTTCCAATTATGTTTGGAAAACGTACTATATTGCAACTTATCCCTTTTTTATTGGGGAGATACCAATCATTAATAGTATAAATATATCAAATCTATACTATATAAAAGTCGAGGCCATAAGCTCCTTAGGCCATCCACTTAGGATTTTAAACCACCAATCGCAGTTAGACACTTCATCATTTAACATTTTTACACACCACGTTAATTAACATTTTTAAATTCTAATATTTTTTATACTTAAATATTAATAAAAAGGAAAAAAAACAATATATGGAAAGAAGAAAAATGTGAATTTTTGAAAAAAACAAAATATAGAAATAATAAAAATGTAAAGTATATATTTCAATATTATTATGCAGTGAATATATTTTTATTTGGAAATTTCCTAATTTGGAAATTTTCTAATTAAAAAATGTAAAAATACATAATGTAATTATGACGGTTTATCCTAGACATTAAACTATAAATATTGAACCTCGACAACACAATTAGTATTCAGTTTCAAAAGATTTTACTATTATGCGCCTTTGATTTTTTTTTTCTCGTGCTACATACTTTTTGATTTAGTTCATACAAGGTATTATTGATCCTAAAATTTATGTAGCTTTCAAATTATTTCTTTGTGTGGATATTGTTAATTTCTTTATGTTAAATATATGTATGAAAAGTGGTTCACATGTAGAAAGCAAAAAAATCAAAGAAATCAAATAAAAAAAAGTGAAAAAAATATATATATTGAAGAAGAATATGAGAAAAGGTAATTCTTTAAAAAAAAAAAAGTAATTATATATAGGGTTCTATATATTATAATCGTTTGATTAATTTGAGTTCGCTGTTTTTGAATTATCTTTTTAACCATGCAAGACTTCTTCAGAAACCAAAGTTTGGCATGTTTGTTTGCCAAATCTAACCGATTACGATGACAGTTATATTAAAGATAGGAGGTGAATTTTTTTTTTTTTTTTTTTTTGTAGTTGTCCATATTATTTTCGCGTATTTGTTTTATCATCAATAAGAGAACAAGTATGAAGGAGTAGATTTAAATATTATGAAGATTATATTGCTATTCAATTTAAGATTTATCAAAACTTTATCAAATTTTGATGTTATTTATTTATGTATTTGTAAATAGTAATCTAAAAGCTTCATAAATTTGGAGTTATTTGAGACCATGATTTTATAAATTTGAAGCTCTAAAAGCTATAAATTTCATAACTTAAGTCGAAACCAGTAGCTTTTATACTACATAAAAATTGAAGTCATAAGCTTCTAAAAATGTCCACTAAAAAAAAAAAAAAAAAAAAAAAAAAAAACTGTCCACAAAATTTTAAAGGGGCTTTTGCAAAAATGCCCATTTTTCAATGCCACTTTTCAAAAATGCCCCTTCTTTAAAACCTTATAAAAAATGCTCTTAAAAATATAAGATTTACCTAAATATGTATGTAACATTATTAAAACATACACAAACTACATTTTTATGTATCTAAAATCTTATAAATACTTTATAAATACCTTATAAATGCATTTTAAATACCTTTAAAAACCTTTAAAATATCTTGTAAAACCTTTGAAAAACCTTAAAAATCCTTAAAAATAACTTGTAAAACCTTTAAAAACACCTTATAAAACCTTATAAATACTTGGATCGAGTCTTCAAGTAGTAGTTACAATTCATAAGTACCTTATAAACCTAATAAAACTTTATAAAAATTTCAGATTTAAAAAGGGGCATTTTTTAAAAGGGGCACACCAAAAGGGGCATTTTTAACAATTTTCCAATTTTAAAAGACTAATCACGATTAGCCATCTTGGTAATTAGCAATTTTAGATTCCAATAATTTTCTATATTAAGATACTTATAAAAAGAAAAAAAAGAAAATATATATATATATATATATGAAACAAAATAAATGTAAACTTAAAAAAAAACATATGGGTAGACAAAAAATGTAAACTTTTGTTATTAGAATATATAAAATAATATCAATAGAAAATTAAGATACTTATAAAAAAGTTATAAGAAAAAAACAATCTATGGAAACGAGAAAAATATAAACTTAAAAAAAATATATGCAATAAAGAAAAATGTAAAATTTTTGTGATTAGAATATATAAAATAATATCATTATTAGTCTCACCAAATTTGCCAATATCCTTTCTTAAGCACAATTAGGGGTCGACATTTTAGTTTGATGTCGAGTTAAATTTGATTCGGTTATTTCGATTTTAATAAAACATCAAGTCTCTAATCAAACTCATTTTGGTTCATTTTAATTCGGTTTGGATTAATTTTGTTTGGCTTGATTCGGTCTGTTATTTAAAATAAATTATTTATAAAATTGAAAGAATGGCAAGAAATGGAAGCAAGAAAAATAGAAATTATATAATTGGGATAAATAACTAAAAAATTTGAATAGAATAATCAATCAAGAGGTATGTGAAAAAAAAAAGGTATACAATATATACATGTAACATGTGTAAGTTTATTCATTTGTTTCTTTTCATATAAATGTTGATTGATAATTTTTCATGTTTCAAGTTTGATGTTCGGATATTAGATCATTTTAATCATTAAAATTTTTAAGTCTTTTTTATATACTTGAGTAAAATATGACACATCATATTTGTAATATTTTTTATACCAACTTTGATCCTATAAGCTTTACTTTTATCAAAAAAAAAATTTTAACCAACATAAATGATACTAAAAATATAAATAAAACAACATATATGCTATAAAGAATTCAAAAAATGAAACATTATTGTTATTAATTGATTACTAAGCCCAAAAATATAATGAAACAATCAATAAAAGTAAACCCCCGCGTAGCGGGGGTTATAACCTAGTTACATCTTAAAAATATTCATTTGTATTAATTAGTTCTATTTAGTTATAGAAATAACAATAACAAAATCATAAATATTATTAATCTTAATTTTAATAGCAATAATTATTAATGCAATCTATTTTAAAAAGAATAAAAATGAAAGAGTTATACTTTATCACAATTAAGCAAATATGAGATATGTTATGGTGGAAAATAATGAAGATATGAAGTCTATATTTAAGGGAAGAAAATAATAATTAGACATGATTTCATCAAAATACCAAAATGTTAACCAAAAAAAAAGTTAACTTTTAAAATCTCAGTTTTTCTTTAATGTATGATTATTGCGTTACTCTATATTTTCCTTATTAATGTATTTTTTAGGATTTTCACACATTAAAAGTTGATTATAAATGTATTATTTTTTGTGATTTACAATTTTCTATAAAACTAAACCAATAGTATTCAATAATCTTTCTTGAAGTTTAATATTCATCAATAACAAAAAAAAAATTCTTAGAAAATACAATAATAAGGAACAGATAGAGTATATATTATACAATAATATTAGTTTGTATTAACTTTAATTAAATCAACAGATGTTGCTGTTGCTGTTGGATAGTTGTGGCAACATGGCCCTTAAGGTCATAAATTGTACCTCCATCGAAACTAAAACCTGAAATAATCAATACATGCAAGATGGCGCTACCAAATGCAAACACAAACAATTCAGACCATAACTGGGTCGACTGATTTGTGAACAAATTTAATAAGTACACAGTTCAAAATAGCAGTAGAGAGGACGAAATTTATAACAAATAGTTTATACCCACTTCTGTTTGCCAGATCTGGTATCGACCTTTTAAGAGACACTTTTAGAAACATAACATTAAAAAATGAGCAAGATTCAACAAACGATTTTACAGCAAAAATATTTTTTAAACTGGTTTTTCATTTTAAAAAACAAGGAGCTAGCTACTCGTCTGCAGCAGCAGAAGAGTGGTGAGGAAAGCTTGCCCAGACGTCTTGCCACGTCATTTTCCCCTCTGAGACTGAACTCACAACGGAAGCTGCCTCCTTCAAGCTGACTCGGACTTGATCTTTGCTGTCTCTTTCCCTGATTGTGACTGATGCATCTGAGTCCACGGTTATTGCAAATGGCACTCCAAGCTCATCGGTTCTTGCATATCTCTTCCCTATCGATGTACCTGTTCACACACAAACACAACAAATCTTTACTTGGTTTGCTCCATTTCAACATTTCAAAAAACTTCAATTCTCAAGTTGTTTTTACATACCAGTGATGTCAATCTTATGGGAGATACCGACAGAAGCGAGTTCCTTGGAAATAACTTTGGCTGCTTCCTCGAATTGTTGGTTCTGAACAAGCGGGAAAACCGTGCACTTGATGGGAGCTACAAGAGGAGGGAAACGGAACAAGTTCAACTGTTCATCCCCGGCTTTGCTCGGCCTAGTGCTGAAACAATGCTCATACAGACAATATATGATCCGACCAATCCCAAACGATGGTTCAATCACTGATGGAGTGAAAACCCGCTGGTGCTCTTTCTTCTTCTCCTTTGATATAGACACCATGTTCTTCTTGATGCTCACGGTTTTATTTAGGGTACACACGTAAAACTCCACTTCCCCTTTGGATTCCAGGCTTGCTTTCATCTCCATAGCTTCTTCTTCATTCATCGCCTAACAAACCATTACACGAAGCATGATATTTATTCTAAACCAGTACCATGAAAAAAAGAAGCTATTCAGTAAAACAATAGAGTTCAACCTCCAAAGATTCAACCACATTCTTTTGATTTCCCTTGAATGCAAGACCCAGTTCTTTCTTCACAGGAGTTATCACAAGTTTCTGAAATAAAAGATGACCATATTAAGGACAAGTTATGAAGACAGAGATTAACGAATTTGTTCATTAAAATACCTCTACTTCTTTAGGTTCTGCAAATTTCTCTTCAGCCACTAGAGGAACGCCACTTTTGTCCTGTCGTGCAACAGTTGATCCACAATATACTTTAGTTAATTTAAATAGGAATACTAACGGGTTTTGATCATTAATTATCTTGCTGTCAAACAAAATGATGAAAATAGAAGTAATGGTGAGGTTCTTACAGAGTGAGCACGTAAGTCGTATGCAGACCTATCTGCAATCCCAACACATTCAATCCACCCATATGAACTCTCAATTTCAGCATCCCAACAATCTGCTGCATAGTGGGCCATTTCATTTGCTAGATGCTGACGGAAGCGCAGCCGTTCCTTGTCTATGCCAAGACGAGTAAGGAAAAGATACACTCTCCCAATGAAGTATCCTAGAGTTTCATTGTTCACAGTACCCTACACGAATAGGTTTTCAGTTGCAGGCATCAATAAGGTTCGTGTGTGCGAGTGCTTAGGTGAATATGATTAAAAATACTAACCTTGGAAACAGCTTCACCGAGGCAAAGCTTTTTTGCAGATTGGCCAGACATTTGTTCTTCCCTTGGGAACATAAGGAATTCCAATTTTGCTACATCAGAGAACTTAGGATGTGACTTATTCTCAGGATCAACGAAATGCTCAATTTCTGCTAGTGTGAATTCACGAACTCTAAGAAGCCCTTGTCGAGGAGATATCTGCGAGTAATATGCTACTTATTAAAACCCAGACATAATAGAGAAAAGAGTTTCTTAAAGAGATTGATATGAATAAATCCCATATATTAAGCAAAGCAATACATTACCTCATTTCTAAAGGCTTGACCAATTTGAGCCGCGGCAAAAGGAAGTTTCTTCCCATTGTAATAGTACAAATCCTTAAAGTTCACAAAAATGCCTTGAGCAGTTTCAGGACGCATGTAACTGAAACACCAAAAAAAGGAGTACTTTGATAAAAAAAACTCAGGAAAGAAAGTAACTCAGAAACGATTATAACATGATAGACACTCACCCAGGAATCAAACCAGATGGGCCAATGGATGTTTGAAACATCAAGTTAAAGGGGTAAGGATCAGAAAGTGGATTCTTCGTGTCTGGAGCAGTGATCCCGTACTCCTTTATCTTGGCACCTAGCTGTTCAGGAGAAAAATCTTCCATAACAGCAAGAACATCCTTCAATTCAGCAGCTTTCTCAGCAGAGATGGTAAGATCTTTCTCCAGCTTCTCAGTGCAATAATCCTTGAGCAAGTGATCCGCACGGTAACATGTTCCAGTTTTCTCATCCTTAACCATAAGATCAGTGAACTTATCAACATGCCCAGATGCCTTGAGAACAACCTCTGGTGTTACACATGGACAATCAACTTCTAGCATGTTCTCCTCAAGAATGAAATGCTGCAAACAGAAGCAAATCATTCCCGTATAAGAACAAGCCACAATTTCTACTCAAATCAATCACGTATAGTAACAAAGCTAATTCAATTTCTACATTCTAAACCCTACAGAGAAAGGTGAATGGTGTTCCTTACTTGACGCCAGAAGCTCAGGACATTGGATTTAATAGCACAGCCAGGAGGACCATAATCAAAAAGTCCAGCGACGCCACTGTAGATCTTAAACGAAGGGATATAGAACAAACGCCGCTCCAGAGTGTTGACTACAGCTTTTCGAAAAGCCTCACGGTTAAGCGAACCATTACCGGAGCTACTGATAATAGATTGAAGCTCCTTCTCGACAGCGGATTTCTCGAGCTTCAATCTGTTGAGTTGCTCAATGGCGGCATCGATCTCTGGTTTAGCTGCACGGGAAGCCTTGAGAGCTCGGACGGCGTTACCCTGAGCTTCGACGGAGGAGGATTTCTCGGAAAGAGATTGACGGAGAGATTGTTCGGCGTCCATTGGAATCTGGATCGGAGCGATGGAGATTGGGTTGCGAAGGATTGTGGTGGTTTGGAATTGACGAAGATTGAAGATTTGTTGTTGTTGTCTGCGAGGAAAGACCGAGGTAGAGAAGATGCGCATTCGACCAAGTGTTTGTTTCCACTTTCTACTAGTGGCCACTTAGGGTTTAAGATAATGTGGAAACCTTTGGGCCCAGAGAGTGGGTTTGGTTGACGAAATGAAACCCAATCAAAGACATTAAATGTCATCAACCATCTACACGTTTGACATTTCAATTTTGACCAAAAAATGCTATCAACAAATAAATTATATTTTCAAAGGTAGATGCTAAATGTTCCAAATGCTTCATTAACACCAAACAAATGTATGAACATTGATGTTTAGTACCAACTTATCCCTCACCTACCAGAAAGGTCCACTACATTTGTGTATCTATAGGCAAATCTACTCTATTGTTTTTGTTTCCTTTTTAGATACATAGGCATATTTTGTTAAGTTTTACACCAAACCGAAATGCATTTCTTTTCTAAGTAATCAATCCTTAATTCTCTAGAATCAAATTTCTGTTAAGAAAAAAAAAATTTCTATTAAGATCTCTCGACTAGAATGATTGAATATGCATATGTGGCTAATCATTATGAAGGAAATATGTTTAACGTTCCTGGTGCAATGATGAGAGCTGTAAATTGCTTATAACCACAGTCAGATTAACTATATAGTAATTGCTTAATTAGGAGTGGTAAGTAAGTAATTAATAATTTAACAGAGAGAGAGAGAGACAGAGGAGAGGCCATCGCCAAACCAACAACTTACAACCGTACGAGTGAATTTGATGAAAACGACGTCGCGTCCGCCATTTTCTTCTTCCTTGAAGCAATAGCTTCTTCAATCTTCACTAATCACTTCAGATCTCTTCTTCTCTGTTGCCACTGTCCCAATTATTCTCTCTTCATGCCCCGCTGCTGTATTCGTAGGTCGAATCTAATTGCAATTGTAGTGTGTAATTGCAGTATCTAGTATTTGAAGCTCTGGGTATTCCTTTATGGATCCAGTAGATATGGTGGTTTCACAGCCAATTACCCCTGGTCAGGTACAGTACTGCATAATCTTCGGTGTTCCACCTTCGATTCGTTTCTTAACATTGAGATTTTGATTGAATCGGCTTGTAGCTTTATGTGATTTAGGACTCTCTCTATCTTTCTCCTTTAGATGAATGTTGTTGATTCATTCTTTAGTTTTATCCATATGTAGCATGCTTGCTTGCTGGATTTAGATCAAAGTTGGCTGTTTTAAATAGACTGATAGATTAGATTATGCCATCTGCTGGAACAAATGATCTATATAGTGTAATTTATTTACAAACATTGAGTCAAGTGTCTTCAATTACTAATAACTTACTAAGCTTTTACCTCAGCCGCTCTGTATTTTCTTCAGCTTGAAGCAACTTACGTTTTCTTTTGGTGTCGAAGATTTGGATTGTATCTTGCAGTTGAATTTCTTGCGGAGATTTACATTTTTCTATTGGGCTGAAAGAACATAACTTTCGTTCTTCTTAGTCGTTCCTCTTTTGTTTTTCTTTCTGTTGCAGGTTTCGTTTCTGCTTGGAGTTATCCCTCTTATGATAGCATGGCTATACTCGGAATTTCTTGAGTATAGGAGGTCTTCTTTACACGCTAAAGTGTATGTGTATGGCTGATGAATCTAATTGAGTCTCATTTATTGAAGTCTTGCTTATGTGTGTTTTTAACTTTTTTGTAACTTACTGTTTTTGTGGTTTCACTTTATCTACATTTGCAGTCATTCAGATAAGAATTTGGTTGAACTGGAAATGGTGACGAACAAAGAGGATGAAGGAACAGTTTTAATGGAAGGAGGTCTTCCAAGATCTGTCTCTTCAAAGTTTTATAGCTCATCAATCAAAACAAACTTGCTTAGGTTGTTATAGCCTCTTTTTTTTCCTTCTTAAGGTGGAGTGTTTTCTAGTCACTATACTTTCTTAATTTGCATTGTGTTTACTTGTAGGTTTCTGACTTTGGAAGACTCTTTCTTGCTTGAAAATCGAGCAACCTTGAGAGCAATGTAAGTTCCTTAGTTTTCAGCAATATTGGATTCTTACTAATTAGGCTCCATAGTGACCATTTACTTCTATTGTAGGGCGGAGTTTGGAGCAATTCTTTTATATTTTTATATTTGTGATCGAACTAGCTTGCTCGGGCAGTCTAAAAAGGTGCCTCCATCATACTTCTTTGACGAATTTCCTTTTCGGTTTCAGTGGCTTGTTGTTAAATTTATATATACTTGTGCAATATAGGTTAGAACCAAAGTTCTTTCTGGTGTAGAAAGCTAATATCAGTGTTAGCAAAAATGTTTTGCAATTGACCATCCGTCTTTTTGATGTGGATTCCATTGGCAGAATTACAACCGAGACCTTTTCCTCTTTCTCTACTGTCTTCTCATCATAGTGTCAGCTATGACGTCCTTGAAGAAACACTCTGACAAGTCACCAATAACGGGAAAGTCCATTCTGTATCTCAATCGTCACCAGACTGAAGAATGGAAGGGGTGGATGCAGGTACTGTGTTCAAACTTTATTTAGTAGTTTTCATTTTCTTAATCATTTTTACCCCTTACTTCCTTGCATTCACTCAGTTGTTCCATATCTAAATCGTAGTGTCTTTTCTTTTCCATTCACCAAGATGTCTTAACTGATTTCCATGCCTCTGGGCCTTCGCAGGTTCTATTTCTGATGTATCATTACTTTGCTGCGGTTGAGTTTTACAATGCAATCAGGGTCTTCATCGCTGGCTATGTGTGGATGACCGGTTTTGGGAACTTCTCTTATTACTATATCCGAAAGGATTTCTCCCTTGCACGATTCACTCAGGTCAGATTAACTGTTTTACTACATCACCATACTTTGTTCAGTTTACCATGTGATATGCTTTTAGAAAGCATACAATAGAACCTCTATAAATTAATACTCGATAAATTAATAAACACGATAAATTAATAAATTTGGCCGGTCCCGAGTCGGGCCAGTGTAAAAATTAACCAAATTCGATAAGATAATAAGATAATAAGTTTTTTAAAATCCCTATGTAAAAATATAGTCCCAATAATATCATAAATTAATAATCAGGTAAATTTGTACATATATATATATATATATATATAAATAATAGTTTTAGTGTTTTTCATAAAAAATAGCCAAAAGTTTTTGTAAGTCTTCAAATTTTGAATATGCTTAATTTTTTTTAATAGTCGTATAAGTTTTTAAAATACAACAACGGATGTCACTATTTGTGAATTTTAATTAATGTATATCATTTGTATATATGAACTCTATAATCATTGTTATTCATTGTCAAAATAAATTATTTTTTCTTCGAAATATTAAGTGTTTAAGGCTAAAACTATAAAATTTATAACATTCAAAACATAAATTTTATTTAGATCACATTGTTTTACCTCGTATTTTAAAAATAAAAATTCACAATTGAAACAAAACTCTCTATAAATTAATAAATTTTAATTTACGCTATAAATTAATACTTATTAATTTATAGATAAATTAATATCACTATAAATTAATAAAATATCATGGTCCCAACATTATTAATTTATAGAGGTTTTACTGTATATGTCTTTCAAAGCTCAAGAATTTCATGAAAGCTTTTACTTTATCCAGATGATGTGGCGGCTTAACTTTTTTGTGGCGTTTTGTTGCATTATTCTCAACAATGACTATATGCTGTACTACATTTGTCCAATGCACACTCTATTCACTCTGATGGTCTATGGAGCCCTTGGTATTTACAGTCAGTATAACGAAATAGCATCAGTGATGGCTCTGAAGATTGCTTCATGCTTTCTCGTGGTTATCTTTTTGTGGGAGATTCCTGGAGTTTTTGAGATCTTCTGGAGTCCTCTGGCATTCTTACTGGGTCAGTAACAAAATTCTTTCATTTTCCATACCGCTTTTGTCATGTGGCTGATCTTTAGTTCTGTCTTGTACTAAAATATTTTGGATGGCATGCTTGAATGTAAATTGGGTAATTAACATTGATATTCTGTCTTTAAAACAAATACAGGATACACAGATCCAGCTAAACCAGACCTTCCACGTCTACACGAATGGCATTTCAGATCTGGACTCGATCGCTACATATGGATCATTGGCATGATATATGCATATTTTCATCCCACTGTAATTCTAGAACCATGGTGCTTTCATTTTTTTCCATATCTCCCTCTCGAAAGACGCAACTAAATATATTGGTGAATGGTGATCTCAGGTAGAGAGATGGATGGAGAAATTGGAGGAGTGTGATGCTAAAAGAAGGATGTCAATCAAGACAAGCATAATAGCAATTTCTTCATTCGTGAGTTGTTGTTGGCTTCTTTTTGGGCTTCTGGTTTATATATATTCTTCTCAACGATTAGTCTGATGGACGTGTCGTCAGGTTGGTTACCTTTGGTATGAATACATCTACAAGCTGGACAAGGTTACATACAACAAATATCATCCTTACACATCTTGGATTCCAATAACGTCAGTACCAACCTCTCTCTCTCTCTCTCTCCCTCTCTCTCAATCAATCTTGAGATAATACCCTTTCTGGATTTATGACCTTTGGCTTTATATCTGGAACACAGTGTCTACATCTGTCTGCGAAATTGCACACAACAGCTACGAAGTTTCTCCCTAACACTCTTTGCGTAAGATTCTCAATCTCTTATTCTTTTTTGTTACCTTCTTGTTCACAGTGAACAGATCTTTTTGACCATGATCTCACTCTAGGTGGCTCGGCAAGATAACTCTCGAGACCTACATTTCACAGTTTCACATCTGGTTAAGGTTAGTGGGATCTACAGATACACGAGGAGGCTTGAAGGTTTACATATGTTATTACTTATTAAAACGAAACTTCACAATGTGGTGCAGATCGAGTGTGCCAAATGGGCAGCCAAAATTGCTATTATCAATCATCCCAGAATACCCAATGCTCAACTTCATGCTCACCACAGCCATCTATGTCTTGGTAAAAAAACATCGGTAAAACCATTCTATGCTTTTACTGTTTATTACTTCTTACACTTCTTTTCCTTCATCATTCAGGTATCTGTTCGACTTTTCGAGCTAACCAATACATTAAAATCAGTTTTCATACCCACGAAAGATGACAAACGGCTACTCCACAACGTCATTGCTATGGCTGTGATATCATTTTGTTTATATTTTATCGGTCTTATTCTTCTCTTGATCCCACATTAACTTTGTACTAGTCCCTGATCCTTCTTGTCCATTATCATCTTCTTCACAAACCTGAGAAACACAAAGTCAAAGTTAGTTGCACAGAGAAAAAGCCCTTACTACTAAATCAAACACATAGTACTTGCAGTTTAAGGAGACGTTACCAGATGTGACTGTTATAAGTAGCATCTGTTTAATCAGCTGCAACGTCAACATAAGAGTTGATTTGAGTGAGCAAAGTAGTAACTGCGACCGCATTGACTACAAATAAATGCGGTAATTAATTTTAAATTTCGTTGACTTTTTTACTTGACACACTTTTAAAACCGAGTTGGACAAAATTTTATAAATAACGAAATGAATATTCTTGACAAAAAAAATACTAATGATTTCTCTTTGCAAATTTTTGCACAGTTAATTACTATCATTTTATTTGTTTTATGTCATTTATCATATTTTCCCAATAATATTAATTATTTTGTTGTTGTTGAAAAACATAATGAATACAGTAAGATTGAAAAGGACAAAAGAAATAAACCGGAATAATCCAAATTCCGAGAAACCCTAAAACCCTCTCTCTCGTCTCTCACTCTCTTCTGCAGCAGTCTCCAGTTACAGAGCCGACAGACAAAACTTAGAAGAAGAAGCAAAATATGAGTAACCATTGCTTAGAACTCTCTTCCAATTGTTCCTCCATTTTCGCTTCTTCCAAATCCAATCCTCGTTTCTCTCCTTCTTCCACTTTCTTCTCTCGCTCTGCCATCAATTACAGAGCTAAATCAAAGCTAGCCTCTTCTTCCTCCTCTTTCTCCTCGTTCCTCCCATGTCTCAATCGGAAAAGCTCCCTCACACGAGCTCTCAAACCCGTCTCAGAGCTCGCAGACACCACTACCAAGCCTTATTCTCGGGAGATAGTCGGCAAAAGAACCGATCTGAAGAAGATTATGATTCTCGGTGCTGGTCCGATTGTGATTGGACAAGCTTGTGAGTTTGATTACTCTGGAACTCAAGCTTGTAAAGCTTTAAGAGAAGAGGGTTATGAGGTTATCCTGATCAATTCGAATCCGGCTACTATCATGACTGACCCAGAAACTGCTAATCGGACTTATATTGCTCCGATGACTCCTGAGCTTGTCGAGCAGGTTATTGAGAAAGAGAGGCCTGATGCTTTGTTACCTACCATGGGTGGTCAAACCGCATTGAACCTCGCCGTTGCTCTTGCTGAGAGTGGTGCTCTGGAGAAATACGGTGTTGAATTGATTGGTGCTAAGCTTGGTGCGATTAAGAAAGCTGAAGATCGTGAGTTGTTCAAGGAGGCGATGAAGAACATTGGTCTAAAGACTCCACCTTCAGGGATTGGGAACACTCTTGATGAGTGTTTCGACATTGCTGAGAGAATTGGTGAGTTCCCTTTGATTATCCGTCCTGCGTTTACTTTAGGTGGTACTGGTGGTGGAATTGCGTATAACAAAGAGGAGTTTGAGTCTATTTGTAAAGCGGGTTTGGCTGCGAGTGTGACAAGTCAAGTTCTTGTGGAGAAATCCTTGTTGGGTTGGAAAGAGTATGAGCTTGAGGTGATGAGAGACTTAGCTGACAATGTTGTCATTATCTGTTCAATTGAGAATATTGATCCTATGGGTGTGCACACTGGTGATTCCATCACTGTGGCACCTGCTCAGACTCTAACTGATAGAGAGTATCAACGGCTTAGGGATTATTCCATTGCGATTATACGGGAGATTGGTGTTGAGTGTGGTGGATCTAACGTGCAGTTTGCTGTAAACCCGGTTGATGGTGAAGTTATGATCATAGAGATGAACCCTAGGGTCTCGAGATCTTCTGCTCTTGCTTCCAAGGCTACAGGGTTTCCCATTGCTAAAATGGCTGCCAAGTTGTCTGTTGGGTATACCTTGGATCAGATTCCTAATGATATCACCAGGAAAACACCGGCTAGCTTTGAGCCCTCCATCGATTATGTGGTGACTAAGGTTTGTCATTTTTTTTGTTGCGAATTGAGATGCTCTTGACTTTGAAGATTTACACACATATATCCACCTGAGGATATATAAACTCGATGCATATTTCGCTTATGTATGTCTATTTCTTTATCATGCAGATTCCTAGATTTGCATTTGAAAAGTTTCCAGGATCTCAGCCCTTGCTAACGACCCAGATGAAATCTGTCGGGGAGTCTATGGCTCTCGGTCGTACATTCCAAGAATCTTTCCAGAAAGCTCTGAGGTCTCTGGAGTGTGGATTCTCGGGTTGGGGTTGTGCAAAAATTAAAGAGCTAGATTGGGACTGGGATCAGCTGAAATACAGCCTTAGAGTCCCAAATCCAGACAGGATCCATGCGATATATGCTGCCATGAAAAAGGGTATGAAAATTGATGAAATCTACGAGTTGAGCATGGTAGACAAGTGGTTTCTAACCCAGCTTAAGGAGCTCGTGGACGTGGAACAGTATCTTATGTCCGGACCCTTGTCAGAGATTACAAAAGAAGACCTGTACGAAGTCAAAAAGCGGGGATTTAGTGACAAGCAAATCTCTTTTGCTACTAAGACAACCGAGGAAGAAGTCCGTACCAAGCGGATTTCTCTAGGAGTTGTTCCATCTTACAAGAGAGTGGATACATGTGCTGCAGAGTTCGAAGCACATACACCATACATGTACTCTTCATATGATTTTGAATGTGAATCAGCACCAAACAGCAAGAAGAAGGTTTTGATTTTGGGTGGAGGCCCAAACCGTATTGGTCAAGGGATTGAATTTGATTACTGTTGTTGCCACACATCTTTCGCCTTGCAGGTCTGTCCCTAGACAACCTAAGCATTGTTTTTCAACTTGTTACGCTAAACTTACTTATCTACTATTTAAATTTATGTGCAGGATGCTGGATATGAGACCATAATGTTGAACTCAAATCCTGAAACAGTATCCACAGATTATGATACAAGCGATAGGCTGTACTTTGAACCTCTCACAATCGAGGATGTTCTCAATGTTATCGACCTTGAGAAACCTGATGGCATAATAGTGCAATTTGGTGGTCAAACTCCTCTGAAACTTGCTCTCCCGATCAAACATTATTTGGATAAGCACATGCCCATGAGCTTGAGCGGAGCGGGACCTGTTCGCATCTGGGGTACATCACCTGACTCCATTGACGCTGCTGAAGACAGAGAGAGGTTCAATGCAATTCTCGACGAGCTGAAAATTGAGCAGCCCAAGGGAGGCATTGCAAAGAGCGAAGCTGATGCATTAGCCATAGCAAAGGAGGTAGGCTACCCAGTTGTGGTAAGACCTTCTTACGTTTTAGGTGGACGAGCAATGGAGATCGTTTATGATGACAGTAGACTAATAACCTATTTGGAAAATGCGGTAGAAGTTGACCCAGAGAGACCTGTTTTGGTAGATAAATATCTCTCTGACGCCATTGAGATCGACGTTGATACCCTTACTGATTCCTATGGAAATGTGGTGATTGGTGGAATAATGGAGCATATCGAACAAGCCGGTGTGCATTCTGGTGACTCAGCATGTATGCTTCCAACACAAACCATCCCATCTTCTTGTTTGCAAACTATCCGGCAATGGACCACTAAGCTGGCGAAGAAGCTAAATGTATGTGGGCTGATGAACTGCCAGTACGCAATCACAACATCTGGGGATGTTTTCTTGCTTGAAGCCAATCCCCGAGCTTCCCGTACTGTCCCTTTTGTCTCAAAAGCCATTGGGCACCCTCTTGCCAAGTATGCAGCGCTGGTCATGTCGGGCAAATCTCTCAAAGATCTTAACTTTGAAAAAGAAGTCATCCCTAAACATGTCTCTGTCAAAGAAGCTGTTTTCCCGTTTGAGAAGTTCCAAGGATGCGATGTGATACTCGGGCCAGAGATGAGAAGCACAGGAGAAGTGATGAGCATCAGTTCGGAATTCTCAAGCGCGTTTGCAATGGCTCAGATCGCTGCAGGTCAAAAACTACCGTTAACCGGCACAGTCTTCCTCAGCTTAAACGATATGACAAAAACTCACCTGGAGAAAATCGCGGTGTCTTTCCTCGAGCTCGGATTCAAAATCGTTGCCACCTCGGGAACAGCTCATTTCCTGGAACTGAAAGGCATTCCTGTAGAGAGAGTGCTAAAGCTGCACGAAGGAAGACCACATGCTGCTGATATGGTGGCTAATGGCCAGATCCATTTGATGTTGATCACAAGCTCGGGCGATGCTCTTGATCAGAAAGATGGGAGACAGCTTAGACAAATGGCTCTAGCCTACAAGGTCCCTGTTATAACCACTGTGGCTGGGGCATTGGCCACTGCTGAGGGAATCAAGAGCTTGAAGTCAAGTGCCATTAAAATGACCGCTCTTCAGGACTTCTTTGAGGTAAAGAATGTATCTTCTTTGCTCGTCTGAGATAGTTTTTTTTTTTTATGTGTTTGATCGTCTGTGTGGAACTTTTTTACGATTTCGATAAAATTTTAACGGATTTTGTTTCCCATAAGCACTTCTATGAATAATCTTCGAAAAATGCAGCAAACTTGTGACTTATCAGTCGTCGTTGTTCCTGTAATTCAGATATATACAGGTCTTTGATTGTATCCATTGGCTTAAACTCGAGTTATGTTCTATAAAATTGCTCAATTGTAGAAATAGCCTCTTCATTCAGTGAACCCAAGAACATAAATCCAATTCATTTTTAGTTTAAACGAGACAAGTATGAGAGAAAAAATGAGTTATTTGATTAATGACAAATCATACAAAGTCTTGCAAATTTACATTGAAAGTCTCAAACCATCCATCACAAACACAAACCTGCTCTTTCTCCTCCTGTCTCTCACTCGAATTCAAAAGATTGAAAAAAGCAAATTACAAACTGATAAAACTTGGCTCACTTTCCGGGAACAAAGTTGGTGGCGAAGGCCCATGCGTTGTTGGTAACTGGATCGGCCAAATGGTCAGCAAGGTTCTCTATCGGTCCCTTACCAGTGACAATGGCTTGAACGAAGAATCCAAACATAGAGAACATAGCCAATCTTCCGTTCTTGAGCTCCTTCACCTTCAACTCAGCGAAGGCCTCTGGGTCGGTAGCCAAACCCAATGGGTCGAAGCTACCACCGGGGTAAAGCAAGTCCTCGGCCTCTCCCAATGGCCCATTTCCTGCGACTCTGTAGCCTTCAACGGCTCCCATCAAGATAACTTGAGTGGCCCAAATCGCCAAGATGCTCTGAGCGTGGACTAAGCTAGGGTTTCCCAAGTAATCGAGCCCTCCATCGCTGAAGATCTGTGAACCGGCCTTGAACCAAACGGCCTCTCCGAACTTGACTCCGTTCCTGGCCAAAAGCTCAGGGAAAACGCAGCCTAGGGCTCCGAGCATGGCCCACCTGCTGTGGATAACTTCTAGCTCACGGTTCCTTGCGAATGTCTCGGGGTCGGCTGAGAGTCCGGCGGTGTCCCATCCGTAGTCTCCGGGGAACTCTCCGGTAAGGTAGCTCGGTGGCTCGCCAGAGAATGGGCCCAAGTACTTGACACGGTCAGATCCGTACCATGGGCTGCCTGATGGACCCTTTGGCTTGGCAACAGTCTTCCTCATTGTCACACGGCCGCTTCCAAGGACTTCTGATGCCGCGGGGGAAAGGTTCACAGCCTTTCCGGCGAAGGCAGGGGAGGAGAGAGCCATTGTTGAGGCGGCCATTGAAACTTTTTTGTGTTTTTTTTTTTTTGGTGACTAACTTGTGAGTGAGAGTGATTAAAACTGGTTAGGTAGGTTTGGATTATATAGGGATATTGTAACGTTTGTTATCTGTGAAGTAATCTTTATCTCTTCATTCATTGGGTTTTTAGATTTTGGTTTTAACGCTTAGTAGTCTTACGTGGCAGTCTCTAGTCCACCAGCATTTGTTTTGATTTTTTCATTGCAGCCAAATCATTTTGTGACCACAAGTTATGCGAGCCATTGAATACTTTAACGGTAACACCCTCGTGATTCTTTTCATGAAAACTTAAATTTGTGCGAATTTAGCTCCTGACAAGAATGATATTTGTGATTTTTGCTACAACCATATAGCTAAAACTTAAAGTAACATTTTGAAAATATAGATATTTATGATGAGATGATCGAAAAATTAATATAAAGTAACATTATAAGAAGCTAGCATTTACCCACACAAGAATACCAAAATTGTCAATAGTAGGTTCATCATCACTACCAGAAGAATTGTTTCCCTTGTCACTTTAATTTATCCAATAACCAAAGAAATCTCATGAATTATATTATATCATCATAAAACTCTGAAGTCTTACTTTTTATAGAAACGCAAAGAAACACTGTTTAAACTTATCGACCATTTTTCAAAACATGAAAGAAGTATCATATGGCATGTTCACTATCATTCGTTTTGGAGAACATCAACATGTAGCTACATTATCTTTATATATATATATAGAGTTATCATGATTCGAGTTATCTTTGACGTTGTAAGCTTCAACAACTTTATGAACTAACTCATCAAACTTATTTATCCCTTTTTTTCAAATTCAACAACATTAATCTACTCCACAATCACTTTTATAGAAAACGCTTTAAGCTATCATTACATGTCTAATTATACGGTTCTACTCAGCCCTAGAACAGTTGTTTATTCCACCATGGCCACTAAGTTTTTCTACGAAGCACAACTTTTCTTTCACTTAATCACTTAATAACCTCACACATACGCTTTAGAGCACACTCTAAACTTTGAGCTAAAAGCTGTTAACACTAATACACTATGATTGTTCATCTGTTCTCTTCCTCTCAGCCAATTCAGTACCTCACACCGACCGCAGCATGCGCTCCAAACAATTTTGATCCATTATTAGGGAAGTTTTCCCATCTATTCCACATTTGGTAAGCACATTCCTAATTACTTCTGGATCAAATTTCCGGTTGAAATGGGTTTGGGTGAATAATCTGGTTCAATTATATGGTTTTGGGTCTATCTACGGTTCAGATGGATTTGGAACTGGCTTATTAATTGTGGCCTTTGTTGAAGCCGTTGGTACAGAGTTAGGGAAAAGCCGACTTGTGTCTATGAGTCTATGACCATGACTCGTGATTATGGAACTGTCTTATGACCATGACCATCAGGTCCATCACCATGATCTGGTGGATTCCAATGTTGTCGTCGTGAGTCTCCTGATATAATACATTAATGTTGTTATATAAAGCTGCCAATAAAAAAATACATTTCATTGATTATTGTTTTCTTCTTGTGATAAATATTTTGGTCAATAAAGGTGCTTAGGAGGTAATAATTTCATGTTTTTGAGGTAAAGTTTAATTCATTCCCCTACGTAATTTTATAGTTTTATCTACTTTGTTATTATATTCTATTTCTAGCCAAGTGTTATTATTATTTATAAAATTTAAAAAAAAAACTTTATAAGAAAAAGGTTCAATAAAAAAATATTATACAATTATCCAATTTTTGTTTTGTTTTTACATTGATGCTCTCAGGATTTCAAAAGGATAGAGAGATCTATTCTTATACGTGTCACGTCATGAGTGGGTGTTTCACCAATCCCTGAAACGCACCAAGATATCTAAAACACAAATCAACTGCGAATCTGCAAAGTGCTAGCTATTAACCACGTAAGCAAACGAAAAATCTAAACCCCAAAAAATATTTGTGAGTAGCCAATAGAAACCTCAGAGATTGATATTTCAAGATAAGACATTATTTAGATTTTTATATTATATATACCCAAAATCCCATCAATGCCAAACCACCCATTTCTTGGCTTACAACAACAACTCTTAAACGTTTTACTTTGTGCTACACTCAACCTCAATGGCCGCCTCAACAATGGCTCTCTCCTCCCCTGCCTTCGCCGGAAAGGCCGTCAAGCTTTCCCCCGCGGCATCAGAAGTCCTTGGAAGCGGCCGTGTGACAATGAGGAAGACCACTGCCAAGCCTAAGGGCCCATCAGGCAGCCCATGGTACGGATCTGACCGTGTCAAGTACTTGGGCCCATTCTCTGGCGAGCCACCGAGCTACCTTACCGGAGAGTTCCCCGGAGACTACGGATGGGACACCGCCGGACTCTCAGCCGACCCCGAGACATTCGCAAGGAACCGTGAGCTAGAAGTTATCCACAGCAGGTGGGCCATGCTCGGAGCCCTAGGCTGCGTTTTCCCTGAGCTTTTGGCCAGGAACGGAGTCAAGTTCGGAGAGGCCGTTTGGTTCAAGGCCGGCTCTCAGATCTTCAGCGATGGAGGGCTCGATTACTTGGGAAACCCTAGCTTGGTCCACGCTCAGAGCATCTTGGCGATTTGGGCCACTCAAGTTATCTTGATGGGAGCCGTTGAAGGCTACAGAGTCGCAGGAAATGGGCCATTGGGAGAGGCCGAGGACTTGCTTTACCCCGGTGGTAGCTTCGACCCATTGGGTTTGGCTACCGACCCAGAGGCCTTCGCTGAGTTGAAGGTGAAGGAGCTCAAGAACGGAAGATTGGCTATGTTCTCTATGTTTGGATTCTTCGTTCAAGCCATTGTCACTGGTAAGGGACCGATAGAGAACCTTGCTGACCATTTGGCCGATCCAGTTACCAACAACGCATGGGCCTTCGCCACCAACTTTGTTCCCGGAAAGTGAGCCAAGTTTTTATCTGTATTTTGCTTCAGTCTTTGCTTCGTGTGAGTGAGAGGAGAAAGAGAGGTTGTTTAGATGTAAAATTTGCAAGACTTTGTGTAATTTTTCATTAATCAAATAACTCGTTTTTCTCTCAAACTTCGTAATTACTAAATTGAATTAGATCTATGTTCTTCGAATCACTCAATAGCAGAGTTTATTATCACAACTTACATGTCACTAAGCAAGTTAATGGTATTGGAAAATCAAAAATCCATTGGTTATATCCGTACAAATCATACACATTTGTTTAAGACAATTCACTTAGACCAAAAAATAGATAACGTTTTCCACTAGAAAATATACTTGCTAGCGAAGCAAAACGAAAACTGATAAATAATATATTCTTCTACACACTAGTACATTGTGAGATCTGATTATTTTTCTTCATCCGCTACTCCTCTATCGCTTAGCTGAAGAGTCATCTTAATATTCATTGAAGCCAACTCTGCAGCTAAGTACCTGAATACATAGGGCATTGCAACTGTTTCCATGCCTTTACTTGTCCCGCAAGAATGGCAAGTTACCTTCTTTGGAGTTCTACCAGGAGGTAACTTTCCATTAACTTTAATCAGCTTCTTCTGTTGAACATTCACAACCGAAGATGTGAGCAAGCTTCCACATAGAGAACACACATCTGCAATGTGGTGATCTGAAGAAGTATGAAGCCTGTCGTGTAATAGATAGGAAGCTCCATGAGCAAGCAGTGAGTCTCGTTCCATTTCACCAAATCGAATCCCTCCACCTCGTTTCCTTCCCTTTATTGGCTGATGAGTTAGCTGATCCACTTGACCCGTAGATCTAACCTGCAAGCCAGAATATTATGATTCAAATGTAGCACGAAGATGAGACAAGTGCAAGTTGGAGACCTTATGTCAGGACGGTAAAAGAGATGAAGCCGGAAGGGTTGAAAAACCTGGAATTTGTCTGAGACCATATGACGCAGTCTTTGGTAGTAAACAGGCCCCATAAATATCTCACACTTCAGCTCTACTCCTAAAGACCCACTATACAATGTCTCGGTCCCATAGTAGTTGAATCCTTTTTCCTTTAACATGGAACCAAGATCATCAACAAGCAAACTGGACTTGCTCTCCTTTTCTCCGTTTGTTTTTTTTACTGCATCGCGAAACGGCGTTGCATCTACAAACTTTCCATGCAAACTACCTCCCTGTAAAAGCCGAGGATATAAGCATTACATATACTTTACTTACCAGCAAAATAAAAATATGAAGTTGGTTAAACGATACGCAAAAAGAAAATGCACAGCATCAGCGTCAATGGAACCTAAGAATCAGAAAAATTTCTAAGGATACCTTAGCAGCAATAGATTCCAAAAGCATAGCAATTGTCATTCTTGATGGGAAAGCATGCGGGTTAATGATGAGATCTGGACGCATTCCAGTAACTCCATTAAATGGCATTTCAATATCAGGCCACAATTGCGAACAAACTCCCTTTTGCCCATGTCTACTGCTGAACTTGTCACCGATTATGGGGTTTCTAGCATGCCGAAATCGAATATTCGCCTGCCAAGAAACTCAAAAAATTAGATTTTAAGCAAATTGGAATCTGTCTGAGATAGTTGGAGTTAAACCTCACCTTTTGAGGATGTTTCTTGCTTTTCATGTCAACAGAGACAAAGTCAACTATGACAGGGTCGGTACCTTTTCCCTTCATGAGCCTTTGCTTGCCAGTTACCTCATCATAGATACGACAATACGGCTCATCTGGATATATTTTCTGCGTTAGACCCAACAAATTAGTGAGTTTCTATGGAAGTTGACAAGGAAACGAAAATTAAATATTTAACCTACAGTAAATAGAGAGGATAGAAAGCAGTTATTTACCTGTCCAACATATGGTAACCCATCAGCGTCGATACGAGAATGATCTGATTTGTCAGTAGTACTCCTCCTAAAACTTTTATGACCACTATCATATCGGCTATTCTGATCTGAAAGATCAATATTTTCTGTCTGGACGATCATATAAGGACAAGGGTTAGGAAATTCAAAAAAAAAAAATAATAATTCGGTGATTTGTATGATGATACTAGATCTCTCGCCGCAACTACAAGACTATTCGCTGGGGTTAATAAAGGAACAAGTGCAGGGGAAATATGACCAGGGTTATGTTAAAGCACCATATACAGCTAATCTTCAGGACTCTTAATCAAAAAATGAGAAACGGGAACTCAAACCTGGTATATTTGGCCATGGCACATTCCCCGCTCCACAGATGATTTGTTCAAAATCATCGCGTCTTCCATATCAAATCTGTGAGACAGGTAGGTGGAAAAAAGGGATAAGAGAAAGGAAAAAGCTTATCATTGACAAGCTCTTGTATGCAAAAGCAGTTTCTTACCCTGTATGTGCGAGGACAGCAACTATTGCATTAGTCCCTGTAGGATTCTCATCAATACTGTAAGTGGTGTATGTTTTTGTACGGACCACAGGGGATTGAGGAGTCTGTAACATACAAAGAGAATTAACAAGACATGGGACCAAAAGAGACAAAAAGATCAACAGAAAAGTGTACCATGTACTTTCAGCTTTCTAAGAGTAAGATAGGAAATTAGAATTGACCTGCAGGTGGTAAATCTTCTGGTCGGCACGAAATTGGAGTGCTTGAGTAGAGTATGCCATGGTTTGCTTCGCCATCTGTATAACGGAAAATTTTAACAACTTCCAGCAGCATAATCATATAAAACTTGCATCAAATTTTCTAGTAATACCTGACACTGATACATGTTACGCGGACTTTGGTTATGATCTGACCAAGGTGTAAGATTAGCAACCACACTTATCATCCCAGTTGGATGAATTTCCTCATGAGTTGCTGGGGAAGAGTTATTCCTTCCTCCATTTCCTCCATCAGGACAGCTTATTTCCATAAAAACCTGGTTTGGTAGAAATTTATTTTTTAATTTGATTGTATACGAGGAAAGGTGGATATGAAGATCATATTCTTAGGATTTGCTACCTGCTCGAATGGTCCAATCAGTTCAATATTTTCAGAAGGTATAGATATATTTTTAACCGGCCTAATGAATCTTGCGGGACATGATGCCAAATACAATCCAGGGTAAGATCCACCCATGCTTATAGGTACATATCCCACTTCGAGGTCTTCAGGAATCTGTAGAGAAGCATTCACATATATATTAATCTTCTACTAAAATAGTTTGCCATCAACAAATGTTAACAAGTAAATATGCCTTACCACTGAAGGAGCCTCCACTTTCAGTCTCCGCAAATAAGAGACAACCTTCGTGACTAGGTTAGAAGATAGCGTGCCTACAACTTGACCATCTAAAAGAACATGAATGACTTTTGGTGGTCCAGCTCGTACTAGCTTTGGCAATGAAGATACCATACCCGCCCCAGTAAGAACTTCAACAACTGACTTTCTTATTTTCAGAAAATCTCTGATGTTTCCTTTGGAATCGAACTGAGAAGTAATTCCTGAAAACACCATGACCAATCAGAACACAATAAGCAGAGTTATCACTGAAAAAAAGTGACATCTTTTATGGTATGACAAAAGTGACAATCCTATTGTGGTACAAAACGACCAGATCTAAAAATGTATGCATATTAATTGCATCCACAAAAAAAAACTATTAGACATTCGGGGACATATAGAAACGAAATGAAAACATGATCTAATATAACTATATAGTTAAACTCCAGTCTAAAATAATTTACCTTGAGAAATATAACACACTCTTAACAAAACATGATTAGAGCTTAAATAAACTATGTAAACTTCAACTTGGTCAAACCAAATGTCAAGTTAACAGAATAATGTTGCTGAATTTAAGATGTCGTACTGAATACCAAAAAATTATGTGTGAAGATGAGAGCTAGAGAAACTCACGGCTAGTACAAGTCATATGATTAAGTAATCCACAAGGTGTTCCATCAGGAGTGTGAACAGGGCAAAGAAAACCCCAAGATCTACAAGATAACAATAAAACAGGAAAAATGTGAAGACTGCTATTTTGGGACCGCATCATCACATCTAGTGTTTGATAGATAAAATGTGAAAGAACCTACTCAGGAAGCAGCTTCCTCACAGTTGTTGTACGAAGCCCAGCAAAAGAAGCACCTCGATGAACCGCCCGGAAAAATGAAAGGAAACGGAGAAAGTTCAATCTCTCAGCCTGAACAGTGTAACCTGCTCTCTGATAAAAGAATTGAAAAAATATGTCAGTACTGTTCTATCAAACTACATCATACTTAATGGATTTTAGCTACATAAGATTAAAGCTTCCCAAGCAAGCGACCAACTCAAGTGCTTACCTGCTGTAAATCCAAACCAGACTGTGTTTTCAACGCTCCTGTCTTCAACAATGTTTCAATTGACGTGCCGATACTCCTGGGAGGATTTTTGTTAATAAGCTTCTTGACATCAGCAACTGCATTCAATTAAGGGATCATCACCGAGAACATGATATTGACTTCACAAAATATTTGTGGAAGAGAACAAGCAAATATCATGCAGAAAATATATGTGGATATACAAAAAAATGAGTTTCATATAGTTTCAACTTTTAAGGAATGCAGAAGATAAGAACATTGAACAGTGAAAACAAAATCAAAAGGACTTACGGCTTTCAAAGGAAAATTTCGAGCTCGTGTTAAGCAACTCATCTTTAAGAAGACTTTTGCACTTCCGCAGCCAATCTTCAAGTTTTTCCTAGATAAACAATGCATGTGACGTCAATTAACTCCTTTTGATGAAGGAAAACCTTTGTCTAGTAAACACAACAATTCATGGTTATGCAAAATAGAATCGTAGACTTTTAGAAACATTGATAATGACAAAATCACATGCTCTTATATAATGAGCCTCGACATATATGTTTCTATCATATGGGAAAATAATGGTATACCTTGAGGTAAATAGTTATAACGTGACCTGGGACTAAAATTTCCTGATTTTGCAAAGAATCCGGATTGTCAGGTAAAGAAGTCTGATCCACCAGAGAATATAGCTTCTGAATTATGAAGCTGCGTAGCCAAAAAAAATATTGACCACAATCACCCTAAAAAAACTCAACGTGATAGTCATCAAGAGGCAAAAGTAAAACATTACATGAGCAAATTGAACTTGTCGTGATCATTGTCAAGGTGAACAAATAAATAATCCCTGAGCACAGCTTCAGCAACCTAAATATATAAGAATGAAGAGGAACAAAATTAATTAGAAAGTACTTACTGTCATCAGTTGTAGAAAATAGAAATTGTTTACAAAATCAGAACCAATCAGAATTTTCAAGAAGCTAATAGCCCAAAGCAAATCTCGAAGAAGTGAGTTATTTTTATTCAGAAAGGTTGCTAGTATGTAATTGACAAAAAATGCAAAGAAATTTTTTTGCAAACACAACTAGTGATCACCACTTGTAGTAATGAAACCAAATAAGGAGGTTAAGAATGATCAAGTAAACTTACCATAGGATGGCTTTCTTTTTCTAACCCATCAAGAACAGGTTGAAAATGCTGTCCTGTTGGTTTTACAAGTAAAAATTTAGCTTCTTAGTTTTGAGAGCATGTACATAAACACTGAGACAGGTAATCACCTAAGTGCTTCCGGCACTGTTCACGGGTAAAAAGACCCAAATCTCGAACTTCATCTAGAATAATTTTGGCTCTCTCACGAATAAGTTGGGTTCCAATAGCTCCATCGCCTCTTCCGTAATGCTCACTGTAGCAACAGTTCAGGCTTTCGTATATTTCCTCATCGCAGGTGTTCGTGAGAGCCTAGGAACATATGAGGACAGATAGGAAAAATGGAGAATTGAATGAGAATTGAAAAAAAAAAAAAAAAAAATTGACTAACAGAAAAGTTCTGTTCTCTCAAAACATTTCGCCTTAAATAAATTTCTGTTCTCATGATACAGAAGACAGATTCAAGGAGTCACTAAGACCATACCTTGAGAACAAGGCCGACAGGAAGCAAATATTCCCTTCCCACTATCCTGTGTCCATTAGAAATAAAGTTAACTTGTATCTCAAATCATAGGTAATGTCATCCACATTCCACACATCAAGTTAACACTTACCAAAATCCAACTCTGGCACTTCCATTGCGAAGATAATACAGTTTTACAGTGACAGATGACTGGTCGTCCCTAACACACCTAAGAATTAAGAAAAGAGAACCGCATGAAGAATTCTTTAAGATATATTGCTACTTTAGGTGAAGATTGGCATTACTATATGCAACAGATAAGGAAGAAATAAACTTCAAGTACCTAGTGACAACTGCCTTTTCAGTGTATCCTTCCTTACGATCACGGAATGAATTCCGAATCATACTTGTTGGCTATTATAAGAGATTCTTAGTCAGTTAAATTATGAGAGATATATGATACAAGGAATTTCATGGGAATATACTATACCCATAAACTTTATAAGCAAAACACTATACTCATAAACTTAGTCAGTTAAAAGCCGAGGTAGCTTACATGGTTCCGCTTTGGTGCAATAACACATCGGAACACTCTCTCGATCCCATTCAAAATAAAGTACCTATTTCAAGGAAAGCTAAAATTATTATCATGATTGACTGATGGAAGGAAAGATATATCAAGAACAACATGAATGCATAGGCAAAAGGGATGTTCCTAATCCCACACTAGTTTCCTTTGCTATAAATATAGATGACATGCTTTACAGAAATACAGTTTAGAAAAGAAAATCCACGTATACTAAATCACATATTAACCACAAGCCTCGCAGTGGCTGTATCCTAAGGCATAAGAGGTGGAAGAACATTTACCCTCCCATTTCAGAAGTTGACTCTTTACACTTTAACAGTTTCCGGCAATCAGCACCCCTTAAGCTACAAAGCTTTGACTGCAATAAAGTACGGTTATCAATTTCCGTTAGCTCATAAATAAAGACTAGTAATCATAAGTAAAGTAAAGAAGTGAAAATTGTGTACTTAAGAGCAAAATGAAATAAACAGATCACCAACCATGAGCATAATAGGAAATTGCCCAAAATCAAATCTATCTCTCACAACGACTCCATCATTATACTTAAAGCAAACATCAGCCATAAACGTTCCTGTGTAGGAAATCTTCGCTTGCCTACACTGTTATTCAAGAAGCCAAAACAAAAGGTATCAACACCACCAAAACATATAACCTTTAATAACTCAGAAACATGTTCAAAACCAAAAATACAAACTTCACCTCAAAGGGAAGCAAAGGCTCTTTCCTTGATGTTGATCTAAAACTCTCTTTCTGAGGAGCGAATACTACAGGATTTTCTAACCAAAGTATCATACTTGTCAAGGAATTCAGACACAACACAAAAATTAAGCACGAACACTAGTATAAACAAACAGTATATAACAAAAAAAGGATATTGCTCAATTCGTTCTCGGTGTTTGGATCGTAGACAGAAACGGGTTTGATTCGATTGAACATAACATCGAGTCCTTTCTGTGTCATGTAATCGAAAGACTCTATATGATGAGTGACGAGATTGTGAAGCTCCTTCAAGTCTTCCATCGTTGGAACCGTCGAGTCTTTCGCGTTGACAACCATGATTAGGGTTTGCTCTAGAACAGGGCCGGTTCTGAGGTTGCGGAAGCTGAAATTAGGGTTTCGGTGTCACGAGGATCAGCTCAATAGAAGGAAAACTTTAGAGTTAAATCTTCGAAGAAAGCTTGCCTGAGCAAATTGATGGAGAGGCGGAGACAGAAGGCGGCGCGAGAAAAAAACGGAAAGGGTTTTAGGAGTTTGGGTTTAACTGGTATCAATAACTTTCAAGTTTATTACAGATATATCCCTCATCTTTTAAAATGTTATAATTTGAACCCTAACATTTTTCTTTTAATAAAATTTTCGAGCGAGATTGGTTACGGATTACCATTTTTTGGTGAATTGAATTCTATTGAACCTTAACTCTTTGGCGAATTTAGGACTTTGATTTTTCTAAGCTCATCACAACAACGTTAATCAAGTTCGAAAAGATCAAATTTTGTGAAAGAAACTCGGGATCTTTTACAAAATAGTACTTCACAATTTTAACCAATAACTTTTAATACAGAGCAAAAATTGTTTGCTAGTTAAGTGAAACTTTCTTTTGTTGATGATATATTAGTGACGCGTTTGTTTGTTTTGCAAGATATAAGTTTAAAAGTACATATATACTATTCAAAAACGGATTTTTTGGGATACATCAGGGTGGTTGAATTATGCAGAGGGATTTTTCGTTGGGGAATGTCGTGTTTATTGGATTTCGGATGAGTATGATTAGACAGTTTGACCGCTATAAAAAAATGAACTAAAACTTTCGATTCGGTTCCTTTCCTTTGGCTTCTGGTTTGGGAGATGCATTCATGAAGTTTGGATATACTTGGGAAGACAACAATAAATTTTTCCTCGGAATATTTTCAAGGTTCAAGTTAGAAAAATGAAAAATGAAAAAAAAAAGAGTTAGAAAAATTTAATGTGCCTAGTCGTGCCGTTTTTACGATAGGAGCAGGGTAAGTATAGTTATAGACTTGGTAAAGAAGTGATTTAAGACTCAATCTATTATTTAGTGAGGTTAGAAAGGTTTCAAACAAAGAAGATAAAGTTTATCAGTGGGGAAGGGGGATTTGAAACACTCTAGGAAGCAAGAGTGCTGTTGGAAGGATTTTTGTTGGTAAGAGATGAACGAAAGAGAGACGCCCTCGACCTAATTAATAAAGATCTTGGACTTATAACATAAAAGCTTCTGTTCCTTTCGTGAATCTTCAAAACCTGGTCCTCGAAAGCATTGGCTTGGACATGTAAGATCTTAGCTTTGAAGAACATATTCATTCTGCTGACGTACATTATGTGAGATTTTGTGTCACCTTAGATCTCTATAAGGGTATATCGATGAGCATAATCAATGTTGTGTATGTGAGATTATTGTGATCAAGACGTTCACCAACATAAACTCAAGTGTGTAGCTAGGCTTTGGTGTGTCAAAACATAATAATTTATTCTTCGACCATATGATTGACCAATTCTGATAGTATTTGAATGTTTGTATCTTTGGCTTCCAATTTGTAAGAGTATAGGATGATATGATGATCACAAGGTAGCCATCAAAATCACCTTTATCCAACTAGTCATGTATATTTTGAACATTCAATCAAAACGATAAATAACATCATAATTGATTTCGGTCATGGGATTGACTGATTCTGATTGTATTTAAAAAGTTGATGCATTTATTTTTAACTTCTAAGATTGTAAGGTGATACAATACAGTAGTTAAAAATTAGTCATCGAGATCACTTTCGTCAATAGCAGCAAGTCTCAGATTACGAGGGATAAGGGCATTTTCCATCAGACAGCACTAAAGAACCTTCCTTAGCAGCATTACAAGGCCTTCCGTGAACACTAAATTTGCTTTGTGCTAGTACTAAATGTCTTATACTCTTATGTCAGCATAAAAGGATTTTCTTCGGCACTAAAACGCGTTTTCCATAAAAATGGTCCTTTGCCAATACCAAAGATCATTCCCAAAACACTAAAATTTCATTGCATTTACATTTCGACACTCACAATTGTTATTAGTTGTGAAAAGAAAATGGCAAAAAAGGTACCAACAAAAATATTCATGAATGTGTAGCACATTTATTTTCTAATAACACTCAAAAGCACGCTTGGTATGTACCACATCTTTTTTTACCTTCCAGTAAAAAAAATGTATACCTCACAAATAGTCTTTTGTCTCTTGGTTAGTTTTGCAAAATTAACACTATTATAATTATTGTTAACAAAGTACATAACAACACTCCATTCTAATTGATTTATTTTTTTTTACTTCTCTTCCTTTGCTTTTTCGTCTTAACTTTTCTTTGAATCTTCTCACTTGGCACTTGGATATTCTCATACTAAAAACGTTTTTCGCTTTAGATTAATTGTATTCCTAAACAAGGCCGAAAAGGAACAGATTTGACCTCCTTTGTAGTGTTGAAGAACACTTTTGCCATCCATAGCAATGCTTCGGAAACGGTTTGATGTTTGTGTAAAATTGCATTGGCTCGGTCCTTTTAACAAGACTTAGAATAAACATCCAAAATTTTGTAACTGATACTCATAGAGAAACATATCAAAATTTACCAGAAAGCACTACTTCATCTAATGAATTTTAATAGAAACATAATGATGGATTTAGAAAGAACCAGCATCATGAGATCAAACATTTAGCAATGTGCGAACGGTTTCCTTTGAAACTAATGCTGTCCAAAATCATGATTTAAATTAAACCACACGATTCAAATTATTTTAATCCTTACTTATTGCCAAATATCTACTTTCTTTTTTTTTCACCAAATATTCTTACTTGTTGTAAGTCGCATACCAATCAAATAATAAAAAATATTACCAGGCATACGCATGCCAACATAAACTTAAAATTACAGCTCAAAGTGAAGAGACAAGAATGATGAGTTTGGTTTGGAAATAATAAGTAGTAATATTCTTTGGAACAAGTATGGGGTTGGGACAAGAGCCCAAAGAGAGAGAAGAGTGTGTCACTGTGTCGTCGTCTCTAAATTACAAATAAAAATTGTCAAAGAAGAGAGAGTTTAGTTTTTGGTGGGAGCTAGGTCCACAAAAGCTTTTCACGCGTGCTAAAGGAGCAACCAACGGACGGTCACGATCAAGGCCGCATTAAACGGAAACCATTTGAGATTGTTTCATCCAACGGCTCACACTTCCCTTGTTTGACTCTCTTCTGTCCATCCCCTCACGCGTGCTCCCTCTCTTGTTTTTTTTTTTTTTTTTCTCATTTCCACTATTTATTATTTATATTTTATCTTAAAAAACTTTTTTATTTCTTATTTTCATTCAACAAATCTTTCTACATAGTGATATACATGGGTTAACACTGTAATCTTTGTAATCTTATACATGTATAACAGTTTTCCCATGATTTTATTACATACTTTTTTACTAAATCATTGTGGAAAACCAAAGAAATAACATTGTTTTTTTTCAAAAGACTTAAGAAACTATGGCTCCCATTGGTAATACGCATAATGGCAGGATTTGCTTTTACATATAAAAAATCAAAGTAAAATTTGTTTATGCAAATAAATGAATATATAGTTGTTTCTTTTATATATCATGCAATTTTTTATTTTACGAATTTATATGCTGCAAATTTTTATTTTGCAATATATGTCATGTAACGATTATGCAATGTTACCAATCAGAGTCTATATTACGTGACAAACTTTACTTTTTTATTTTATTTTAAATGTATCATCTTTCTGCTCGGATATTTGTTTAACTAATCTAACTAGTAAAAAGACATATTTTGTCCAAGATTTTTTTTTTTTTTATCTTGGGTGAATCAATAGATGGGAGTGCAAAAAAAATTTGAAAAATCCAAAAATTTGCAGTAAAGTTTAACATCTTTTTGCTCCACATTTAAAAAACAAAACAAGTAGATTCACGCACGAAAAGCGTGAAACGAAATTATCAATTTTTTAAAGAGAAAACTTTAAACAATGTTTGTGTAGTGACTAGTGTGAGTGATTAAAAATGAAAATGGGCAAACCAAACGCAAAAAAAAAACAAACCGCACCAGAAAAAGAAAGCCACGCGTTCTCTCTCTGTCACTTACTTCTCCTTATTTCTCTCCCTTCCCTTCTCTCTCTTTTTGCCACACACATCATCATTCTCTCTAGATCTTCTTCTTCCCCTCCAACAAAAAAAAAAACAAGTCTTTCGAATTTGATCAGAGGCTTCAAAGCTTAAGTTTTTACGCATCACCGATTCATTTGATCCAAAGGGTTTTCATTTCTTCTACGGTATGATATTTGATTCTTTGTTCCGCCGCAATTTCTGACTTAGGGGTTTGATCTCGTATTTATTACTTTGATGGTTACTTTTGTTTGTTTGATTACTTAAATAGCTATTTATGGTTTATTATTTTCTCAGATGATTGTTTGGATTTGATTTTTATATTGAATGTTCTGTTCTGTCTTGTTTATGTTTGTTTGTGTTATTCTTAATAAACTATTCATGATCGCGTCAAGATCTTTTTTTTTATCAAGTTCAACTCTTTTGTTGAGGTTTTGTTTCGTCTTTGTGTTCTGTTTTTGAAGCAGAGTTGTTGAGTTATTTTGATTATGCTTTGTGATCACTATGGCACTGTGAAACATATATCCTGGATCCGATGTTGATGTCTTTAGTCATGGTGCTATGTTTCCCGCAGATGCATAAAGTTGTGCTTTTCTTATTTTCTGAATCATGAATTAGACATTTCCCATGTTTTAGTTTCTCTGTTTTGTTTGCCAGTAGTTATTTTTGGGATTCTACCTCGAAGTTAGTGCCTTTCAACTTCATATACTGATATATATATCTATTGGAATAGCGTTGGTCCTAATTTTTGTTTGTTTGTGCAGTTTGCGAGAAGAGGAACGGTATTTAAAAATACACTAAAAACTTGATATTGGAAGAACCAAAGATGCCCTGGACAGCCTTCTTCATGTTTTTCAACAGGACTTGCACTCGTCTGGTTGTCTTTTTCCTCGTTATTCTGTAAATTTGATCCTTTCAGGTGAGCCAGCTTCTCATTTCACATCTTCTGTTTTGGTCTGCAGTTACTTAGTCATTCATGTCAAGTCTTTAACTTGTAGTTTCTTTTCTCATTATCTTACGTTTAACAGTAAGAACATTTTGTGTTCTAGTTAAGAATATTTTTTCTTTTCTTACGTCGGTGCCATGTGGAAAACAAATCTTCTTGTTGCCACCTTATTTTTAGCTTCTTTTGTTTAAACTATTGGTGTTCCTTTCTTGTTTTGCAGGTGTTGTTTCCGGTATCCGGAGTAGCTCTTTGTTGTTGTGCTTATTTTACTGGTTAGTGTGAGAATGTGCATTGTTGGAAACAAGAAGGGAAACCGATCATTGAAGGAAATAGGAACTTTTATGATGACTACATGTTTCATTGCTAATTACCAATCCGTTCAAGTTTGCCAGGTACATACATACCTCTCCTGGTTTTACCGTATTTCTTAACACTTTTAAATTTTAGGCAACACTGATTTATGTCATTAAAAGAACTCTATCCTCTTGATGGTATGTGACTAGTCTTATAGATGTTTATTCTACATGTTTTGTGTAATTAGTTATATTTGTTAGAGCATAAACCATAGTGTGTTTGATATTCAACCTCTCTTATAAATCATTGCAGGCTGAATATTTCAGACAGTTGCTTAAGCCTGTAACGTAGTCTAGCGTCTGGAGATTTCGGAAATTGGGGGTTTTGAGCGGCTATCTACTTTTGATTTCGAAAGAATTATTGTGAGGTATTAAGAGTCTGGTATTCTGAAGAGCTGTGTGGGAGAGCTTCTGGTTTTGGGGGTAAGGGCTCTGGTGGAAATTCGTGATATCTTTAGTATGATGGCCATAACTTGATATAGCATTTGGTTCGACTGTCAACTTAGTGTAGTAGTAACTGAGCAGCTGGAAGCTTACAAAGGCGGTAGTCGAAAAATTTAAGCAGCCTGCAGTTTGAGGTGTACAACTTGTTTTTCTCTTTGTGTTTCGCTTTTACCTTTGCACGGGTTTTCTGATGCAGAACAATCAGTTTCCTCACTTCTCAGATGAAGTGGGTGACAGAAATATGCACAATCCGTATGCATCAGGGTCATCCTTTGATGCTTTGTTCCCACCATGTGCAAAGTTGCCATACCATGGTGTTGAACTTCAACCGTCTGCGGTCTGTCCAAAGAATTTTGTCATCTTCGATCAAACGTATGACCGCAGCCAAGTGATGTACCATCCTGAGCTGACTCACAAGCTCATGAATACCCCATCATTGAACAATTTAGCTTCGACATTTCAGAACGAGTACTCTGGGGGAAGTTATGGTAACTATGGTAACTATGACCAAGAAGCATCCTCTTCTTATCAAGAGGATCCGAATGAGATCGATGCCCTCTTGAGCGCAGATGAGGATTATGAAGATGATGATAATGAAGCTGATGAGGATGGTGATTCAGAAGAGGTCAGCACTGCTCGTAATTCTTCCAGGGATTATGGAAACACCTCAGCAGAATCTTGTTGTTCCAGCTATGGGTATAACAACAACAACAACAACAACTCAAGGAAGCAGAGTTTATCGGGCAGTGCTAGTAGTAACAATGATGGGAAAGGACGGAAAAAGATGAAGAAGATGATGGGAGTGTTGAGGAGAATTGTCCCGGGTGGAGAACAGATGAATACAGCTTGTGTTCTTGATGAAGCTGTTCAGTATCTCAAGTCACTTAAAATCGAAGCACAGAAACTTGGCGTTGGACATTTCTCAAACCAATCTTGAATGTTACCAATATTCGTTCTTCCACCACTATTGTTTCTTCGAAGGTAAATCATCGGTCCAGCGCTTATCTGGACCTTTCTCTCTCTATATTCCTCCCTCTACTCACTTCCTTCTGCAGGATGGTATCTACTTTAAGTTGAATCTCTCTTATATTTTGCTTTTGTGTTATTGCTTCGATGAAGAAGCTGTGTTTGCACAAGTACTTGTGGATTTGATTTGTACTGTTTTAACTTTCACTTTCACTGTAATCATTTATGACTATGTGAACTATCATGGTTAATGATTTCACTTGGTATCGTTATTGATTATGTATGTTATACTTTTTGTAATGCTTCTTGTTTTAAACATTAGGTCTTTCACGTTGTGCGGGTTTTTTCATCTATAATTTATTAGTTACTTCCTCTGTTTCAAAATATAGGATGTTTTTGTTAACAACTATCAATTAATACTTATTTAATAAAATTCATAAAAGATTACAAAATTCAAATGGTCATAAAATCTTAAATAAATTTAAAAATTGCATAGAAAATTGTAAACATCCTATATTTTGAAACAAAAAGAGTATAATAATTTACATCGACTGAATTAGTCTGAAAGATAATATTTTTGATCTTTTTTTTTCTAATCATTTTGATGTATTTCTCTAAATAATTCATTCCATTTTTTGTTTATTTATTTATTTATTTTTAATAAAATTGTTTAACACTTATTTAGAATTACTTACCATACAAAAATATCTTTACAGTATCTTTAAATAAGCGAAAAAGTAAAGATGTTTGCCTTAAAATAAACCGTAAATCCAACTAATATTCATTGTCATTAATCATATATATTATAGTATATTAAAACATGAAATAAATTCTAATATCATGAAATCTAATAATTCATGTTTTCATATACTAAAGATAAATTTAAAAATAAAATGAATTTATTGTATCAAAGACATAAATGAATTTATTTATTTATCAAAGACGTAGTGAGTCTCCCTTCGGTGAATGTGTGTAGAAGGTATATACCTTGAGTGAAGCAAAAACGGTAGCAATTCTAGTAGCCATCATATTCAAACAAATATTAAAGTGGCGTGAATTCTCAGCATCGTCAGCATAGAGCGTTTCCAGTGCCTGCTCATGATCAGTTAGAAATCCCTGAGAAAGAGGTAAGATCATCACTTTTGAAAATATGTTGTTAATTGTATTAAATTAGTTAGATTTTCTGCTTTCTCTCCCAGGCACTATTATCGAGATAATTTTCACGATCATGCCTTCCGACGCCGGTAGAGCTTTGTCTCACCGGCGTCGGGAATTCTCCTTTGTCCACCTTGCTCCTTTTCACTCTAGATCTATTATCTCTTCTTTGTTGTTAAATTTCTGTTTCCCCTTTTTAAATCCCTTTCAAACCCTCTTGAATCTATGGCTTCTGGTGCGATCTTCAACAACCAAACTCCAAGAGAGAAGATGGTGTCCGGCGATCTCCATCTCTCGCCCCCAGCTTGTATCACCTTTGCCGTTTCTGCCCTCTTTCCCCAGAACGGCCATGTTCCTATGTTTCTCATCCTTCCTTTCGAATCTCGACCAAAACCATCAATTGCCGACCCTAGCTTCACCGAAGATGATTGCGCCACCACAAAACCTCTCATCATCTCCGTACGGCGGCCACCACGCACAGGTGCGCCTTTTGCCAGCCTTTGTGAAACTAGGTTTACAACAACTGGTGGGCTTCATTATTTTTGGCCCATTATGGTCCCCACAGCCCAAACCTAGTAGGTGTTTTCAAACCCATTATCTGTTAAAGCCCAGGTCTGTTCCTTTTTTATTTTTGTTCATCTCTAGTCAATCGTTGTGCCTCTTATCGAAACTATTTGTTCAAGGACTGCAAATAGAACGATATGCATCATTGTTGCTATGGGTGTCCAAGATCATTGTGAGAATCCTGCCACTAGATTCACCTAGGGTTATTGGTCATGAAATTCACTGTTTGATTATTGAAGTGTTTAGATTGAAGAAGATCGGCATTATGATCCCGTCTCCATGGAGCGGTGATTACCGATGTTTCTTCACTCCCTCTTCCCTGTTTCCTCTGAATACTGAGACAAAGCAAGTGCTAATCACCAACCTTATGGCTATTATTCATGAGACTAGAAGTTTGAGGAAGAACGGCATTATGATCCCGTCTCTAAGGAGCGGTGGTTACCATAGCTTCCTCAACTTTTTATCCCCATATGCCCCGTTAACAGAGCCCATTCATGTGCAAACTATCAAATGCAGGGATAACTTTCTTACACCTAAAAGCTTGAAGCTCGCGTCTGGTTACATTTTTCATGTGTCAAACCAAAGACAAACTTTGTGTGAAATTCTTAATCTTCATGGTCATGTGAGAGAGGATCCACCTGTTCTGTTACGGTTTCTCTGCTCTCTTGTGCGAATCCTGGCTCTAGCTTCCTTTTGCTATGCCTTGTCTAAGCTAAATTATCAATCCACGAAAACTCTGGCAAGCAACCTCAAGCATCAGATCACCACCACCTTTGCTCGAACCCGTGCCAAAGCTCTACGTGTACTTCTTCTCATGCCGGTGAGATTCACGACTTTGGCCTCTTCTTCAACGCCACTTGGTCTCTTGACTGTGGCCATTTGTTCATCTATTGACTCGTTCTTGGAAGAACTGTCGATAACCTTTGATCTCACATGTACTAAAAAGCTTCTTAGCTTTTGGCTCAAAGCTCTCAAGGAACTCTTGTTGTTTAACCTTATCTATCCTTTCTTCTACCTTATGTTGGCATTGGGGAATGCCCTTTATGGCTGTATCGTAAACTTTGGGATCTCAGATTCCTTCTATCTCTGTATTTGGTTTCTATCGTGATTGAATGAAATCAAAACTTTGTCCAAAAAAAAAAAAGAGGTAAGATCATCAGGGAAAGACCTACTTTGCATTAACTCCATCATTAAATAACACCCCTAAATTCAGAAAAGATAAATTCATTTTGATTAACACAATCAATAAAAGAAAAGGTAATTTGTCAAAATTTATAGCATATCAAATTATCAACTTTGCGGTTGTTATTCATAGATGGAGTTAAAGTCAATTCTGCAGTATATCTTGGATTTTGATTATAATAATTTACTCATAAAACTCCAAAGAGATTTCATTTCAAATGATTTAATATACAAAGATTTTACAAGTCTTTTAATTTTGAATAACACTGGATTTTAATGAAGTATTTTAAATCTTAGTTGAATAACACCAAACTATTTAAGGGGAGTGTATTCAATCAAGGATTTGAAATGATTTGTATTAAAAAGATAAATCCTATGTTATTCAAACATGAAGTTTAAAAATCTTTTTAAAATCAAGTGTTATTGGATTAGTGATTTTAAAATCTACAATCAAATCCACTGTTATTGAAAACATTTTAAATTGTGGATTTGAAATGACTTGAGTGATTTTTGGTGGGATTTCAGAGAACATCTTAGTTAAAAATTCAAATATCCAAATCCCATGGTTTTAGGTGGGATTTGGGAGAATTTTGAAATCAAATTCCCTAATTCACCAAAATACACCAAAATCATCTCAAAACTCATTAAAACTCAAATCACTCCAAATTCTTTCTTCAATACACCCCCTAAATCTAATGAAGTATAAGATCCAATAAAACCAGATTTTAAAGTTAGATTTAGAATCACTAGTTAAATAACACTGAATTAGTGGTAGATTTCAATTCTATTAAAATCCATCATTGAATAACACCACCTTAGATCAAATCAGATAGATTGAAATAGTTCCATTACATAAATTGAAAAACTAATAAAAATAAATATTGTTAAATTATTTGTCACACGATTAAGAAAATCGTAACATTTTGGTTTGAAAAACTTTAATGGTATCACACCAATTGGTAATCACTATAATTTGGCGATTAGATTCTCCAATCTTCGTGGATGGTATGATGACCCTGCATCTCACCCATGGTGAGATAATTTCCTGTTGATCTTAGATTTCAAGTGGTATTAAAGAAATATTGTGCAAGCGTTATCAGTAATTTCAGATCGAAGAGAGATCTAACCGTATCTATCTCATACAGTTTTTGCATCTTTCAATGACTCCATTACATAATCAGTTCGTCATTAACCAGACTCACTCGGCATAAACCACACTATCAATCCGCCTCAGTCATCTCATCGGCCAAAGGACCAAGCTAACTCATATGCTAAGTTCGGGTTGGTCCAAGCGGTCCAAAATCTTGAAATGGCCAAACCTACACATCATTATACATATCGAAGATTAGCCAAATAGATTTACCAAAACAAATGCAAATAACACATTTGAAGTTTCGAAATCAGTTAATCCGACTATATTTGTATGTTAATGACAAAAGACTTATACCCTCCAAAGCACTCTGCCTTGAATAAGACCACAAGGTACAGGACCAAAGGTTCTTGAGTCTCTTGAGTTATGAGTATAGTCACCTTGAACAAAGACATGTCCTTTAGGAACCTAAAACCAAAAGAACATCAAAAGATCAATTCGTCATTAATCCAACAAACTAAACAACTTATAATGTCGAATAGAAACTAACAATCTAAAGGAAATAGTAATGTACACCAAAAACACTAACATTGCTAAAGATTCAAACTTTTCCATGAATTGCAATAAGCTAAATCGAGCTCAATACTATATTCAACTTGTTTCAACTCTGATAACAACTTGTTTCAACTCTGATCACTCTAAATACTATATTCAAAATCTGATTCATAAGCAAAACCAAATTGAAGTGAAGTCGAGAAGGAAGGTCAAATAACAAAACCTACCACAATGGTTTGAGATTTATCACTCTTCACTGGATCAACCACAAAGCTTATACAATCACCTTCAATACCAATAACTCTCTTAATCGGAGTCTTATTAGGGTTTTCTGGAGATCGTATCACAACTATATCTCCACGACTCGGTTTCTGATATCGCTTAGAAATTCTCTCAGCTAATAACACATTCCCCGAAGGATGAAGCGTCGGAGTCATGCTCGGACCATAAGCCTGCTCAAAAAAGACAACATCTTTATAGATAATTCTCAATGATTAACGAAAAAAGAAGAGAGATTTCGATTGACTCACATAAGCCATGAATCCGAGATAGTTTGTTGTTACATGGAGGAAGCAGTAGAGTTTCGCAATAAACACGCCGCTTTTCATGGCTTCTCGTGAAGCTGTGGTCCAGAAAGATGACGACAGAGACACCATTGCCGATTGCTTCAAACGTGAAAGCATATACTAAGCTCAGATTTTGTGGGTTTGCTTCACGAATCACTTTCGCAGGCTGAAATTGAATCCCAAAGAAAGAAAATGTTAGATCACATCAACAGCAGCCATTTTAGCAGCTCCAATGCCTTGAATCGAATCACCACATTGACTAAAACAAGAACAGGGCTGGTTCTGAAGGGGTGCAGAGAAATTAGGGTTTGTAAGAGGAGAAGAAGATGCCTCTTACACGTTACACGTGATGAATTTAGAACTCAAAGTTTGGGTTTTTCGTAGGTGAATTTTGCATTTCGATTCGAAGGAATCGCATTGTTGTGTTAGTTGTTGTTTTTCTAAATTGCATAAAATACGAAAGGTACACTTCAAAAAGAAAAAAAAAAAACACATTTTGATTACAATTTGACTGTTGGGCTTACCGTTAAGGCCCATCAATGAGAAGTGATTCTTACATGTTTGATTTGTCTCGTCCACATGTTTTTTAATCCTTCCACCGGTTATTCTTAGGTCTGAAAAAGAAGGCATTGTTTCTATTTTTTTTCTAGTATTTTAAAATAAACAAAATTTCAACGTAAGATCATTTACTGATTGTATCTAAGACATAAATGAATGAGATTTCATGATCATCAATTTTGTTTTCATAAATTTATCTTTACAAAATCCATTTTGCATTAAAATCATGCAAAATCCTATTAGATCATATGCAAAATCCAATTTTTTTTTTTAATACAAGGAAATATTAGGATTCCAAATCGATCGTTGCATCGATTATTATTTTTTATCTCGATTTCACGAAGAAACGTGAGACGAATCGTTGAGCGGCCAATGCTAATTTGATGATTTGTGTTTTCTTTGGCTAATATAATAAACCAATTTGCAAACCCGGTTTACTGTAAACCGAGTTATTTTCCATCAGGAATTTAAATTTCGTTACGTATCAAAGCAGGTTTATGGTAATGTTTCAATCATATATATGAAAGTCGGCAAACTCTCTCCATCTTTCTACCACGTCAGTAGTAGAGAGAGTGACATGTGTCACATCAATATATTACATTTATGATTTTATTTAAATTTAATTAAAAATTTAAATCATGCATTAATTCTTGTTTATATGAAAATTACATGTGTTAACTTATTAATTAAAATTTTAATTTAATTAGATACAGAAATATATCAACTCATATATAATTAAATCATTTAAATTTTGCTATATAAATTTACGCATAAACATAAAATCAATGGAAGTTTAGTAAAAACAAAAGTAATTTTATTAGATTTATGAAAACAAAATGAATTTATTTTTAAAGATATATGAAAACATGAATTATTAGATTTCATGTTATTAGAATTTATTTCATGTTTCATGACATACTTTAAATTTATTTTTTGCTTTTAACAACTATCAATTAATACTTATTTAATAAAATTCAACAAATGATATAAAAGATTACAAAATTCAAATGGTCATAAAATCTTAAATAAATTTAAAAATTGCATAGAAAATTGTAAACATCCTATATTTTGAAACAAAAAGAGTATAATAATTTACATCGACTGAATTAGTCTGAAAGATAATCTTTTTGATGTTTTTTTTTCTAATCATTTTGATGTTTTTCTCTAAATAATTCATTCCATTTTTTGTTAATTTATTTTTAATAAAATTGTTTAACACTTATTTAGAATTACTTACCATACAAAAATATCTTTACAATATTTTTAAATAAGCGAAAAAGTAAAGATGTTTGCCTTAAAATAAACCGTAAATCCAACTAATATTCATTGTCATTAATCATATATATTATAGTAATGAAAACATGAAATAAATTCTAATATCATGAAATCTAATAATTCATGTTTTCATATACTAAAGATAAATTTAAAAATAAAATGAATTTATTGTATCAAAGACATAAATGAATTTATTTATTTATCAAAGACGTAGTGAGTCTCCCTTCGGTGAATGTGTGTAGAAGGTATATACCTTGAGTGAAGCAAAAACGGTAGCAATTCTAGTAGCCATCATATTCAAACAAATATTAAAGTGACGTGAATTCTCAGCATCGTCAGCATAGAGCGTTTCCAGTGCCTGCTCATGATCAGTTAGAAATCCCTGAGAAAGAGGTAAGATCATCACTTTTGAAAATATGTTGTTAATTGTATTAAATTAGTTAGATTTTCTGCTTTCTCTCCCAGGCACTATTATCGAGATAATTTTCACGATCATGCCTTCCGACGCCGGTAGAGCTTTGTCTCACCGGCGTCGGGAATTCTCCTTTGTCCACCTTGCTCCTTTTCACTCTAGATCTATTATCTCTTCTTTGTTGTTAAATTTCTGTTTCCCCTTTTTAAATCCCTTTCAAACCCTCTTGAATCTATGGCTTCTGGTGCGATCTTCAACAACCAAACTCCAAGAGAGAAGATGGTGTCTGGCGATCTCCATCTCTCGCCCCCAGCTTGTATCACCTTTGCCGTTTCTGCCCTCTTTCCCCGGAACGGCCATGTTCCTATGTTTCTCATCCTTCCTTTCGAATCTCGACCAAAACCATCAATTGCCGACCCTAGCTTCACCGAAGATGATTGCGCCACCACAAAACCTCTCATCATCTCCGTACGGCGGCCACCACGCACAGGTGCGCCTTTTGCCAGCCTTTGTGAAACTAGGTTTACAACAACTGGTGGGCTTCATTATTTTTGGCCCATTATGGTCCCCACAGCCCAAACCTAGTAGGTGTTTTCAAACCCATTATCTGTTAAAGCCCAGGTCTGTTCCTTTTTTATTTTTGTTCATCTCTAGTCAATCGTTGTGCCTCTTATCGAAACTATTTGTTCAAGGACTGCAAATAGAACGATATGCATCATTGTTGCTATGGGTGTCCAAGATCATTGTGAGAATCCTGCCACTAGATTCACCTAGGGTTATTGGTCATGAAATTCACTGTTTGATTATTGAAGTGTTTAGATTGAAGAAGATCGGCATTATGATCCCGTCTCCATGGAGCGGTGATTACCGATGTTTCTTCACTCCCTCTTCCCTGTTTCCTCTGAATACTGAGACAAAGCAAGTGCTAATCACCAACCTTATGGCTATTATTCATGAGACTAGAAGTTTGAGGAAGAACGGCATTATGATCCCGTCTCTAAGGAGCGGTGGTTACCATAGCTTCCTCAACTTTTTATCCCCATATGCCCCGTTAACAGAGCCCATTCATGTGCAAACTATCAAATGCAGGGATAACTTTCTTACACCTAAAAGCTTGAAGCTCGCGTCTGGTTACATTTTTCATGTGTCAAACCGAAGACAAACTTTGTGTGAAATTCTTAATCTCCATGGTCATGTGAGAGAGGATCCACCTGTTCTGTTACGGTTTCTCTGCTCTCTTGTGCGAATCCTGGCTCTAGCTTCCTTTTGCTATGCCTTGTCTAAGCTAAATTATCTAAGCTCTAGCTTCCTTTTCGCTTGCCAGAGTTTTCGTGGATTGATAATTTACAACTAGACACTAGAGTTCCCAAGAAACATGAAAGACACAAGACACTAGACACTAGAGTTCACAAGACACTATCTTGAATGATAATGCAACATGCACATGATGATAATGTACCATAAACCATGGTGGAGTCAACCAAACTCGAACAGACAATACAAGCAAAGCTGCGTAAGAAATTCAGACTAATTTTAGCTGACTCAATCAAATTATTCAGTAAAAGAAATGAGGCCAAAACAGACTCAAATTTATAGAACAAAAAAGAGAGAAAGATATTCACAAACAGAAGCAAAGCTGTTCCTGGATTTACATGCTTCGTTGCAGACAAATCAATCTCAAAAAAGTCATATAACAGGGGTTTCATTAAAGGAAGGAACTCTCAGATTTCCAGAACACACTTAAAAAGCTAGTGAACAAAGTGGATGATCTTGTGGTTAAAACCTCACTTGAAATCTTGTGGTTAAGGAGATGATCAAGTTCTCATTATCTTAGAGATTTTGAAAATTTTAAGAGATCTCTAGTGAACAACTATGTTTTTTTTTGCAGGCGCATCCAAATATCAAGAGAAGCCTGCGCTCATGCACTAACTAGAGATCTTTAGTACCACAATAGAGACAGAGTTAGGCCCAAAATCCAAGCAATTTCATCTAAAGTTAAGTTGGTGCATTAGCCGCTTAGAGCTCAAGATTCATGTCTACTTGAAATCCCAGTAATCAGTAAACCAAAGAAAGTAAGTTTCATCTAAAGCTAGTTTGATGCACTGACACACTTAAAAAGACTAAACACTAACGAAGAAGCCACAGAACTAAACACACAATGGCAGCTTTAAATGGTGAAACAGATCAAACATCAAACAATGGCAGCTTTAGATGGTGAAACAGATCAACTCAATACAAAATCAAACATCAAAAACGATAATAGCCTATAAGCATTAGAAACACGAAATCAAACAAAGCCACAACACTCGTCTCCATTGGTACACATAAACTCAATACAAAATCATGAATTAGAGATATATCATACCTCTCAAACAGTGGTTGCAGCGATTTCAATCCGTAACACCTGAAACCCACTTCGAGATTTCAATGACTAAAGGAGAAATCAAATCCAATAATCAAACCCATGAGTCTTACCTCTCAAACAATGGTCGCAGCTAATTCAATCGTAACACCTAAACCCACGCACGAGAGAGAAGAAGACAGCCGGCGGAGAGATCAAAGAGGAGTGGAGTGGAGTGAGAAGATCAAAGAGGAGTGGAGTGGAGTGAGAAGATCAAAGAGGAGTGGATTCCGGCGAGAGATCCGGCGGAGAGATCCAGCTGCGAAGAGATCCAGCTTCGGTGCGAAGGATCTCGTTTCTCTTCTCACGTTGTCGAAGGATGGCTCTCTGAGTCTCTGTCGTGGAACGAATGATGAGAAGTAGGTTTAGGTTTTTTGGTGTAATTTTCCAAATTAGATAGGGGTATTTAGGTCATTTTGTATTTTAAACTGAATCAGCTCCAGTCAACTGCTCCGATCAGACTCAGTCGGAAAATGATCATTTTTTGGATGAGTTTGATAAAAATCATCCAACTGGTTCATCTCACTGCTCTGTAAAATTGTTATAAACGAACATCATAACTCATCTCCATTCAGATGATCCATATGAATGGAGAAACTAACAGCACCTTATTGGATCTTATATTTCATTAGATTTAGGGGGTGTATTGAAGAAAGAATTTGGAGTGATTTGAGTTTTAATGAGTTTTGAGATGATTTTGGTGAATTTTGGTGAATTAGGGAATTTGATATCAAAACTCTCCCAAATCCCACCTAAAACCATGGGATTTAGATATTTGAATTTTTAACTAAGATGTTCTCAAATCCCACCAAAAATCACTCAAGTCATTTCAAATCCATAATTTAAAATGTTTTCAATAACAGTGGATTTGATTGTAGATTTTAAAATCACTAATCCAATAACACTTGATTTTAAAAAGATTTTTAAACTTCATGTTTGAATAACATAGGATTTATCTTTTTAATACAAATCATTTCAAATCCTTGATTGAATACACTCCCCTTAAATAGTTTGGTGTTATTCAACTAAGATTTAAAATACTTCATTAAAATCCAGTGTTATTCAAAATTAAAAGACTTGTAAAATCTTTGTATATTAAATCATTTGAAATGAAATCTCTTTGGAGTTTTATGAGTAAATTATTATAATCAAAATCCAAGATATACTGCAGAATTGACTTTAACTCTAACTTTGAATAACAACCGCAAAGTTGATAATTTGATATGCTATAAATTTTGACAAATTACCTTTTATTTTATTGATTGTGTTAATCAAAATGAATTTATCTTTTCTGAATTTAGGGGTGTTATTTAATGATGGAGTTACTGCAGAGATTTTGAAATCCACACAAACAGATTCTTAAAACCAAAATCAGAAAGTAAATCTAAACCTTAAAGAATTGACTTTAACTCCACCATTGAATAACACCCTCTAAAATTTAGATTTGCTTTCTGATATTGTTTGTAAGAGTTTGTTTGTGTGGATTTCAAAATTTCTGCAGTATATCTTGGATTTTGATTCTAATAATTTATTCATGAAACTCCAAAGAGGTTTCATTTCAAATGATTCAATATACAAAGATTTTACAAGTCTTTAGTTTTGAATAACACTAGATTTTAATGAAGTATTTTAAATCTTAGTTGAATAACACCAAACTTTTAAAATCTAATGAAGTATGAGATCCAATAACACCAGATTTTAAAGTTAGATTTAGAATCATTAGTTGAATAACACTGGATTAGTGTTGGATTTCAATTCTATTAAAATCCATCATTGAATAACACCACCTTAATTGTTAGTCAAAATATCCTGGAGTATACAGGAATTATAAGTCAATAATAAGTAGTCAAAATTATTAGCCCAAGACTTTACAAATAACCAAATAGAAATCAGCCAAGTACGTTCTTTCTCACGTCCTAGTTATTTTTATCTGACCAACTTTAAAATTTGCAGCTATATCCGATTTTTACTAATCTACATATATTTGCAAATATCTATAAGTTTGACTAAAAGAGTAATGACTTTATAAATAAATTTTAAAAGTAGAATGTAATTCATTCAGTCAATTCAACAAGTCAATGTGAGAAAAATATCTTTCTACACAATTACAAGTATAGAATTTGGAAAAAAGACACTTGACTTAGATTGAAATCAGAGTAAAGTTTTTAACATAGTACGTTGTAATAATCGACAAAGTATTGTTGGTATTTCGGCAAAAAGTTTTTAAAACTGATATATATGATATTTCTATTAATAGGTTTTATTTATTTTAAGTAGTTTTATTATGTATAATATGATACCAAGAATATTCATCCTCAGATGATCGAATGATCCATATTTCAAACTCAACCTCGAGGCACATGCCCATGGAAAAAATTAATCAAGGAGTTACTGGTAATTCAAATTATAAACAAAGTACTAGCTAGGTATTTTTTTTTTTTTTAATATAGACTATTATTATAGTCGAATATTTGAGATCCAATCTTCTCCAAAAACTAAAAGGGTTGAATCCAAATCTGAATAGTAAGAAATCATATGACCTATGACCTATCTATTGAAATCAGATTTGGATATATATACGTTTTTTTTTTTTTTTGATATATATACTTTCTCTGTTTTATAATATAAGATGTTTTGTAGAAACTTTTTAATTTCATATTATAAAATGTTTTCAAAGTTCGACGTAAATTATAGATTAATTTAATATTTTAGGATTATTTCTATTATCTAGTCTATTTTATAATTGGTTGAACTTTTAAAACGTCAAATTTATTGTATAAAACTATATTGAAATTAAATGTTATCATTATTTTATTTATAAAATTATCTTTGTTTTTTACAGATTCGGATGCCGGATATCATTATTTTTTTTGATATGTAGAAAGATATGTGGAAGTTACAAGTCCAAATTGGAATAGTCAAAACTCAAATATAGCAAATCCATATAGAGTGTGATTCTGGATCCGTCCTACTGTTAATTGTTATTCAATACTATATGTTTTGATTGTTTTGGTATGCTTGCAGTTGCGTTTGTGTTTATCTTTACATATTTACAAAATGTATCTATATTAAAAATAATCTAAATTTTCTCATTGACAATTTTATTAATGAAATGTCATTTGCGTTCTACTTTTCCATTTATAATTTACTAAAATATGTAATTTGTTTTTTTTTTTTAAAGTGTATAAAACATTATAGCATAAGAAAATAAAAGTTTAGAAGTTTGAGCTTTATTGTAAAGTGACTAATTTTTCCTTATTGGGATAAACTATGTACAAGGATCACATCTTTTTCATGAATAAATAAATATATTCTTTTCAAAAATAAAAAGTTTTTTGATTATCTTAGTTTTTGATAATATTCTCAAAAATGTATTATGAGTTAAATATTTCAAGAATTTACACAATAATGTTTTAAATTAATTAAAAATAAATATTTTCTATAAACTTATAATAATATTTTCACTAAACTCACATAATAACATGTACTCACATATTAAAAAAAAATTAATTTTTTTTTGCTTTTAATATATATTTTCTCACATATTTGGTAGTTAGTTAAAATCATAGTTTCTACAGTCACAATCTTTCTCAATCTGTTATAAATTTATACAGTCAAAATCTTTAAAACAAAAGTTCTTATAGTCAAAGATTTTACCAATCGGCGCCTAAACTATGCGAACAACAACTATTACTAAACTTCCAAACATCAATCTAAGAATTGACTAATTTTTATGCAATTTAAATTACTACCAAATTTCCATCTATATAAACCCAGTCTTGCACCCACAAAAAAAAAACATATTCCTTGGCTAAAGCCAAAAAAAAGAAAACACATATTAAGTCTATTTATTTTATTTTTATAACCAAAAAACTCATAATTTTGTTTTCCTCCAAAATGAATCCCAAGAAAACCAAAGGAAAGCAAAAGATTACCATCAAGAAAATTGAAAAAGACGAAGACAGATTGGTCACATTGTCTAAGCGTCGAAATGGTATCTACACTAAGCTCAGCGAGCTTTCCATTCTCTGCGGCGCTGAAGTTGCGTTTCTCGGGTACTCTTGCTCCGGAAAGCCTTACACATTCGGCAGCCCATCCTTCCAAGCCGTGGCAGAGCGGTTTCTCAACGGCGAGTCCTCCTCGTCTTCTTCATCGTTGCAACGATCGGTCATGAATGCTCACCAGCAAGCGAAGATTCAAGAGCTTTGCAAAGTATACAACAGAATGGTGGAGAAGGCAAAGGCGGAAGAAGTCAAAGTAAAGAAGGCGGCTGCATTGGCTGAGAAGATGCCCTTGAATGAGGATGCGTGGTGGAAAGTGGATCCAAAGGAGGTGAAGGATCATGAAGAGGCGAAGAAGATACTGGAAAAGTGTGAAGGGCTCTATGAGAAACTGTGTGACGAAGCTGCTGCAAGGATCCAGAGGGGAGATGGTGAGAATAATAACAAATGATCCATTGATGATTAAGATTTTAACTAGTAGATCATTTGTGATCCTCTCTAGTTAAGTATTTTATGAGTCTTAAGAATTATGTCTTTTTTTTTATACATTATGAATTGTTATTGTTTTCTATATAATCCAGTAATGGGTTAATGAAACCGAAATATTTTATTTTAATAGATGTCACCTTTGAGTTTAACAAAATCTTATCAAAACAGAGAGAAAAAAAGTATTATCAAAGAGAAGTATTGAAAGATTTTGTAACATCTCAAACTGTGTGAAAAAGCTGCTACAAGGAGCCTTTTGTTATTAAATAAGCCCATATGCTTTTGGCCCATATAGGTTTAGTTGTTTTGTAATTTTTAGCCTGTCTTCTGATTTTGTGAAGGAGAGCTGGAGAGGGATAAAGTCCTCCAAAGATTGTTCATTCACTTTAGCCGATTAGATTGGTTCGTCGGGGTTTGGTCCTGTGGAGTTAGTGCCTCACAGAAGCCGTCTAAACCAAAGCTCTAGACTTAAAGTTTATCTTTCCCCATCTTCGAGTTGTTCACTTTCTTCATAGGAGATGCGAGTTACATTCTCTTACGAGATATTAGTTGACACGCTATCTACATATGAGTGTATTAGTTACCATTGTCTAGGATCTTTTCTTATAGATACCAAGGTTACAGTTAATAAGAAAACGTCTTAAAAGAAAGTCAAGAAAAATTTAATTCTTTAAAGTCTGAATAGTGCCAAGTGCCAACTAATAAAGATAAAGAATAAAATCCATAATCGAAATCAAGAGAACGAATCATAATACTTAAAAGATCCTACCCACAATAAGTATGAAAAGTCAAATTACCTTATGATAGAAAAAGAGAGAGAGAGAGAGCTTCTACATAAACAAGTTAGGCTTGGAGGCCTTGAAGGTAGTCTTGAGCTTTCTGGTGGGAGGTCTAACCTTCCTGAAGACCAACGGGAACTTGATCTTACTGTTATGAAACTGCTTAGTGCTCTCTCTCTTGCAGAGGTTAGCTGGGACTGTAGCTGTCTTGATAATCTGAATGCAAGGGAACCTGACTCTGTGTCTTGACGCCATCTCAGTGTACATTTGCTCCACTGCTCCGTTCAAAGTAGTGTCACGGTACTCCTTGTACATGTTATGGTAACCAGTACGACTCTGGTATCTCAACCAGATTCCAAAATTCTTGATCGTTGTTGGGTTCTTCTCAAAGATCTGTCACACCAATCAATCATTTTAAGCAACAGCAACACAAAACACAAAATATTTTACATGTTCCATAATTCTGAGAGCCTATCAAGAACAAATAAATTCAGATCCTACACAAAATTTCACATTATTCCGATCAGAGAATAGAGAAAACGAAATTAATACCTCGTTGATGGCTAACATCTGTCCATTACTCTTCTTCACCTTCTTTTGCCTCCTTAAGAAGTACCTGAATACAAAACACATAACATGAACAATTCTTCAAACGACGATTCAAAAATCATGAAATTGATGATACAATTATACTAACCAGAATTTGGATTTGGCAAGAACCTCGTTCGTAGCCCAAAGCTTCATCCTGTAAATCTTCGGCTGCTCATCTTTCTCCATCGGGAGAGCTCTTCCTACGACTTGGTACTGGTGAAGCTGCAAAACAAAATTCCGATCAGATTTTTCGAAATTAGAAAACGGAAAACATCAATGCGCTAAATTGATTGCATGAGAAGTAAGGACTACGGCTAGATTTTACCCTGAAAACACCCATTTTCGTCCACCGCCGATGATTGAATCCTCCTAGAGACGCGAACATGCTTCTTGCAGGTTTATATATATATGACCTAGTTAGTGAAAGAGAATGAGAATAAAACCCTAATCTCAAAATTTCGTACCAGATCTTGAAGCCCATTGGGCTTTATAAATTCACAACCCATGGCCGAATAATTCTCCACAGATATTATTTATCCATGTAAAAAAAAATCCTTAATTTTACAATTTCCAAAAGACTTGAAACGAGTTAAGTTAAAGCCGATTGTTAATGTTTTTTTTGTAGTAGCAATCGTCAAAACAAATCACAAATGTACAATAGATGCCACCAAGGGAATCAACAACATATATACGTTATTTCTTATAATATAAAATTCAACACATCGTTACAAATATTTCCCTTCTGTAACTCACTAAAATCATCAATAAGTGGTGTAATGATATTGATATATATATATATATATATCTACGGTTTCGAGCATATATGTAGATATATATATACAAGATTGAGTTTGGTTTTGGCTGGGGAGTAGTTTCACCAGATGTTAATATCCCCAGTCATCCCGAGCATGGCGGCAATCAAATAGACAACGGACTGGAAGAATTCATAAAAAGAAAAAGAGATTATGAGACACAATGATGAAATATAGATGAGTGACCAAGGCCGTGGTTCTACGACAATGTAATGAAAGAGACTGAGAGGAACTCACAGCGATTGAACAGGCAATGTAACCAGCTTTCTCGCGGTGATCGACAGATGTGACTAGAACAATAAAAGCACCAAGGTACCAAGGGATCCCACCGAACAAGAAACCCATAATAAACCTGGGACCATAGACAAAAACCTTCAATTAGCAACTAGAAGTCTAGAACGAGTTTCAACTCACAAGATGTACACTTTCAGCTTTCTTTCAGCTTTCTCTTGTTCGTGTGAGACAATAGGATCATATAAGCCATGTTGCTCTCATTTCACCGTGTCAGGGAGTTTTTCAAAGTATATCCAGATTGAATGACAAACACATCCATCTATCGAATATTAACTATTTCAATGCTTTTGTAAATCTCAACATTAGTGTACAGACAAGACACAAAAAGTTTTTACACAAGACTTTTTATATTGATTCCAAGGGTATGTATGAAGATGTTTACCAAGAAGAAAAATATCCCCAATGACTAGAGTTAAAACGGTTACGTAATGCAATCAAATCAACTAGAGTAGCGCTCGAAATAAATAGATTCAAGGAGAGACAAGCCTATTACAGAGTCTAGGGCAAGTTCCACAATGAACTGTGACTTAATACTGTCAACACACGAAATGTTTGATAGCATTCTAAAATCTACCGACCATAAAACCCAGTTTCCAACGACCATAAACAACGACAAACTGAATTTGGCGTTTCGCAACACATGGAACAGGAATTCGTATTGCCAGTCATTTAGTGTACAAAGCTATGAAATGAAAAAGCAACTAAGAAGGAACTTACAGAAACCAGCCCATGCCCAAGCCACAGCAAGGAAGTTCATGCTCTATCATAGGTCTCACCTCAACCACTGTATAATCTAAAACAACAAAACCAGATTCAAATACTCTTAACATTAACCAAAAATAGTATATGATCATTTATAAAACCAACCATACAAAGCATTTTATAAAAATTCACTTAGATTGGACATAAGAAAGATGAGCTTTGGATATGGAATTACCAGGAACAACTGGGAAACCTTGAGCATAATTCACAAAACCACCACTAGGACCTAACAAATTTCAAACACAAAAACAATCAAAAATCAAACAAGAAACAACTCATATCCAAAATCAGAGAGAGATTTTAAAAACCTTGAAGATTCTGATAAGCATGTCCAGGAAACGTAGCAATCGGATGATGCGGTTGCTGCAACGGCGGTAGAAATTGAGGTGGCGGAGTCGGAGGGGGAAAATTTGCAACGCCTTGAAACGTTCCGTATAAGTATTGTTGTTGTTGCTGATTCACGGTGGATTCTCTAGGTTTTGCTGCCTCCTCGTCCATAATTGAGATCCGATTAACCGGTGTGTCGCAGAGACCAGAGAATTCTATAGCTCCTCCGCTGCGTTTACCGATGGCTAACGGCGGATCTATCGGCAATGGAGAGGCGAAGAGAAGGAGACTTGGCCAAGGAAGAGAGGACGACGAGGGAAGGAGTCAAAAAACCGGGTCGCCCCAATTTCCATTTTTATCAAAATGGGCTTGATATGATCGTTAGCAAAAGCCTTTTAACACCTTTTTCTGGGCTTGATGAGATTTTTTTAATTTTCTGTGTTCAATTGTCACACAATATATAAGACTAGAGCCTCTGCATCTCTTGGTCGATGCAGATACTTGCTATGCAATGTCGAAAAAACTCTGTTTGAGGATGGACTTGGACTGGCTGCCCCACGATGTCGTAGAGCTCAACCTCGAGAGAGCTCCGGTGGCATCTCTGCTGAGGTTCAAGGCTGTATCGACGCAGTGGAAATCAACGATCGAATCCCGTTTATTCCAAGAAAGACAATTCAATCATCGTCAGCAATCAGGAGATCCTGATGTTCTTATGGTGTCTGTACGTGTTTACGAGGATGGTTTTGGTGAGCCGGACACAGAAGGAGAAGGACTCTCGGGAATCGAATGTCTAAGAACATTGGTGTTGAGTTCATCATCATCGCTCCAGATCCCTACTTCTAAGAGTAGCTTTGACGGTCTCGTTTGTCTCTACTTTCCCGACAGGTCCGGTTATGTGGTCAATCCCATCACTAGGTCGCATCGAGTTCTTCCTCTCTCCAACTATCAACAAATCCTAATCGACACAAGTGGAGATATTTTGATTATGCCTACAACTCCTTGGAATTTGGCCTAGAAAAATGCGAAGTTTTCGACTTTAGCACCAATGCCTGGAGGTATGTCACTCCCTCTGCACCTTACCGGGTTTCTCGCAAAGAGCCTGCCTATGTAGATGGGTCGCTTTATTGGTTCACCGACTGCCTAGAAACCAAAGTTTTATCTTCGATACCCAGCCTCCCCACTAGCACTTTTGGATGGGGAGAAGAAGAAGAAGAAGGAAAAATTGCTATATTTTAATCTAAAGACTGGTCGAACCCTGGTGATACATGATCCGCAAACTCAATCTTATGATACTGCTTTCGCTGCTGACTCCATTGGATTTCCTGTTTGTTATTTCCAGAGTTTACACTTTACTCTCTGTTTTATGAAGTTGATTATTGTCGATGCATAATGTAATCTTTGCTTCCTCCAAGATATTAAAGTGCTAGTATTTCATGTTTTTTTTTTGTCGTAGTCTCATATCTCTAGTCCTCTTTAAAGACTCATACAGGTATAAAAAAATGTGTATAATGTACGGAAAGTCCAAAATGGTCTCTGACCTCTGCAAGCTTTGTTTCTCCTTCAATGACAACACAGCAGGATTCTAGCAGGACGGTAGCTTAATAAATTATACTCTTGGTTGATCTTCTCTTCAAACCAATGTGGCATTTGGCTTCTGTTTTGGCTTTGAAGTTTTGCTGTAAAGAGTGTAAATGGACTATCTATCTAACTATGTGTAAACACATCTTCCTTTTCAATATACCTTATGTATCATCAGGTTTAAAGAAGAAGAAAACACCATTATCATGAGGATGCAACCAACTTATGTTTTCTTTTCCTCTAACCAAAGTAGTTCATAACACCTAAAGAACAAACACTAAAGCTGAAATGCTGAATCTAATCTATCACACAACCAACAAACATTGGCTGCTCAACAAAGATGGAATAAGAACATTCATATATAATAAACACCAAAAAGCCAAACTCTAAACAGGATGTTACATCATCAAAGAAGCAATCTTGTTTTTGCCAGAAGAAGAAACATTTTTGGAGTGAAAACGTATCACAGAAACACAAAAATGAGATTTTTTAATATAAAAAAAGTAGAAGATGATTGAATCAGAAAGAAGCTGATTTGAAAAGTCATTCAGACCGAGTATCTGGAAGATTCTGGCATAGCAAAAGATAAAAGCTGCACCAAGAAACATTCCAAGGATAAAACAGACTGCTCTTAAGTACCTGCTATATCTCATCATCTTCATCATCTAATATTGCCAGAATAAAAAAAAAACATATAATTAAACCCTACCTCTAATCTCTATTTCTCTAAATAATAGATCCAGAAATCTGAAATGTTCATGTAAGCAAAGAATGAAAACAAAAGAGCCTATCAGCTTCTGTGTCTGTCTACTCATGATACCTCCGGTGAAAATTCCGGATTAAATAATTAAGAAGTGTATTATGGAAATCGGAGACGACGGCGGCGGACAAAGAAGCAAAGAGAATGATTTCAGATTTCGGAAACTTAAAGAGAGAGCCTTTTAACGCAACGACGACGTTTATAACGAATGGAACAAATTATAAAAACCTATTATTCTTACCAACCAAACCAAACCGAAATCATATTCGGGTACGATTTTGATTTAACCTTAAGGATAAACCATACAGAATTCTTGGTTTTGTAATAACATTTTACCGGTACACTAGAATAAAACCGGGACAGCTAAATCTTTAATTACTAAACCAAAACGATAGCAAGAAGAACAAAAACCGAAAACCCAAACCCAAATCCAGCTCCGATTCTCTTCGACCCTGAGAACCAAACTCTAACGTCATCGATCACAGGTCCACACAAGGAGCTCATATCATCAGTCCTCGTATTGTAATAAACACTGTAGAACGCGACTCTGGTTCGATCAGCCTTAGCCGTGAAATTCAAACCGGCCTTTTCGAAACTAGAGTTCGCTTGCGCCATGTAATGAAAGTTCTGCGCCTGATCACCTGCGAATGCCATTATAGCCAATGGTTCCTTGCATTTATCACCTGCGTGTCCTAGCGAGAAAGTTAATGTGTACGGTTTATCTGCTTTGGTCTCAACCATTTGTGAAATAATGCCTTCTTTGCCTGAGAGTAGTTCGACGGCTCGTTTTCCACCTGGAACTGAGAAGTGATCCGAGTCAACAAACCGAACCGCCCTGTTCGATTCAACAGTCCAACCTGGAAGAGACGAGGTTTCTTCGTCGAGGTTTGTCGGAAGTAAAACACCAAGAGACGTGTTCCTAAACATCCATGGACCTTCTTCGAAATCTCCATTAATCACCGCATTGTCTACAAATGTAAAAAAAAAAAAAAAAATTCAGGGTGCAATTGGCACATTTCAGAACTTTGGGGCCGAAAAGATTGAGAAACTCAGAGTTTAATTGGAAGATCAGAGTGAAAATGAATGATTTTTACTTTTGTAGAGCTTGGGGTTTAAAAACAGGAAATGTTACACTTTATTTTAGGGAAAAATTAAACGATTTTAATACATTGGGGTCGAAAATAGTAAAATAGAGAAATTCAGGGTTACCTTTGGGTTTATCAGGAGTAAAGAGCTTCTTAATAGCAATGTCATCGATGATTGGTCCACAAGTCGGGTCATCTTCCATACCCGGGTTTTTAAAAACCAACCGTACATGATCATCTTCCGCTTCAAACGCCCACGCGTAAGGATCCCACCCTTGAACACTATACAACGTTTGCAAATCCACGTTACGCGACGCAACCATATCATCCGCGTCTGCGTTCACAGACGCCACCGACACGTTTATCGATTCGAGCTGAGCGCACGTGCGAGCTGCACTGAAAGTCACTGAATAGACAAAACCTTTCTCAACCGTTAGATCTTGGCTGATCTCTGCGTCGTTGCCTAATCGGACGGCGTGACGACCTTGTGGGACAATGAGGATCATTCCGCCTTGTTTTTGACCGGAGTTGATTAGCTCCACCGTACCGTTGGATTTCCAGCTTGGGATATCTGATGGCCCGTCGGTTACTCCGTCGTCAGGGAAGCCATGTGACGGTGATGTTTCGAAGTCGCCGTTAATAACCAAACCTGCAGTAACATAAAAAAAAGGTTACAGTAAATTTAAATTGTTACCAAAAATATTTTTGGATTAATGTGACAAAACTCGATGTACATTGGCATTTGGTTAAACAAAGTCTTCGGAAACGCCAAATGTTCACGTTGAAGATTGTTTTGAAATTAGCTAGCTGTGTGAAAAGAAACATTTGTTTTGTCTTTTCTTAAACAGTGTGATAAATTGGACTTTAACACTTTAATTTACTTGTGATAATTAAAACGTAAAGAAAAACAAATAATAATGAGGAGGAGACACGAGGCTTGAAACGTCTAATATGGGCCCAGACATACGGCCCATACGTTCTAGCTATGACTTAGTGGGACCACAATCTTGAAGACTTTTTTTGACTTATTACTAAAATTTTATGTTTTACACTCTACAGTTCCCAATTTACAAGTTACAAATGCCCCTTGTAATAGGGGAAAGAAGAGACATTTGTTGTGGTTTTCGGTGGAAAAAAAAGAAAGCGTGTTGAAAAACTAGAGAAGTATTCAGACACTTCGATCTCGTTTTATCAAGGACTCTTTGTCGTTTTATTATACTACGACCCAAAAGACCACCTTTTATTTGGCGCGAAGCCTTCTCAAGTTTTATTTTTGTTGGGTAAAGACTTTTTTTATCAAAAACATTCTTAGAAAGTAGAGTACCTAAACAACTTTTTTATTAAAATCAGATCTGTAAATTTATATCCACAAAAAAATGAGTTCTCAGGATTTTTTTCTGGTATGTGTTTGTGTAATAAATTTAGAAAAAGAAAAGAAATTGAGACTTAAGAAGGGCTTCCATTCTAATTTTGCCGCCGCCGAAAGCACGAATAAGATATTTTATACTTAATTGATATTAAGAGCTACAAATTTTCATTTTCTTTTCTATTGTGACTGATTAAATTGAGTTGACAGATTTTCCCCTAAATATGAAATAACCTTAACTAGATTAGCATTACTATGTTCAAAAAAATAAATCAGTTATTGGTGTCTAATGTCTAGTACAAGTAAGTAAACGAGTTTCATTCCATCTAGAAGATAAACAGTGCTAATCTAGATTTTTTTACTCAACAGTGAAGTGAAATTGGGGAAAATCCCCAAAAATCTTAACTCTCAAAATCCAGGTAAGAAGAACTACACCTGTTAGTGCCTTATCCAATGGTTTGCCCTAAATTAACTGTCTGAAACTAAATTCTTTTGGTCCTCTGTTCTTGAAACAGAGAGATGGATTGGATTCAAGAAATCAAATCTTGATAACTCAAGATTCTTATTTAAATGGCATTCAAGATTTGAGAAAAACCCATCACGCATATACCAAAAAAGAACCAAGAAATTTAATGAAGGTAAGTGAAAAGCGTACCATCCTCGACCACCGGAGCCTTGTCGTCAGCGACGGCGACTAAGACGGCGACGGAGAGACTAATCAGAAACAAGAAAATGGAACTCCATTTGCATCGATTGTTACTCGTAACCATTATCTCTCCTCTACTTCTTCTTCCTCAAAATACCTAATGCTCTATTTATCTCTCTTCTCTCTCTGTAAGTGTGAAATGTGAAAGTGTTTTTCTGTATGTTCTTTTCGGGCAGCGAGCAAAGACAGGGAAGGGTAGTGTCCTTTTATCCAAGATTCCTCACTCGTTGTCTTTTTTTCTCAATGATTTTTTAATTTTCACATTTAATTTCGACTATATTTAAAGCTGTTTACTGATATTTAGGACAAGCTCCATGCACGCATAACAAAAAGAAGTAAAAGAAAAGGGTAAGAAATGTTACTTTCTTTCACAGTTTCACTCTATCTTTGCTATTTTAATTAATTAGTAACATGTTTAATTGTTATAATTAGCAGAGCCACGATGGAATAGGTTTTATTTAATTATACCTATGTTCTCTTCTTCTTTTTCCCCTCATTGGATCTGTGTAAGATTAAAGTGGCTGACTTTACTTTTGATCTAACTCTATTCCTTTTAGGTTGTGGAGTGAATTATTAGTTTTAAAACAAAAAAATGTCTCTTTAAAATCTTCAGCTTTTCACTATTATAGATTGAGGTATAGAGGGAGGAAAAGTAAATATTTGTGTGTAAGTAACTACATTGTTGTATATAGGTCTGGGCAAATAAACCGAACCGAAACCGAAGAAAAAAAAACCTAACCGAACCGAACCGAAAATTTGAAAATAACCGAATGGATACTAAATTCTATAACCGAAATAACTTTAACCGAATCGGTAGCGAACCGAAATATTTTGGGTAACCGAAATATCCGAAATACAATTATATTTTCAAAATAATTAGTTATTTATAGACCAAATAACCAAAAATATTTGAAAAAAATATAAAAATAGTAAAAATACTCGAAAATAACCGAAATATATCCAAAAATATCCGAAAATACTCAAAAATAACCGAAATATCCGAAAATATCCTAAGCAAAATAACCGAATGGATACTAAATTTATAAACCGAAAGAACCGAAACCAAATTGACTCGACCGATAACCGAACGGTTAACCGAAAGTCCATGCCTAGTTGTATAATGTAAACTAGGCTTCTTTCATTGGTTTTGATAATAGAACAAAAAAAAGCATATTGGGCCGTTAAAAAGTCCAATTTAATTTCACGGGCTTTTGGCCTTACTAAAACATGGGGACTTGAACGGAGTTTTGTTGCTCACCTTGGTGGATCTGCGAGTTTTTTTAATAAACCACCGGAGTGAGAAATAAGAAGAGAGAAGACGACGGCGACGAAGATGAGTTCATCGACGGCTGTTCGAGATTTGCAGAAAGACCTAGAAAACAAAGCCAATGATCTCGGCAAAATTCAGAAAGGCAAGTTCCGTAGATTTAGAAGCATATTGTTTTTCCTCTGGAGGCGGGAAACCCTACTTTACTCTGATGAAGATTCGAGAGACGTGAAATCATTTTTTGGTTTCTAAGTTTAGATTCGTTTTGCAGATATCGGTAAGAATCACCAGCTGAGGAAGAAGTATACGATCCAACTCGGTGAGAATGAGCTCGTGCTTAAGGTATATGTGTCTATGTCTCTCTGTTTTAATCTGGTTTTGTGGCTACTTCAATGGTGAATATTTCTGATTTCTGGAATTGAAAAGAGGAGTTTTTTTTAAGATTATTGCTTGGCTTTTTAATCATTTTATGTGTCTGTCTTGTATCTACAGGAGTTGGATTTGTTGGAAGAAGATGCAAACGTTTACAAATTGATTGGTCCGGTGCTAGTGAAACAGGATTTGGCTGAAGCAAATGCAAATGTTCGTAAACGAATTGAGTACATCTCTGCTGAATTGTGAGTTTCTTTCTTTTACTATGATTGAAGCAAATGCAGTTCATTGAGAAATCCAGTTTTGAACATTGGTTTAGTAGTTGACTATAAAGAACCTTTGGATTCTAGGCTAGTAGTGAATGCTCTTGATACATGATATTAGTAGCTAAGATGATGGGTATTGAAAAATCATGCTTTCTCGTGCTGTTAGAATATGCAGTGTAGCACTTGTGTAAAAAAATATGTTTTCATTTTTAGCTAGATAACAACTATGTGAGATGTTGATCAAGTGTGTGACCTCAATCATATTGTTGTATCCTTTGCAGGAAACGGCTTGATGCAATTCTTCAAGATATGGAAGAAAAACAAAACAACAAGAGAGAAACGGTAAGACATCTACCTCTCATGCATTATAATACTTCTTTGAGTGCATTGAAGCAGTTATACTAGCACTGCTACACTAATAATAGTCCAAACATTGATACTCACTTTACTAAGCTCTAAAAAGATACTTTTGTAGATAGGTTATATTTGTCAGTTTAAGCATGCCCTGAATGTAAATACTTGAACTTTGTTATCTCATCGTTTCGTTGAGTGACCTACTGGCCTTAGCGCCATCTGAGAATTTGCTGTTTTGGGAGAATAAGGATCCATGGACACAAATGAAACTTGTTTCTTAACTTTCTTGGCTTATACTGGTGATAATATGATCCTATGGTTTCAATTCATGGAATCTAAATTTTCTGCAGATAATGAAGTTGCAACAAAGGCTACAATCTATCCAGGCAGGAAAAGCAAAGGCTTGATTGAGCTAGTCAGTTGCAACCACTTTTGTTGAACCCCTTTCCCTTGTGCTCGGCCTTATCTCAATGGTGTCATATTCAGTTACTGAGGGTTCTTGTGGTTTCAGTTTTGTGGTTATTGATGTCTCTTTGTGTCTCTAATCTTTTTTGTTGACTACTAAACTTGAGTGTGTAACTTATACATGATCTTGTCGCCTTTTCTCAAGTTATGAATTTGGAGATTTACAAAAATATATTCTGTGTATGTGTATGCATCTAATTTGGTCTTTATACATATTTGATCGATTATTGTGTTCTATGTAACACCTTGCGGATTACAAAGAGCAAAGAGGACCAAATGATCTCAAAGTTCAAGGTTTATGAGTCGGATCAGAAAGAGCTAGAAGGACCAAATTATCTTATTATGCAGTGTAAATGTAATGTATAAAAAACTAAAACCATAATTCATCTCCATGGTATCTGATTACAATTTGCCAAGTGAGAGCTCAAAGAAAAGGAAGAATATTAGTCTCAAGAAACCTAGTATTACAAACAAAAACTTTTTTGAGTTAAATTATAATTTGGATGCTGAAGCTCATCTTACATTGAAAGTTAAAACTTTTTTTCCTCAACGAACTAATAACCTCTTCTCCAATTGGCACTGTACTATACATCTATTTCTCCATACCCTCTCTTCAGTTTGTATATGTGTGTGTTTGCATTGATGTCTGGAACAGTCTCCAAAACTAATCCTTCAGGTGTTTCTTATTGGCAATGGATGAGCTTCAGTGTTGAAAACAAACTTATCCAATGGTATCACTGAGTCATCTCCAAAGAGCAAGTATAAGTACTTCAATGTTTCACCAAGGAAAAATGTCTCCATCTTATCTCTCCTATGAGGAGGCACTTCTGTTACATCATCCAATGATGTGTATCCACCTGATTTCACCTTCGTGTACTTCTCAAATGCTTCAAAGATTTGCCAACCTTGATCTCGGTATCTGCAATTTTAGAAATGTGTTAGGCTTTAAGAGTAGAATAATCCTCAAGAACTCAGATTTGTGAGGGAATATGGGATGAATAGTTTTCATACTTTGTATCTTTTGTGATACGATAGAGGACAAAGAGTGATTCAACAGTTTCGGGGCGCAGTAGATTATGTCGATCAGCGGGCTTTATGATTATGTCATTTGCATACATTGAACTCTTATTCCCACCATCAAGACCATCCTCAGAGTAATCCTGCTTTATTAAAATCGAAGACTTAACATAAAACAAGAAGAGCAACGATGAATTGTTTTGGAAAAAGGTACACGCAAAACTTACCTTTGTGTGAAAGTAAGCAATTTCTGGAGCAAGGCCAGTGGCAGTTACTTCATACATCTCAAAGCATGTTTTTGCTAAATCTTCCGCAAGTTTCAGATTTTCTAGGTCCTCAAAGGATAAAAGATTTTCCTTCAGGGCTTGTTCCTTTGTGAGGCCCTTGGTAGCACCGAGAGCAAGAGTACCAGGCAAGAAGCATACCTAGCGAGAAAAAGCAATTGAACAAATCAAAAGTCAAGAACAACAAACGTCGTGGCATCTCTCAGCATCTCTCAGCGAATGACAATAGCGTAATACTATGAAATGGGGTTGACTGTTATATTCAGTACCAAGTAGCTAGTGACACTTACCAGATGATCCATTTTGGGACTGAATTCTCCCTTAGACCCGTAAGGTAACTCCCCTACAAAGACCAGACCTTTTGGAATTGAATTGCGCACAAGCAAATGCCTGACTCCTTTCATTGCTTCAATGTACATATCATGCAAATATGTGAAATTACTGTTCAACTTGGCTCCTTGCTGAAGCCACACCTTAATTAAATACTCATAGTAGCTATCACCACGAGATCCCAACCTGATATTCTCACCAACAAAGTCACCTGTTTGAGGGCTGCACCAAGTAGAAACAACATGTCAGATCAAAAGAGCCCGGGAAAGCAAGGAAAGAATTAGTACTAACATGGTATTTATAGTTGAAAGAGCAAAAACTAATTACCTGATGTAGATTGGAACAAGACCTTCTGTCTTTGGTAGATTTTTTATATGAGCTAAGACCTTCATGGCTTCTGTACTATACTTTGGATCACCAGAAATAGCACTGAGGTAGTTAAATTCCAGCTGTACAGAGGCAACTTCTGCTGTACTGCTCGCTCCTCCTGGAGCTGGATGAGCGGTCGATTCATGCAATATCACATCACAAAAGGGAACTGGAGTAGGGCTGGAGGTAAAAGCTGAAAGTAGACGGTCAGCCAAATCCTTAGCAATATTTAGATAGATAACTGGTTTCGGTCCATTATGGGTCATGTTCATCGTACCCTGCTCTCCTCCACTCAGATGGTATGCACTTAGAAGCCCACCCAAGACACGTATCGTAGTTTCAAACAAATTAACTTGACCCTTTTGAATGATTCTCTCCAAGAGATGAGTCTCAACCCATGATCCTGCTTCAGAGACGATATTATCAAGACCCATTATCATGGCTGTATCAAGAGCATCCACAACAGTGGCACCCAGTCCTCCTAAGCCATCCACACCTTTCTGGCTTATAGGCATAAGCTCGTCATAACCCATGGCGTACTTTCTATAGCCAGACCATGCATGGTCAAAAGCCTCCTTCACACTTTGCTGCCTGGCTGCCCATTTTGGGTCGTAATTTGAAACCGTAGAGCCATTTGTGGAACTACCTCTTACTTGTCCTTCGTCAGGTGATAAACGAGGTGGAAGCCTAGGTGGCTTTCTCAAAAGCCTCCCTAGCCTAAGTCCCCCAACAAAAGTGACCTTTCCTTTTTCATTAAGAACAGATTCATTCGGACTCTTACTCATAAGCATTAGACATGCTACTCCAAAGAACAGTATTAATATTAGGAACTTCCCTGTGCTACAGCTGGCGTAGTTGCGTTTTGTACTAAGAGTAAGCAAGCTTTGAGAAAAAACCTAGAACACAAAAAAGTGTCAAAAGAAGAGCAACAAAGAGAAAATCTAAATCACATTTCATACACATACAACCAGAAGCTTCAAGTCATCCATTACTAGATTCAAAGAACTGAGTTTGCAAATTAAGAGCTACGCTAGAAATTCTCCTGTGTTTATCACATCAATGCTTTCACGAAAACGTAAAAAATTTCGTAAATCCAAGGTCAATTTGGACACCAAGCGATTCATCTCAAGCAAAAAGCTGAACCAGATACAAGAACTAGTGACATCAAATCCAGCTAAACGTGTGACAAAGGAGAAAACTTGGACATAACCCATATAACAGATCAAGATCTAACCTTCAAAGGAGATCGATGTCTGAACTTGGCATTGTCGTAATGAATATCTTTAACTGAATATGGTAGAGAATTCGACATGCTCAGATCCTCCGTCTAATTAAAGATCGGCTTTTGGGTTCGGTTTCTGTCTGCCGCCGATCTAATAATGACCGGAGAATAAGATGAGATTTTGTTCACAGCTAAAAGAAGAAGGAAAACAAAGTGTTTCGCAGACAACGCAGAGAAGTCTTCTCTGAAATCTTACGGCAGCTTCTTTAGAACAAGCATTGACCGACCAAACACAAGCTTCCGATTTCTTTCCTCTTCTTGTTTTTCTTTTCTCCCGTCAAACATTATCTAATTACGAATGGGTTACTACATGATTTTGTTTTCATCCATTTACTAATTAAATCTTTTACTTTCATAAACATAAAAAATTGTTACAAAAACTTGCATAATTTAGGCTTATGTAGGTGCATTAGTTAATTTCCAAAACCTAAGCCTCGATTCCTAATAATAGCAAAATACTGGGGCTAAATTAGAAACTATTTTAATACAAAACTTATTCACGCATCTGCCTTTTTTTACTCATCCAGTGTAGAGAATGAGAAGATTGACATACCCTTTCACTTGGGTGAGGAATATCGTCGAACACTTTCACTGCAACTCCTTCTACAAACCAATCTCTTCCCTTTCAATCTTCCCAAATCATCGCAAACCCGAATCACGAGAAGCTTCTTTGACCCAAGACCCGTATTCACTACTCAAGCAAGATCCCGTCGATATCTGTCTCTCCCTCTGGGTCAAATCATTCTCTTCTCCTCCTTCTGCTACTTTTTCCAACCTCACTGGTTTTCTCTCCAAATTCGATTTATGGGTCTTAGCTTATCAACGAACTTGTGCTCACGTCACCGGAACATTCCCACCGCGCAATGCTATTCATGCCAATGCCCTCCGTTCGCTTCTCTCACTCCAAAACGCCGTTACACGTTCCGGTGGCAAATTCCGGTGGAACGACAAGATGAACCAGTACGTGAGGAGCCCAAAGGATAAAGTATCGACGAATGGTGGAGAGGGTCTGTCGAAAGGGAAGGTAAGAAGGATAATTGAGTCGGAAGAACCGATTTTTCAGGATCGGGTGGTTCATGAGGTTCTATTGATGATTCTTGAGCCTTTCTTTGAAGCTAGGTTTTCGAGTAAGTGTCATGGGTTTAGACCAGGTAGAAATCCACATACTGTGATTAGAACTATCAGAAGTAATTTTGCTGGGTACTTGTGGTTTATGAAAGGTGATGTTAGTGAAATGTTGGATCATGTGGATGTTGATGTAGTGATGAATTGTCTTCGAAAGGTTGTCAAGGATAGGAAAGTTCTCGGCTTGATTGAATCTTCTTTGAGATTGTCTGATAACAGAGTGTTAAAAAGGGTTGTTGAGAAAAATGGCAATGTCAATGGATTGGGGGAGAAAAGGAGGATCGAACGTGAAAAGAGAAACAAGACGAAAAAGAAGATTTTGAGTGATGATGAGCCGAAACCGGATCCTTATTGGTTGAGGACTTTCTACAGTTTTGCTCCTAAGGAAGCTGCAAAGGTGCCTTCTTATGGCTATTCTGGCATATTGAGTCCTTTGCTTGCTAATGTATGTCTTAATGAGTTGGATCGTTTTATGGAAGAGAAGATAGTTGAGTATTTTAGACCTTGTAAAGATGATTCAATATGGAAGGAGTCTATTGAAGATGGTTGCCATAACCCAGCCTGGCCGGAGTTTGTTCCATCTAGTGGGAAGGAGAAAACTAGGAAAATGGATTACATTAGGTATGGAGGCCATTTTCTGATTGGCATTAGAGGTCCTAGAGAGGATGCAGTAAAGATCCGGAAGGACATAATTGATTTTTGCGATGGTGTTTTCGGATTGAGATTGGATAATTCGAAGTTAGAGATTGAACATATAAGCAGGGGTATTCAGTTTCTTGACCACATAATTTGCCGAAGAGTTATTTACCCTACTCTCCGTTATACAGGAAGCGGAGGCAGCATTGTGAGCAAAAAGGGTGTGGGAACTTTGCTGTCTGTGTCTGCTAGTTTAGAACAATGTATCCGCCAATTTAGGCGGCTTGCTTTTGTTAAAGGTGACAAAGATCCAGAGCCTTTACCTTGTAACCCAATGCTTTATTCAAGCCAGTCTCATAGTAACTCTCAGATGAATAAGTTTCTTGAAACAATGGCTGATTGGTACAAATATGCAGATAATCGCAAGAAGGCTGTTGGATTCTGTGCTTATGTAATTAGAAGCTCTTTGGCTAAATTGTACGCTGCAAGATATAGACTTAAATCTCGTGCCAAAGTGTACAGCATAGCCTCACGAGATCTTAGCCATCCATTAAGCGAGAGCAGCAATAATTCTGCACCTGAATACTCTGATCTTCTGAGAATGGGACTTGTCGATGCTATAGAAGGAGTTCAATTTTCTCGCATGTCTTTGATTCCATCCTGTGATTATACTCCATTCCCCAGGAATTGGATCCCAAATCATGAGCAAGTTTTGCAGGAGTACATCAAGCTACAAGACCCTAAATTCTTCTGTGAGTTGCATAGGTCAATAAAACAGAAGGGTCTAAGCTTACCTCAGGATGAGATCTCAGAAGTTGTGTGGGATTTTAAGACTCTTGGTGCTTGGAGGTCAAAGTATGGCAGTAATAGTGAAGCGGGTGATGGGTTGGAGAAATTAGATTCACCACCGTGATTATTTACCATTACCACTTTTAAAGATTTAGTGGTTTGGTAAAAGGATCTTGATACACCAGAGACATACTGAGAGCTTCAGCTGGCAGTTTCTTCACGATTCTTTTTGGTTCCCTTCGCAAGAGACCCCGATTTTGGGTTCTGGCTTCCCTACCCAGCAAAGCATTGAACTTGGTAATCTAACTCTATACATTATCTCATTTCATAGATATTTTCCCAGATGTGAGTATTTACTGACGTATGTTATGTAAAAAACTTAAGAAAAGGTGCATATGCATTATGTCTTCTTTGGCTAAGTTGATAGATTTCCAAGTTTTTTCCTTAGCTAGAATTCTAGGATGGTGCAAGCTGTTTGAAGCTAACATTTCTTTCTTTATATTTAATCTTTGCATCTCAATTAGTTTTAAGTTCAGATCTTTAGTCAATCATTTCTGTTGTTTGTTTGATTCATCTGATTGTTTAGGTTTAGTCGTATCTTTCCTTATTTTTATGAAATTATATGTATATTGTCTTGTAGATAGAGAATATAACATACAGCTTCCACCATATTTTGATTGGACACTCACTGAGTCACTGTTATACTTCAAGGCATGAATTTCAAAACTTATTCATTTACTGTGATGATCCATAAGCAATTCACTGTAAGAAAGGCGTGTCCTTATGATATTTAATTAAACTGTCTCTTATTGAGTATGGAACAACTTCTGTTCTTTATTGGTTGCTGACATCAAGGAAGTCTGGTTACTCCTCTTTTCTTCTGATTTATCAACCCTCACATTGAAATGCTGAAACTTTAAATGTTCGTGACAGGCCGGTGGTATTAGCAAAGGTGATCTTCTCAGGATCTTTTTCTTTGATAAAGATATCGTTCACAGGAACCCAGATCATGAGCTCCTTGCTTTTGACTCCGGTAAGTCTCCTCATACGACGGTCCTCAACAAACGCAGTTATCTCCGTGTCATATAACACTTTGCGACCTATTTCACGGAATGTATGCTCAATCTTGCTTCTCATCCTCATCCACACAAACCCTTTCGTTTTGTTGTACCCAACTTCTGTCATATCCTTCAATGGCAACAATCCCGTGGGTAGCTTGATGAGAGCAAGAAGCTCCTTGGCTTTATCTAGACAAAGAGATTGATCACTGTAGCTCTCTATGTCATCACTCTCATCTATTATCATCTCTCTTAACGCCATAATAAGATAAATCACTTTGTTTTATCTACTCGACTTTTGTTTCTTTGCTATATAGTAAAGGTTTTTATGAGTCTTGATGTGTTTGGGTACGTAAAATGGAACATGAGAGTTGTGTGATGAGTATTTTCAGGCTACATCATAACCCTGTGATTAATTATAGAAGCTGAATCAGCTGTTACATAATATAAAATGGAGTTTTATGATATGTTTGTTTTTGTTACCTTCTTCAATATTATCTTGCTTGAGAGGTTTCATGATTACCCTACCCTGTACTTGTAAAATGATTCCAGGACTTGCTTCTCAGATTCACTTAAATGGAAATATAATGGATCAGAGTCTCAGAGATTTTCTTCTAAGCACTTGCATTTTGAAGCGTTGATAACTTCTATGCAAATGTACCTTTTTGTCATCGTATTTGGTTTTTTGATGTAATGTAATCTATCATCTATCATCTATCTATGAGATAGATGATTCTACATCTCTTTGTTTAGTTTGGAAGCAAGATCATAAAGTCAATGGGCTCATTTATCTTAGCCCAATTTCATCCAAATGATTTGAGTTATTTAATGGGCTTTTAAGGGCTTCGAGTCATATTTTCTTTTTGACACCACTCGACGCAATTTTTGTTTATTTAATTGTCAATAACGTTGGCGTGAGTAATGACGATATTTTTTTTCTTTTGGTTGACATAAACGATGACGAAGGTTAACCAGAACCGAACTGTCAAGTTTTGTCTATTGGTTATGATTATGATCTAAAAGACATGTTTATGTTGGAATTGTTTGTACTAGAGGGTTTTAAACTTAAGTAAATTATGTAATTCGAGAAATTCTCATAATTTTTCTTTATAATACATTCTCTGGACACCCACTCTGCAATCTACAAAATATACTGTTTCGAGAGAGATATTTTGCATGTCAAATAAAGCATATTCCATATTAAAAATATCATTTAAAGGAATATATAAGATGCCTCCCAAAAATCCGACACAAATCTAGTCTTCTTTTTGTCCAAAAAAAAAATCTAGTCTTCTTTTCTCGAATCTAAAACGTCCAACACAAAATATAAAAAACGCCCAAGCATCCGTGGTCTAGTGACAGATGAAAATTTGAGAAAGGGTGACTTCCAAACCTGAGTTTGATTCTCCCCGAAAACAAAAACACATTTGTTTGGGAAGTCTATCAGTTGGGCCTTGACCCAGTTGGTTTATCTGATAGCTAGAAATGCAGACGGCCTGACTACTCCATGGCATTTAGTCGGAAGGCATTCCAAACTCGGAATAGGCAGAGTGGTAGCCCGTAAAAACCTAACCGTTAATACGATAGACCAGTCCACTATGTAGCACTTCGGTGCGTTTTTACCAGAACCGACCGGATAGCCGATAGGATTTATCAAAGAAAGCACATAATAAAAACGAACATGCATATCCAGTTGCATACGAATGTACACGTAACGTAGGCCTACTGCCTACATGTGGCTATAATGATAGTATTATATATTGAACCGACGTGTAAATAAATATATTGTAGGTAGTTAGCATGAAATTTATATAATGGGACAGTGTGTCCGATGACTTAAGCTTCTGCAGGTATCATGAATAGTTGTTTGAAATTTTGAAATCGAATTAAAACATTCATGTTCATATTTTCGATCAGAATCTCAACTAATCTCATAACATACACTTGAGAGTTGAGATATGAATTCCAAAAATGTTCACTACCGCATCTTGTGACCGTTCTAATATCATTTATTTTTTTAAATGCAAAACAAAGATTATACATTAATTCAGATTTGATAAATATACATGTGATACAACAATTACTCATAATTAAGGGAGACCGACGATGTTCTCGATTGTTTCAAATGATTTTTTTTTTTTCTTTTTGTTAAAGTTGTTTCTCGATTGAAAAGCTCTCATTAAAACCTTTTGTTTCAAATGAAATTCATACGTTAATTTACGTTTGTGTTTATTTGGAAACAAAAATATTATGAGATAGTATAAAACATTTTTAATTTGCTTTTTTCCAAACTGTAAACGTAACTGTCCGTGCGTTAACCTTTTACATTTACAGTTAACAGACGCGTTTCTTTATATATGGTTAAAATTTGTGGTTTATTCAAAAAAGCTCACTACATAGTACATAATCGCAACAAATACTGGAAACCTATTACCTATATATTTTACTATAATAACAAAATTGATACTTTAACAACAACAAAAATAACGAATTTGAGATGGACATCGTATGGAAAACTAGGTCTTATGACCTATATATATATACTTCAATGTATGGAAAACTAGGCCTTTATAAAGCGACATATATACTTTGAAGAAAGTGTAAAGTATACTTCAATGTATGGAAAACTAGGTCTTATGACCTCCCAACTAGGGTTTGACACAAGAAAATTATTCCTGATTTTAGGTTTACTTGACTTGTAAGTATAGATCCCAAATTTCAACTATCTGCTAAAAATGGCCTATTTGCGTGTTATTTACCTCATTATATTACTTGCTACTTGATAATTACATGTAACTATTTTGCATATCTTTAACAAATTATTTGTCAGGTTTTAAAATTTAATGTAGGTAAACTTGTAATCAGTTTTTAAGTTTATTTTTCTAAAATTGGTAGATTGATATAAAAAAGAAAGATACATATAAGAATATAAGATATACTACAAATAAAACCAGTATCGATGGACAAAGTAAACTGAACATTGATTGTTATTAATACATACTTGTATTTAAACGTATCTAAATTATGTACTTGTCTTAACATCATGTATTTTTCTAAAATTGATAGATTGATATAAAAAAGAAAGATACATATAAGAATATAAGATATACTACAAATAAAACCAGTATCGATGGACAAAGTAAACTGAACATTGATTGTTATTAATACATACTTGCATTTAAACGTATCTAAATTATGTACTTGTCTTAACATCATGTACTTTGTTATAAGACATAGATACATGACAAGTACTATATAAATATATGACAAATACATGACAAAAGGTGAAATTCATTATATATATATATAGTACACTATATATATATATATATATATATATATATATATATATATATATATATATAGTGTACTAAATATCTGTGCCCATCCCTACTCCTGACCTTTCCTCCGTGCAAAGTGATCAGTGGGTCAGATTTTTCTTGTGAATGAATAATTAAGATGTATATTTCATACAAACATTTTAAATGAAGTAGTCGTCAAACTTTCGTGCGGCATATGGGGCGTAGTTTGATTAGGCTTTTGAATGAGGTCATGGGCCACGTGAAAGTATATGGGGTTGAGTTGGGTCGCATATGATACGACCTAAGGATTTTACAGATTTTATATGTAGTTATATGTAATTCTTATTTCTTTTATAAAAGGGAGTTTTTTAACCAAGTTATGGGGGCTTTCGCTTGAGGTTTGAACTTTTCATGTGTGTATAGGTTAGGAATCTAGTGTGTATGTGTTTTTTAAAAAATATCTACACACTTTGCAGTTTGGTTACCCGTAAACGTATTTAATGGTAAAAACATAGATTTCTATTGATCTCGAAGATTAATTTGAGTTTTGTTTTGAAAATTTCCTAGGTTAAAAAAAGGAGTTCTAAAGTGATATGTATCTTCTAAATTGATTTGCAGATGGATGGGCGTAATAGATGTTGTTTTAGTTTTATAGTTTATTGGAAAACCATGATAACTATTGTGAATTAGAATATTATTATTGGTGGACTCTCACTTGAGTTACAAAAAAAAAAAACACAAAACAATTTGGGTAAGTTTCTCAGATAATGGACAAATCCACGCAAAAGTTTTTTTTTTTTTTTGTACATCTCCACACAAAAGTGTGTATATATAATCTTTTGTATGAGTTTCTCCATTATTTAAGAAATTCACCCAATTTTATATTTTATTGTTATTTTGTAGATACTCAATTGTGAATCAATGAAAATGTTTTGACATATATATATATATATATATATATATATATATATATATATATATATATATAATGGTAGTGTTAACATAATGCTAACACCTATATAATAGAATATTTCATATTCCAATAACAGAAATATACTTGTGCAAAAAAGTAATATGGAAATATAGAAAATGTTGACTGATCACATTTACAATTTTCATTTCATACGACAGATTTTGATGACCTACAATATTTTGTCCGATCAGCTGCGCAAGATACGCAATTTCCTTCTTCAGTATAGACTGTATAGTGAATGCATTCAGTCCAATATCAAACCATTTTTTCACGTAAATTAAAACAATCCTCCATATCGTGATCAAATTAGTCTATGTGAATAGTAGCCAAATGAATAATCACTCGAATCACTAATGATTGACTCATTATTCTTCCTGGTCCGTCACAAATTGTAGATCACTCGAATCTTATAATTTACAATGGATAGTGCCGAATATTTACAAGTAGATACAACGTACACAGACTCAAGAAAAATTCAGTATATTAGAAAACCATGATAGCTATTCCAAAGTACAGTTCATAATTTTTTGTAAAATTCAAAAAATTACCAAAAGAATTAAATATATATATATCCATACATTTATAGATTAATGATTTCTAAAATCAAATAAGATATGGACGTCGATACATGTCCGATTTTCTGTGATGTTTTCTTGTATTTTAATGCCCTTACATTTTAATCCCATAAAAGGGAACCAGGGTCGAACAATATATTAGCTCTCGGCATCAAAATTTCTGTACCTAAAATCCGAATATTTGAAATATTTGATCAAATACGGCTGTTAAGATGCATTATCCTTTTAGATGTAAATAGTTTGAATTTTCTATGCAATCTTATTTATTGGAAAAAGAAATGAGAAGTTGAATAGTGTTACGTGTTTGTGTAGGCGCATTGGAATAGAAAAGGACACGGAATCTTTGGTGAGAAATGGGGAGAGCGACAAAAATCTCTGTCAAGAAACAATACTGTTTTAATTTGTCCAAACTTGCCAAAAAGGAGAGGATATATGAAAAACCACGTCATTCCATTTTACTTCACGCACCCTAGCTCTCCACGTACGTATCATTTAATTTTCATCAGCCTATTTTCTCATTTATGCAGAAAATTTCGATACTGATATGATAAGTCAAAAGATTTTTTTTGTTAATATGGGTCGGAGTGTTTCACTCATTTTATCAAAAAACTATGA